GTTTTGGTGCCTCACTCACTGGTACTCAGGGCTTACTGCACTCATGGAGCACTCCTGGAAGGCTCGGGGATGCAGGGGATCAAACGCAGGTTGGCTGTGTGCAAGGCAAATACGTTGTACTATCTGTCCGGCACCACGTATGGTTCCCTTGAGTGCCGCCCGGAGTGATCCCTGAGTGCAGACCCGGGAGAAAGCTCTGAGCACTGCTGGGTGTGGCCCAAAAGTATAAACGAAATACTTTTATTTTAGGGTTTGGAGTGATAATACAGTGGGTACGGTGTTTGTCTTGCATGCAGCTGACCTGGGTTCAATCTCAGGCATCCCCTATGGGCCCCTGAACACTGTCAGGAGTGATTCCTGAGCACAGAGACAGGAGTAAGCCCTGAATACAGCTATGTATTGCCCTTCCCCCAAAAAAACTTTTATTGCAAAGCATCAGCTGTAATGGAAAATTATTAACAGTGCTCTAGTTTTTTGCTTGTTCATTGGATCAAGGGCTAGCAGTGCATGGGCTTAGCCCTGGCTCTGCGTGCAGGCTCACTCCTGGTGGGGCGTGGGAGACCTAGCGTGGGAGACCTAGGGAGAGTGGGGAAGAAAACCCAGGTCTGCTGTGTGCAAGACAAGCACCCTCCCTGCTGTGCTATGGTCCGGCCCGTTAATAGCACTCTAAGTGGCATCTTGCTTTTGCCCAATTCATGTTCACTGGCTTCCGAAACTGCATACTTTTTATATTATGAAGAATACTCCTCTCTGAATTGAATGGCGATTCTGCTCTAATACGTCAGAAACTCAAAGGGACTTCATTGGGTGTCCTTGCTTGGGGTCTCCTTGAGCTCACGGTCAGATGCTGGAGGAACTGCTGGTTCTCCTGAGGGATTCACTGACTTGGATGTCTGCCAAGGTCCTGTCTTGGCTGGTGGCCCAGAGACCAGGAGGAGGTTGTTGGACACAAGGCAGCAGGTGGGGCTGGAGTGATGATAGCACAGTGGGTAGGATGTTTGCCTTGCACGCGGCCGACCAGGGTTCGATTCCAAGCATCCCATATGGTCCCCTGAGTAATTTCTGAGTGCAGAGCCAGGAGTAACCCCTGTGCATGGCCGGTGTGACCCAGAAAGCAAAGAAAAAAAAAGAAGGCAACAGGTGACTTTGAGGCTGGGGAGCCTCAGGGACTTGATTCTCACCTGGTGACTGGCTTTCCTCAGAGCAAGCAATGCCAGGGAACAGGGCAAAGTGCAGACTGTTTAAAAATCAAGGCTGAGGGGCTGGAGCAATAGCACAGCAGGTAGGGCATTTGCCTTGCATGTGGCCGACCCAAGTTCGATTCCCAGCATCCCATATGGTCCCCTGAGCACTGCCAGGGGTAATTCCTGAGCGCAGAGCCAGAAGTTATCCCTGTGCATTGCCGGGTGTGACCAAAAAAAAAAAAAAAAGCAAAAAAAAAAAATCAAGGCTGAGCCGTGGAGACCATCAGACCATCAGATGGTGTTTGTCCAGACCCCATCAGTTAAAGCGTTCAGGGTCACGAAGAGAACTCCCTGAATGTTCCATGAGACAGGAGGGGTGGTAAGGATACATTTTAGATGCACATGTACAAGGGGAGATATCAGTGCAGAATACTCTGGAACAGACTGTCTGTCACACCGGGATAGCTGGCAGTGCCTGCGAGACACTTGCTCTATCTCCAGATTATTCAAACTTTCAAGATGAAACATTTCTCATTTTTCTCGAAGACCAATTGTAGAGTGACTTTAGTGGACCTGGCAGGCACAGAACGGGACGCAGCCTCGGTTTCCAGCTTCTTGTTAGTTCTGGGGTAGGAAGGCTTGTGTCGCACACGACCACGACCATCCTGTTGTTTGTCAATTGCCTCGAGCAGGCCCCAGTAACGTCTCCTTCGTCCTAGCCCGAGATTTTTAAAAAAGTGCCATATTAAAGGCTCTTCCTTAAGTGATTAAGTGATTAAAGGCTCTTCCAGGGTTAGGAGAATGAGACCCATCATTGTTACTGGTGTTTGGCATATTGGGTACACCACGGGGAGTTTGCCAGACTCTGCCGTGTGGGCAGGTTACATTCGGTACCCTGCCATTTTGTCTGAAGTAAGAATGAGATAATAAGGTGTCACGCGGCCGCAAATGTGGCCGTGCGCTTCTAGGAGCTAGGTTTTATAGTCTCCGGGTCTTGGCCGCTGATGGGATTACATGGCGCCAGGGGGCCAGTTGGTGGGTGTGACCCCTGCCTACTGGAATTTTGAGGATCTGGGTGGAGGATGCTCAGCCCCGATCTGAGCAGGCTTGGAGATCTCAGCCCCAGGACTCACATGCCTTTGTTCCTCTGCCGGTACCTTCATGCGTGTTGCACACGAGGAGCTGCAAAACTAGGCATGCACCCATCCACTCACTCATCCAGCCTATACATGTGAGGGCCTACTATGTGCCAGGGGCTGGGAGCTGAACTTCCAGGCCTTCTACAGCTCATATTAAGACTCAGTCTTGATACAAAATAAATGTAACATTGCAGCCATGACAGAAGCTCTACAGGAGACGTGTGAGGGGGTTTCGCTTAAGAGTTTCCAAGAAAGATTTTCATGAGAAATGTTCATGTGCAATGCACCTGAGCTGAAAGCTTCAAGGGATGAAGAGGAAGCTTGAGAGGAAGTTGTTGACTGTGGAGACAGAGCAGATTCAAACACTCTTAGGGGTGGATGGAGAGTGTATTTGCAAGGAATTGGGGGTGGATATACACACACACACGGTCACGGTCACGGTCCTCCCATTATTCATCGGTTTGCTCGAGTGGGCCCAGTAACATCTCCATCGTGAGACTTGTTGTTACTGTGTTTGGCATATTGAATACTTCACGGGTAGCTTGCCAGGCTTTACCATGCGGGCGAGATAATCCCGGTAGCTTGCCGGGCTCTCCGAGAGGGGCGGAGGAATCGAACTCGGGTTGGCCATATTGGTCGCTTGCAAGGCAAACGCCTTACCCACTGTGCTATCGCTCCAGCCCATACACACACACACACACACACACACACACACACACACGTATATATATTTGGCATTTGCTATTTACTCCTGTAAAACATGACTAAATGTTCAGTGGCTCAAAGCCAGTCACATTATTATTCTGCACACTTTGTGATTCAGGAGTCAAGGCACAGTTGAATCTTCTGTTAGGCTGAAACCAAGGTTGGGGCCAGGCCTGAGGCTTGAGGGTCCAACCAGCTTCCAAGTCCCATGATTACTGCTGAGACTGGGTTTTCTTGGATGGAAAGCCTGCATCTTGGGGGCTGTGGACCCATAGACCATTCCGTCCTTGCTGGGTCCACTCAGTATCCCATGGAGCCTCCCAGAAGGGCGGGCATCATGAGTTTGTGTGAAGGACTCGTTACCCAATCCTGGCTAGTTTCACACTCTTGCAAATTGGTTCTGGCACATCTAAGTGAAGGAAATCTCTCAGAAGTCCTATGTTGGGGGTGAGGGACCATGGGGGCACCTTGGAGTCCATCCTCCATTGAGGGTTCTAGGGAGGAACCAGAGAAACATCGACCCTGGAAGGAGATAGGTAGGGAGTAGAGAAAAGTCAGAAGTGCTGAGCTTGAGTCCTTTGAGCTGTCAGATAGCGCTGGCATGGGAGCTGATTTGGACAGTGGATGAGGAAGCCCAGATGAACTCCATCCAGACAGTGGCAATTGCACCCCAGCACCAGGGTAACTGCCAAGAGAGGTGAAGAATGAGGGGTGCGTTGGGGGCCAAAGGATAGTACAGCGGGTAGGGCGTTTGCCTTGCACACGGCTGACCTGAGTTCAGTGCATCCCATATGGTACCCCCAGCACCGACAGGAGTAATTCCTGAGTCCAGAGCCAGGAGTAACCCAAGCATTGCTGGGTGTGACCCAAAACGCCAAAAAGAAAAAAAAAAAAAGAACAAGCAACAGCGCACTTGGGAATCTTGGATGAAAACCCATCAGTTACTGGGTAGGAGGGTGGGTGGGTGGGGCGGCGTTGGGACACTGGGGACATCAGTGGTGGGAAATGCACATGGTGAAGGGACCAGTGTTGAAACATATGACTGAAACCCAATCATGAGCTTTGCTAAATGTATCTGTGATTCAATAAAATACATTAAAAAAACAATAATGGTGGGTCGGAGGATAGCACAGCGGGTAGGGCGCTTGTCTTGCACGAGGCTGACCCGGGTTTGATCCCCGGCATCCCCCAGGGTCCCCCGCAAGCACCTCCAGGAGTGATTCCTGAGTGCAGAGCCAGGAGGGACCCGTGCGCATCGTCAGGTGGGACCCAAAAAGCGATCAATTGGGGCTGGAGCCATCGCACAGCGGGGAGGGCGTTGGCCTGGCACGCGGCCGACCCGGGTTCGATTCCCGGCATCCCACAGGGTCCCCCGAGCACCGCCAGGGGTAATTCCCGAGGGCAGAGCCAGGAGGAAGCCCTGAGCATCGCTGTGAGACCCAAAAAGCAAAAAAAAAAAAAGCAATCAATCAATCAATCAATCATGGTGCTGGGGCTTGCCAAGACGATGCCCTAGCTCTGGGCGACGGGACGGGCGGCCCCGGGGGCTTCTGGGGAGAGGCTGGAGGGGGTGCCGGGCTCGGGCTCCGTCCCCTCAGGGCCGTCGGAAGCCGCCCAGGCCCCCCACCCCCGCGGGCCCGGCGGGCGGAGGCGGGACGGCCGCGGACAGCTCCGCCGAGGCCGCCGCCCCGCGGGGAGCGGCACGACGCCTCCGGGCACGGGCGACGCCTCCGCGGGGGCCCTCAGGGCGCGGGAACATGGCGGCCGCGGCCGGCGCGGGGGCGTCAGCGCGCCTGCGCGGCCCGAGCCCCGCCCCCCGGCCGCCCCGCCCGCGCGCAGGATTCTGGGGCGCCCGGGCCGCGCCGCGCGCCCATTGGTGGCGCTCGGGACCCGCCCTCGCGTGACTGACAGCGCCGGGCCGCCGCCGCCGCCGCCGCCGCCGCCGCCGCCCCGCTGTCGCCCCGCTGCCGCCGCCGCCGCCGCCGCCGAGTGTGGAGCCGCCGCCGCCGCCGCCCAGCCTCCGCCATGGACCTGTTCGGGGACCTGCCGGAGCCCGAGCGCTCGCCGCGGCCGGCCGCTGGTGAGTGGGGGGCGACGGCCCTGAGGCGGCGGGGGCGGCGGCCCGGGCGGCCCGAGGCGGCCCGCGGGGGTCGGGCCCTGGCGCCGCACCGGAGCCCGCAGCGCCTCCGCCATCTTCGCCCGCCCCGAGCCCGCGCCGCCTTTGTGTGCGGCGCCCCCGGACCCCCGGCGGAGAGCGGACCCCGCGCCCCCGACGGCCGCGCCGGGGCCGCCGCGCTGAGGGGGCTCTGAGGAACCCCGGGGCCGCCGCGCTGAGGAGACTCTGAGGGAACCCCGGGCTGCCGCGCTGAGGAGACTCTGAGGGACCCCCGCGCTGAGGAGACTCTGAGGGACCCCCAGCGGGGCTACCACGCTGAGGGGGCTCTGAGGGACCCCGGGGCCGCCGCGCTTAAGGAGGCTCTGAGAGACCCTCCGACTGCCGCGCTGAGGGGCTCTGAGGGATCCCGGGGGGCAGGGGGGCTGCCACGCTGAGGGAGCTCAGAGAGACCTGGGGCTGCCGCTCTGAGGAGACTCTGAGGGACCCCCGGGGGGCTGCCACCTGAGGGGGCTCCGAGGGACCCCGGACCGCGCGCGGCCAGACTCGCAGTGTCCTGCCTCTCTGCTCCCGCCGGGGATGACACGTGCCCCGCCCCGCGCCCCTCTGGAACCCGCGTGGCCGAGCGTTTCTAGATGGTTCTGCCTGTGGCTGTGGCGATGGCGTCTCTGCCCCGGGCCGCCTCCGGGTTCGCAAAGCCGCGCGTGTGCTGTGCCCGGGCCACGCAGGGGGCAAGGCGGAGCCCAGTCGTCGCCAGGGCCCGGGAAGGCCCCGCCAGGAGGGGACCCGCGGCCGCCCCGTGGGCGCGTCTCCGGAACGCGCGGTCTTGCCGGGGTGTGGGGCGGGCTGGAGTCCGGGCGGCGCCGAGCGTTCGTTCTCCTCGGGAGCTGCGTAAGAGAGCGCCCCGAGTCCGAGGGGAGGACTCGCCGCACTGCTCCGATCCGGTGTATTTTGTGTAGTTTTTGCTTTTGATGAGGTTCTTTGTTGTTTTTGTTATTTATTTTTGGGGGCGTCAAGCAGTGCTCAGGACGCCTGGGCGCCCCTCTTCCATTCTCAGTCTGTCAGAGGTTCAGTGCAAGGGACTGGGGATGCCCTGCTGCTCTGTTCTGGGCTGGCGGCATCCGGCTATGCTTGGGGGACCACTTGGCACCAGGAATGGAACCTGGAACAGGCGTGTGCTGTTGTCCTGTCTCTGGCCCCTCTTCAGTTGCAGTGTCAGAGATGGCAGACAGCAGAGTTGACACACACAGCAGAAGTGCTCAGTGGCTCTGGGTGCACGTGGGACACTGGGCCTCTGGACTGGTGGACAGCACAAGTGCTCGGTGGCACTGGGTGCATGTGGAGCATGGGGCCTCTGGACTCATGGCCATATGCTTGTGAGGCAAGCCCTGTAACTATTCCTACAATACCTTGATTTTTTCCCCCCAATAATTTTGATTTGTTTGCGGCTATACCTGCCTCCGTGCATGCAAGTTATTCCTGGCGACGCTCAGATCTTACGCAGTGTTGGGGACCCAACCAGGGCGTCCTGCACGCAGAACACAAAGTCAGCTTGTTGATGCATCTCTGTCTCTTGACCTCATATACTCTTTTTGGGGAGGATGTGTGGTGGGGGTGGAACTTTTGGGTCACAGCCAGTGATGGATGTCCAGGATTTTGTCCTGGCTCTGTGCTCAGGGGTCACTCCTCACTCCTGTCAGTGCTTGGCAAACCATATGTTGTGCCAGCTATTGCATATGCAATGCAAATGCTTTAATTATGCTATTTTTCTGCCCCCCCAACTTAATTTTTTTTCTGGTGCCGGAGATGGAGCAAGGGCCTCATACATGTAATGCATATGTGCTCTATCATTGAGTATTCCTGATCCCTGATCCCAGTTGTTAGGGGTTTTTTTTTTTTTTTGCTTTTTGGGTCACACCCGGCGATGCACAGGGATTCCTCCTGGCTCATGCACTTAGGAATCACTCCTGGCGGTGCTCGGGGGACCCTATGGGATGCTGGGAATCGAACCTGGGTTGGCCGTGTGCAAGGCAAATGCCCTACCCGCTGTGCTATTGCTCCAGCCCCTAGATTTTTTTTTCCCCCATGTGGGGTTATTTATCGGTGGGCTTTGGAGCACACCTAAAGGTGCTCAGGGATTGCTCCTGCCTGTGTACACAGGGTTGACTCCTGACAATGCTTAGGTGTCAGCTTGCAGTGGCAGGAGTTAAACTGGGGTCAGCTACCTGCAAGGTAACTTGTACTTTCTAGCCTCAGGTGTTTGATTTTGTTATAAGTCATAACTAATATATGCCTCTACCCAAGCCTCTTAACTTTTATAGTCTGAAGGAAAGTGTAGAAAGAATGTATTAAATGGGGGCCAGAGCAATAGTACAGTGGTAGGGAGGGCGCTTGCCTTACATGTGACTGATCCAGGTTTGATCCCCAGCACCTCATAAATTCATCCCCTGAGCCCACCAGGAGTGGTTCCTGAGCTTAGAGTCAGGAATGAGGCCTGAGCACTGCCAGGCGTGGCCCCCAAACAAAAGAAAACCAAAATACCACTAGGGCCAAAGAGAAATTGAAGGAAAATAATTGCAGTGCAAATTATTAAAAAACTTATAATTAAATTTTATAATTAAAATTATAAATCTCAAGGCTGCTTTCCCTAATAAGTGAGAGACTCCAAGGGCAGGAGCAGTAGCACAGCAGGGAGGGCACTTGCCTTGCAGCAGCCCACCTGGGTTTGATTCCCGGTCTCCTGACATCACCAGGTGTAATTCCTGAATCCAGAGCCAGTAGTAACCCTTCTGGGTGTGGTCCAGAACCAAAATAAAAATAAGTGAGAGACTCCTGTGTATAACTTATTAGAAATAAATTAAAGACTGAAGCCAACTACAAGAATTGTGAGTGACCTGTCCACAGGGGCCAGTGTTTGCTTTTGTGAACAATTTCTAGCATCTGTCACATTTAAACTACTCAGTGCTTACTTTCTTTGTCACTGAGGAAAGGAATAGCAAATCACTGATGTACCATGGTTTTGTGTGTGCCTCCCCAACTTTTTTTTTCTTTTTGCTCGGGGGTTATACCTGCTTACCTGGTGGTCTCAGAGGTGATACTGAGAGGTGTCTCCTGCTATGATATTACAGTTGGCTCCAGGTGGTACTCAGGGGACCATGTCGTGTCAGAAATTGGACCTGGCTCCAGCGTGCACAGCATATGCTCTAGCTTTTTGAACATCTCCCTACTCTGTACCTTGCTTTTTTACCAAGCGGATTTGGAAAATTTCCTACATTGAGGGGGTCAGGAAATTGACATTCATTTGTCCCTTTCCTTGCCACACAAGGAAAGGGACAAATGAATGGCAGCTTCTATTGTGTTGGGAATGGAAGTTGCCATTACTTTTGTCATGTTTAAACTACCTAGTCTCTTTGGTGGTGACTTAGCAGACCCAATAAAGACCTGTGTTTGAACCTGTTGACTGTGTTATCATTAGTTACTAGTTTGGCCTACTAAGCCCTCACTTAGAAAAAAATTTCTCAGTGACCCCAGTCCCCCGGAAATCTCCCTTAAGTGAACAAACCTAGAGGGCCCCCTAGTTGCACCCAAGATCCCTTGGATTGTTCCACCATGCCACCACCCCTTGGAGGGCATTGTTGCCTACTCTGGGAAACTGCAGGAGTTCAGCGGACAATTGAACATTTTTCTCTACTGTTTCGCTCTGAGCAGTATACAGTGGTGTTGGGGGTTGCTCTTGGCTGGCGTGGGGGACTAGAACCCAGGTTCTCTATTTGCAAAGCATTCACTCAGCCCATTAAACTCTCTGCCATCAACCTTTCTAGAGTTCTGTATCTGTAGTTGAAAAACAGACTAGGCAAAAAGATTTTGTGGTTTTTGTTTTTGTTGTATGTTCTGTTTTTGGAGATTTGGGAGCCACACCAGCCAGTGTTCAGGGAATAATTATTAGTTCTGTGCTTAGGAGTGATTCCTTAATGTGCTAAGTGAAACCATGGTACCAGGGATTTCAGTGGGTCAGCTGCATGCAAGGCAAGTGCCTACCTCCTCTAGCCTTACAGTGAATTTTATTGTAAATTTTGTTCCATTGTAATCTAAAACAAGCTTTGGGTCACCTCAATATGACCCACCCAACAGGATTTATTCTCAAAGTAGATGTCACTGTCACTGTCCTCCCGTTGTTCATCGATTTGCTTGAGCGGACCCAGTAATGTCTCCATTGGAGACTTTGTTGTTACTGTGTTTGGCATATTGAATACTTCACGAGTAGCTTGCCAGGCTCTGCCTGTGGGAGAGATACTCTCAGTAGCTTGCCGGACTCTCCGAGAGATAAATAATTTCTTAAAATAGAGGGTACAATTTTCCATAGACCTCATTTCATTTCAGAATGTTAATTAAGAAAAAATTTTGGTTGAGATTAACTCATGGAGATCTTGAGGTTTCTTCTGATGTCTTGAATCCAGTTTCTTTTACCCCCAAACCTTCCCTTTGATGTGGTGACTGCACCCGGCTGTTGTGCCTGTGTGTGTGTATGTGTGTGTGTGTACACATACATGTTTACTTCTGGATCTGGATCTGTGCTCAGGAATCACTCCTGGCAGTGCTTGGGGGGTCTTATGCAGTGTCAGGGATTGAACTAGGGTCATCCACTTGCAAGGCCAGTGTCTTGGCCCCGTGCAAGTTCTTTGGCCCTTTTGTTTTGAAGAAGTTGGGTGCAAGTATTTTTGGAGGTGAAGGTAGAGGCACAACAGTACCCAGGAGTTTCTCCTAGCAGTACTCAGGGGAGCATACGGTGCTGAGGCTCCACCTCATGCTTTGACCTTTTGACTTGAGGAATTGTGACAATGATAGGAGTTTGGTTAAAGTGCTACTTTGTGGTCTTTTTTACTCTTTCCCTGGACTCAGTCTGTCTTACTTCTCTCTCTCTCTCTCTCTCTCTCTCTCTCTCTCTCTCTCTCTCTCTCTCTTCTTTCTTTCTTTCTTTCTTTGCTTTTTGGGTCACACCTGGCAATACACAGGGGTTTCTCCTGGCTCTGCACTCAGGAATTACCCCTGGTGGTGCTCAGACCATATGGGATGCTGGGAATTGAACCTAGGTCAGCCATGTGCAAGGCAAATGCCCTACCCGCTGTGCTATTGCTCCAGCCCCTTTACTGCCCTTTCTTGAGCTGCCAAGCCAGCGTGGGCAGCAGTAGGTCCATCAGCACACGGCCACAAGGGCGGGCTGACAGCACTGTGACCACCAGCAGCATAATTCTTGTGTGTGAGGGGCATTTTCGCTGATGATGTATTTCCAGTGTGTGGTGGGTTTAATGATATGTAACGTCAGTGTAAACTGTGGAAATCTGGATTTCCGGTGAGAAAGGAGGTGAGATAGGCCTTTCTTGAGGGAATATGATGGTTATTTAGGAGCACTGTCTTTTCTTGTTGTTTTTGGGGTGGGGCACACCTGGCAATGTTTGGGGGTTACTCCAGGCTCTGCTTGGGAGACCATATGGGATGCTGGGGATTGAACCCGGGTCGGCCATGTTCATGGCAAACACCCTCCCCGCTGTAACATTCCTCCAGCTCAGGGTCACTGTCTTAATCCAAATTGTAGCCAAGAAGGAGAGCCCAGGCTATAGTGAATTGGTGATCTGTGACCCATTTGCTTTGTTTTGGGACCATACCCAGCTGTCCTCAGGGCTGCTTCTGACTCTGTGCTTGGCAACCCTTCTCTTCCATTGGTACGTGAGGGATCATGTGCAGGCCACTCTCAGCCCATGGAAGCATCTGTCCAGCCCCTGAAGTATGACTTGCCTCCCTGTGATGCTGTCCCTGGTTGTATAGGCGCATGTACACTGAACCATCACTCACAGTTTGGAGTCTGTAGAGAACAGACACTGGATTAGACACTCCCAGATTTGGGTACACCTTGGGGTGACCTCTTACAATATTAGGTATTCCTGTAGAAGGGTGATATAAATTCTAAATGCTCATGCTAAGTTGCTTTTTAATGTCTGCTGCTGCTTTTCTAATACTTCGCATTTGATAAATAATGGAGGTATTGGGGTGGGGGGAGAGGGTGATAGTACAGCAGATGGAGCACTTGCTTTGCGTGCAACCAACCTGGGTTGGATCCCCAAGTTGTGCCCCATATGATCCTCTGGACCCCATCAGGAGTGACCTCTGAGTGCAGAGCCAGGAGGAAGAGCCAGATACAAACACTTCAGTTGCCGGGAGGGTGGGTAGAGGGGTGGACACACGCTGAACACCCTCCAACAGTTTTGTTAGAGTAATCCTGAGAGGTGAAAATATAAGGGAGTTGATAGTTCTCGTTTATGTTAACGATATAAAATGAAATCCTGAAGAAATTTACTGGAGTTTTTTGTGTTTGCCTTGCAAGTGGTGATACGGGTTCAATCCCTGCCACCCCTAAGGTCCCCCAAGCCCACTAGGAGTGATCCCTGAGTGCAGAGCCAGGAGTAAGACCCGAGTGGAACTTACCCTTACCTTGGCCAGGTGGAACCCCTGTCTTCATGACAAGAAGAAGAAGGGAAGGGGGAAGGAGGGGAGCACTGCTAACTCAGGGTCCCTGTGTGGTGCCTGGTATCTGACTGGGCCAGTTGCGTGCAAGGTAAGCGTCTAAATCCCTGTGTTGGCTCTGCCCTCATCTTTCAAAGTTCTCAATGGGTCTTTAAAAGGTCTGTGGGTCTTTTTTGTTTTTAGGCCACACACCTGCTGGTGTTCTGGGATTACTCCTTACTCTTACTAAGAGATCACTCCTGGGGGCTTCAGGAGACCCTATTAAAGGGTTCCAGGGATCGCACCTAGGCCTGCCGTGTGCCCTGTCTGCTGTCCTGTCCTCCAGTCCCTTCTTATGTTGTTTCTATGTTGACTGTAACTATGGGGAACAAATGGATATATTAAATAGCTTTCAAGAAAATTCTTTGCAAAATCAGTATGTCCAATGAGGAGGAGAACATTTGAATTTAATATCAAACTTCTCAGAACTAGGGGAGATGTGTTCTCCCCTGGAAAGCTTTTCTGGCGGGCAGCACCCCATCTAAGCTGTTGTCCATGTTCCAGGGAAGGACGCGCACACGGGATCGCTGCTCTTTGATGACCTCCCTCCGGCCAGCAGTGCTGACTCAGGTACAGTCTTCACGCTCTCCCAGGTGTGTGTCGACGTGTCATCTGGGATTGTAGTTGTCTCAATCTTTTTCCCTTTCCCCCATTTTCAATACACAGATGTTTTAGGTGTTGGACTGTCTTAAGTTTTGAATCCATGGCATCAGGTAAGGCAGAAAAATCCACTAGTCGCTAGCCCAGAGAAGCTGCATAAGAACATTGAGCAGTTTTCTCTGGTTTATTTGAATGTCTCTCTTACGAGCTGAGATAAGATTTAACTCTGCAGGGCAGATTTTTGTTTCCTTAGAAACCATAGGACCTTAAAATAAAAGAGCTTCAACATGTTATTTATCACAGTATGAGTTGCCACTGGACTGACAACAAGGATTGAGTTTGTTTCAATGGCCTGCCTAGCTGTCCTGTGGGGTGAATTCTGAGATGTGCACCTCCTTGGGGCTGGGGCTCACCTGGTGCTCTGCTGTGTTTCAGGATCAGGGGGACCTTTGCTCTTTGACGATCTCCCACCAGCCGGCAGTGGCGAGTCAGGTAAGTGGAGGGAAGGTGCTCCATGGTGAGGCTGATGGGGCTCATAATCCTTTTGTATGGCTTTACAGCTTTCCACAGGTTTAGGACAGTCAGTCATAGTATGTCATGAAGTTAATCGACACTGAGTAGGCTCCAGTAGATGGAAGCCAGTAGATTGGATAAATCTTATTACACGTTTGGTGATCAGTCTCACCTTCTCAGGGTTCAGCTTCTTGTGTCTGACTTTAAGAATGAAGAGATTAGGGACTGGGGTTTAGCTTGGGAGGTAGGGCACAGGCCTTAAATGTGAGACCTTTTATTTTGTTTTGCTTTTATGTCACACCCAGAGGTGCTTAGGGGTTATTTCTGATAGTGCTTAGGGGACCATATGGGATTCTGGGGATCATATCTGGGTCGGCCACATGCAAGGCAAACACCCTACCTGCTGTCACTCTGGCCCCGTGTAAGGCCTTGAGTTCTTAGGTTCAATTCCTGTTGTTTTGTGTCAGTGTCCTTCCCCACCCCCACACACCCCCACCCAGCACCTCTGGACATTACCCTGGTGTTCCCAAAGCACTATAAGTTGTGCCCTCACACCCCCAAGGCTGTTATTCTGCTTGCCTCTTTATATTCCTGACAGGCTCAAATGTTTCTAGAATTGTCTGTGTGTAATGGATTTAGTTTTCCCTACTATCCTGAACCCATTCATACAGATTATTAAATAGATCTTCTGTTTCATGCAACAACATTAAAAATTCAAAACTAGAATCTAAATGATAGTGATTTAGTGACCCACACAGGAGTTTTTTTTTAAAGTCCTTATTGGCTCTCAAGATTCCATTTATTGATTGGATTCATTTTTGCCAAGCTCATTACTTAGACTGCCTGTTGCTGTAAATTTTTATCATTTTTTTCATTCCCAGTTAAGTAGAATGGAAGGTTAGTACTACTACTGAATTTCCTCTAGGTTATTGGAACAGCTGAATTATTACTCCTTTCTAGAGCTTTATTCATGAACCCCTAAAGGGCGAACAGGACTACAGACTGGCCTTTCCTTGGACTTTTTTTTTTTAATAATTAAAAAATTTTGGGTCACACCTGGTGATACATAGGGGTTATTTCTGTCTCATGCACTCAGGAATTACTCCTGTCGGTGCTCGGGGGACCATATGTGATGCTGGGAATCGAACCCGGGTCGGCCATGTGCAAGGCAGGCGCCCTACCCACTGTGCTATTGCTCCAGCCCCTGTTTTTTGTTTTTTGCTCTACGCTTGGTTGTACTAAGGGCTGACTCCTGCAGCAAGTGACAGGGACCAGAAATGTGCAGAGGTCGCGCAGTCCTTTGCTTTATCATATGGCGAGGTGTGTGTGTCAGGTTTCCCTGCACAAGGAATCTCTCTCAGAGTAGTGACTCTTCAGGGCAGGGAGCCATTCTTACTCTTTTTCTGGTGTCACAGTGTGATTACATCAGTGGTGGTGCACTTTTAATACTTTAGTGTCAGGAGTATGTAGCCACTTTTAGCAACACCTGCCATTTTGGGGGCCACTTGTGTACTGGGCATTGGGAAAACTGTTTTATATACCTGTTCCATCTTTCTTTTTGGGGTGGGAGGGGGTGGTTTGGGCCGTACCTGGTGGTGCTGAGGGCTTATTCCTGATGAGATGCGGGGGATTGAATCTGGGTCAGCTGCGTACAAGGCCAGCACATTCCCCATGGTACTCACTCCCTGGCCCTGTGTTTCCATGATTTTCAAACAGTCCTCTGCGATGATAGTATTTCTGTTCCCCAGGTTATGAATGAAGAAATAGAGGCTGAACGGTGTATTGTTGCCTTAAGGGCACGTCTCTTCTGCATGGCAGAAGTAGGATCTGATGCTAGAACTAAACACATTCACGTCGCAGCCCCTGTCAGCTCTGGCTCACTGTCAGTTCATCTTCCTGTGCGCCTCTACATTAACATGTGGATGTAGACCAGGCCTGTCCACCTTTCAGGATACACAGCAGTCTGAAAGCCAGCTAGACCTCATGTAAAGCCTTGTTTTGCTCATTTCTTCTGAATGTTGTTTAGGGCATGTCACTTGAAAGGTTTAAAGGTTATAAGGGACCATGAGTATAAAACCTAGATGTGCTTCAACTACAAAATATGCAGTGCCTTGTGTGTGTGTGTGCGTGTGTGTGCGTGTGTGTGTGTGTGTGTGTGTGTGTGTGCGCGTGTGTACACGCGCCACACTTGGTACTTCTCAGTGCTTATTCCTGGCTCTGCATTCAGGCGTCACTTCTGGCGAGGTTCGGGAGACCATATGAGTTGCCAGGGATTAAACCTGGGTTGACTGAGTGCAAGACAAGTGCCCGCCCTGCTGTCTCACGGCTCTGGCCCTGCAAGTGCCTTTTGACTAACAAGGAGCCTCTTTCAGAAGCTTCTTGTGAGTCTGAGCAGTCTGGGGCCTGAACTTGTGTTTTCCGGCTGTGGGTGCCCTGCCCACCCCCGACTCAACGCCAGGTCTGCACTGCCCAGCCTCTGCCAGTCCATGCTCGAAGTGTCCTTTTGTCTCAAGGCTGGGACGGGTCGGTGCGGGGGACTCTTCCTAACGGTCTTTAGCATGTTTCTGTCTGGCTCTCTACTTCCAGGTTCTCTTGACACTTCAGTATCCCACATGGTAAAGAATGAAGGGAAAGGAACAAAGAGAAAAACTTCTGAAGAAGAAAAGAATGGCAGTGAAGAGCTTGTGGAAAAGAAAGTTTGTAAAGGTTTTCAGACAGTTTGAAAACAAATGTTTTAGACTTCATATTTTAAAACCACCCAGAGCACCAACAAGCTCAGCTTTCTGATTCTAACATTTCCTCTTTCTGTCTGTATTTAAGCCGTGGGTAGGTTTCCTCCTGCAAGCCATTTCTGTGTTTACTTCTGTGCCCTTTTCTCTGGACGCTCCGTCCCTGTCTCTGATCCTCCCTCGGCTGTGCGCCGGCATTGCCCTTCACGTGGTGGCCATCACAGCTCCCCTCCGCTCCCTGTGTGTCTTGATCAGCTCTGGGAATCCCCGACTAGCTCAGTAGGCACTTTCCAAGAGGGGCTGGGGAGGAACAAAGGGAATTTGAAGTCAGCTTTGTACTTGTCAATGGAAGGAAATGAAAAATGAGAGCGGTGGTTGGGGATCGCCATGTATTGCCCTGCCCGGGCTGGCAGCTGTGGGATGCCGTATGGTGAGGGGACCCCTCCTGGCACAACTGCAGCTCAGATTTACACCACTGTGGTTTGCTTTTCGGGCTGCACTTTTGGTGGTCCTGGGGAGGGTGTTGATTACAGCTCTGTGTTCTGCGAACCATAAAGTGCCAGGGGCAAACCCGCACCAGCTGTCAGACAACTCATTCAGCCGTGACTTTCACTGGCCTGGCCATTAAAGACATAGATATCTATGCCCGTACTGGGCGCCTTTATTCTCAGGTCATTGGGATAAACTGTTCATTGTATCTCTCCAAACTCGGAATCTTTCTGTCTCATTAGATTGCCGACAAAACTAGATTTGCACCTAATTCCTTTCCCCAGAGTCAAATCCTACTTCTATGTGGGTACCAGTGCCTTCCTTGCTCTGGATCGTTTAGTACCAACTGGCTGTCACCTTTCCCTGTGGGCCCTTCAGATGGCAGCTCAGCACCTCAGTGTCTGATCATCTCAGATAGGCACTGCGGAGTAGGGGGGCCCTGGCCAAGTCTCGAACCCTGGAGCGTGGCTAGTAAAGTGGCCTCAGAGCCTCTCAAGTACTCGGGACTAGGGCTTCCGGGGCCGGGCGCAGACTTGTAGCGGCCCTTTGCTCTCTCCCCAGCCTCTTCGGTGATCTTCGGGCTAAAAGGCTACGTGGCTGAGCGCAAGGGGGAGCGGGAGGAGATGCAGGATGCCCACGTCATCCTGAACGACATCACCGAGGAGTGCAGCCCCCCGTCGTCCCTCATGTGAGTGTCCCCACGTGGCTGGGCATCAGTACCTCCCAGCTGCGGTTGATTTACCCCAGCCTCTTTTTTAAAATTGGTCAAAGTGGGGACTGCTGGCACCTGGGGGAAGGCTACCATATGTCTGACAGTGGTCAGTTCTGATGCAAAGTGCCGTGCAGCCCCAGCGTCAGCCCAGCTATGGTCGAGGGCCCCGTGCTCTGGGCATTGACAGTGTGAGCTTCCAGGAGAGGAAGAACTGATGTGGTCTTCACCGTTCTTTTTCATGGGGGCTACTCCCAGCAGTGCTCAAGGGGCTGGCATGGCTTCTGGGGATTTTCAGCCCAGCAGTGCTTGGGAGCTGCTAGGGAGAGAAACATGTAGTGACACTTGGGACCATATAGTGCTGGGATTGTCACTCAAGGCCTCCTGCATACTAGGCATATGCCCTACTTCTGGAGCAATCTTCTTTCGCCCCAGGAGTTTTTCCTAATTGGGGACCCAGAAAATGAAGACGAAACCCTTAGAGTAGTGAGTGGTGATTAAGGAGAAGTGGAGCAGAGTTGGGGACCAATAAATTGGGAACAAAGAACAATAACAGAAATGGTATCAAGGAGACGGAACGTCGTGAAAATGCTCTGCAAATTTATAAACTAAAACATAGCCTCTTGATTGAGCTCTTAGCGTGGAGGAAAAGTGACCAAATGGTAGGACATTGAGTTGGTCGTTTACACCCCTTCTGTAAAGGAAAGTCAGTATGATGGTAATGTTAGGGTGCTTGATCCTCGGCCCCTTGGAGGTGCAGTGTGTACACACATGCACACACGTTCCCTTCCCCCCTCCACTCCTGTCCAGTTTACTTTATGGTATATATGTTGTATGGGTGGGTTTTCTGGCACAACTGGATGGGGATTAGAATTAGACTAAAATAATACTCTTTGAGAACCAGGTCTTGCTCAGTCAGAGTAACAGTTCTGGAGCTGCCGCTGGTGAAAAAAGTCGTAGACGTTTTCATGCTCAGTGGCATACGGCCCCTGCCAGCAGCTCCTGGACTCCTGGTGAAGTGGCACAGCCAAGCCTGCAGTGAGAAGCCCATGCCTTGTGCCCCTGTATCAGGTTTTTCCGGCTTTGGGACTTGCATTGTAGGTGTGTAGCCACATAACTGTCCCAGTTGGTCACTTCATCTGTACGTTTAAGACTGAGTCTGTTAAATAGGAAGACTGTCTCAAATTCATCGTCAGTGTGGGTAAAACTGTTCATGGTTCCTGACTTTGAAAGCCAAGGAGAATGTTTTTGTTTGGGGGCCACACTTAGCTGGTCTCAGGCCTTACTCCTGGCTCTGTGTTCAGGGATCGCTTCTGGTGGGCTCGGGGACCATTTGTGGTGATGGGAGATGGCAGGCGCCCTCCCCACTGAACTCTAGCTCGCAAATAGAAATTTTTATCTTAAAACTGAGTGACTCCGATGTTTGTTGGTTAACATCACAGGACCTTTCCCCATTTGTGACAGGTCACTGGTGTCTTACCAGTCGGATGTCCTCTCTTACAATTTGAGACAAGATTCACAAGCTTTAATGGGAGGTGTAATCTTGCTGTACCAATCTCATTTCATTCTTCCAGTACTCGGGTTTCATATTTTGCTGTTTTTGATGGACATGGAGGAATTCGAGCCTCAAAATTTGCTGCACAGAATTTGCACCAGAACTTAATCAGGAAGTTCCCTAAAGGTGAGACTGAGACCCTAACAGTTCCTGCTCCTCCTGCTGTTGCTCTCTGTGGGAGTTGGTGGATGATATGACAGCCAAGACTCATTGGTGATCCATAGAAGATTGGCAGGGCAGGGCTTGGGAGAGCGCTTCCCCACATGAGAGCTGCGGGGCGGCCATTCAGACCACGTCAGTGGCGCTGTCTTGCATGAGAGTGTGGTTGCTGAATGGGAAACAGGTTTGTTCGCACTCAAGCTTCAATCCTAGTTGATGGGCAGATACCCAGTCTCACAGGATGGCAGGGGGAGGAGGGCTGCTGTACTGAAGCACTGGTTTTATTGGTTTCTGCTGCAATAGGAGATGTAATCAGTGTGGAGAAAACTGTGAAGAGATGCCTTTTGGACACTTTCAAGCATACCGATGAAGAGTTCCTTAAACAAGCCTCGAGCCAGTAAGTCTAGCTGTGAAGACAGAAAAATTGTTTGGGATTTTAATTGTATCTTCAATGGGGGAAAAAAAAATCAATGCTACAGATCCTGAGTTTGAAACTCAGTGGGAGTGATTTTGTTTCGGGGCCACACCTAGCTGTGATCCTGCCTTACTCTTGACTCTCAAAAGGGAGCGGAGTGTGAGTGTCCCTTCATGCTTTTCTGCCTTCTGATACGGCTCATGCTAACACTGTCCATAGAGTGCCCAGCACGGCGAGTGCACTCTGAGAACCGGCTGCAGGTGCCAAAGGAGTGGCTTGTTGAAAGACTGAGACACTTCCTGTTCTCTCTGAAAGTCTCAGAGAGCCACCAACAACACCACGATGTTGGTGGCTCTCTGAGACTTCTCATGTGTTCCCTCAGGAAGCCTGCCTGGAAAGACGGGTCCACCGCTACGTGCGTTCTGGCTGTGGACAACGTTCTCTATATTGCCAACCTTGGAGACAGCCGGGTATGCAGATCCTGAGCCGCCCACTTAGACGCCAGCACGTAACACCTGTTTACTTGGCTTACTTGATGCTATCCACATCAGCATCAGTCTTCAGGGTGGCGGGGAGAGGGGTGTTCTACAGTGGGTGGGCTGTATTTAATTCTAAAAAGAGGGCATCGCTAATTGAGATGGTTTGTTCTTGGGGAAAATAGCCCCTATATCTACTTTGTTTTAAACCCCACACCCATTCTTTCCTCTTTTGTCCATGTTTGTTTCTGTGGTGTCTGGGCTCTCTCTAGGTAGTGGTTGGGCTAGAATTTAAACACTGTGGAGCCCGAGGGATAGTATAGGGATTAATGCACTTGCTTTGTGTGCAGGCAGGGGGCAGGTTTGATCCCTAAGAACTGCTGGATATGGCCCCAAAGACCTGACTTCCAATAAATAGTGCGGAGGTTAAGCCTAAAGATTCTCTAACTTCTTTTCTCTGCTTCAGTTACTACTACTACTACTACTACTACTACTACTAATTCTACTTTTTTTTTTTTTTTTTTTTTTTTACTTTTTGGGTCACACCCAGCAATGCACAGGGGTTACTCCTGGCTCTGCACTCAGGAGTTACTCCTGGCGGTGCTCAGGGGACCCTATGGGATGCTGGGAATCGAACCCGGGTCGGCTGCGTGCAAGGCAAACGCCCTACCCGCTGTGCTATCTCTCCAGCCCAATAATTCTACTTTGAAAAATTATTGTGATTACAGAACAATTCCAAACCTGTAGCTTAAAAACCTGCTAGGTGCTCTGCCCTTGATCTCTTGAGCTTGCCATTGGTGGCGTTTTGACCCAGTCAGTTTGCAGGCATGACTTAGAGTTAGAGGGCAGTACCCATCAGGCTCACTCTGCCTGTCTCCTGCTACCCAGAAGTCTGTCCCATCCCTGTGCGGCTTTGAGAGTGGCCATCGCGTGCTCCTCTGTCATCATAGGCAGGAGTCCTTTCTCCTCTTTACAACAGCTGCTCCATGCCCCCTAGCTTTTATTATTTAAAAAAATGTCCGCCCCCTTCTTAAATTGAATCATGGTGAGATACACAGTTACAAAGTTGTTCATGATTGGGTTTAAGTCATACAATGTTCCATCACCTGCCCCTTCTCCAGTGTATATTTCCCACCACCCATGATCCTAGTTTCCCTCCTGCCACTTCCATCCCTCCAGTCTGTCTCTGTGGCAGATATTTTGCCCCCCCTTTATTTTTTTTATTTTTTCTTTTTTAATAAGAATTAACCCCATTTTATTTTATTATTTTTTTAACATCAAGTTTTATTTAAGTGATTTATTTTGGGCTCACATTCAGCAATGCTCAGGAATTACTCCTGGCTCTGCACTCAGAAATTAATACCTGGCGATACACGGATGGACCATAGGGGATGCTGGGAATCGAACCCGGGTCGGCTGCCAGCACAACCCCCCCATTCCCCCCCCCCCTTTAGACACTGTGGTTTGCAGTACTGAAAGGTTATTGGGCATATCTCTTTACATCCTTTCAGCACTCAGCTCTTGTCCAGAGTGATCATTTCCAACTATCATGGCCGTAGTGGTATCTTTTAGGGGACATTCTTTTATTCAGGAAACAAAGGACAGGATCTGGAGATAGAACTCACATGTCAGCGACTGTCCCAGGCTCCGTCTGGGAGCTGTTGTCTGGGTGCTCACCAGGAGTCTGCCACAGCACACAGCTGTTTAGACCAGGTGACTCCAGATGAATGGGAATGACGGTAAAGCAGCAAAAGAACTTTGGAGTCAGACCGACAGTCGAGTCGGACATGCCCTATGAAATGACTCAGACACAGTGCTCGGCCTTTTGACCTCAGCTTCCTCCTCCTGGAAGTAGGGCTTTGCTGAGAAGTCACATGGACACGTGCCGTTGCTCTCGGTCAGCATGCCTGGGAGGTTTGAGGCCTGGGCTCTCCCGTCCATGTAACCCTCCTCTCTGCGCTGACGTCAGCCCTGTTTGTTGTGGGCTGCTCACGACCCAGGTCGCACTGTCTTGCCAGGCCATTCTGTGTCGTTACAACGAGGAGAGTCAGAAGCATGCAGCCTTGAGCCTCAGCAAGGAGCACAACCCCACACAGTACGAAGAGCGGATGCGGATACAGAAGGCCGGGGGCAATGTCAGGTGAGCGGGGCCCCAGGAGACTGAGGTCTGCAGAGGTAAAGGGGGCCACGCAAGGGCTGCATGTGTATGCGGTGGGAGCAGAAGGCAGACGTGAAACCAGCCTCCGGCCTGGAGGTGGCCCTGGCCAGCTGCGTGCCTCATCTGCATGGCACCCGATTCCTTCCTGGCATCGAAAAACAAGACAGAAACGAGCCTTTCTGCTGCGGAAGGGGAGAAGCCCGTCTCGGGGTCGGACTCACCATTTGCAGTGTTGTTTTTGCTCAGGAACTCATGTAGGGCGCAGTTCACAGTGCACCCGTAGAGAAGAGTATTTAGCATGTACTTCTGGTCACTTGTCCATGGGTGTCTGGTTTCTCTTCGGGAAGTCTGTCGCTGTTGTAGTTTGTTCTGGAAGCCACACTGGCGATACAGCTTCCTCCCAGCTCTGCAGGATCGCTGTGGTGCTTGGGGGACCATAATGTGGTGCTGGGAATTGAACTGGGTCGGCAGGTGTTATTCTCCAGCACTGGGAAGTCTTTTTTTTTTTTCCCCCTGAGGGGACATGGGGGACACACCTGGCTGTGCTCAGGGCTGACTCCCAGCTCTGCACTTAGATGTCACTGCTGTCAGGGCTCATGTGACCCTATGTGGTACTAGGCATGGAATCCAGGTCTGCTGTGTACAAGCACCCTCCCCGCTGTCCTATCTCTCTGGCCCCCAGGTGTCTGCTACTGCGCCGGCTTCCTATTAGCAGGGCTGCAGGGCCTCTCAGGAGTGGGGGTCAGCGGGACTGTTGGTTCAGAGCTCTGTCTCCGGGAAGAGGGAGGGTTTCGGTGCTTGCCTTGCCTTTAGTTCCCACACCCCTATCCCCTAAGTGCTGTCAGGAGAGACCCCAGAGCACAGCCAGGCCAGGAGCAATCCCCAGCATCCCCCTCTGCCACCCAAAAAGCATCTCTGGGTGGGGTTCCCGGGATAGCTCAAAGCACGAGGTGTCTTTGAAGACTAAGAGTGAACCCTGCTTTGCTCCCTGGCACCACCCCGTGTGGCCATGTGGTAGTTCTGTTTGGGATCCTGGTTTCACTATCAGGTCCAGCCCCCTGGATTGGCACTTGGTGCACAGGTCCTGAGCACCACCAAGAACACCCCTCTCTCAACCCTACCCCACCCCTCCTACCCCTCCCCGCCAAATGCTCTGGTGACATCGGGATGAGCCTGGGCAGCATGGTGCTCTGCCAAGTGGTGGGCTAGCCTAGTTGACTGTGACCTGGCATTGCTGGGCACTCAGCAGGGACTGTGCCAGTGTCAGTGCGCCTGTCTGCCCTTTGACTCGAGCGTCCTACTTTTTGCTGAGTGTCTGGAGAGACTGCATTGACAGTCCTCACTGAATGGAGTGGCCTCGGCTGGCTGTGAGCCGAGGACTGTGCCAGTGTCAGTGCCACCTGTCTGCCCTTTGACTCGAGCGTCCTACTTTTTGCTGAGTGTCTGGAGAGACTGCATTGACAGTCCTCACTGAATGGAGTGGCCTCGGCTGGCTGTGAGCCGAGGACTGTGCCAGTGTCAGTGCCACCTGTCTGCCCTTTGACTCGAGCATCCTACTTTTTGCTGAGTGTCTGGAGAGACTGCATTGACAGTCCTCACTGAATGGAGTGGCCTCGGCTTGCTGTGAGCCGAGGCTTCAGGATTGCGCTCCCCACCCCTTCAGCTCCTAGGAGTGTGTGTGGGCCGGGGCGGGCCAGGATCGGATCTGAGAGCAGAGCTGGACTCCTTTGAGTCTCTCCTACCTGCCCCATTAGCAACCATTCAGAACATAAAAAAAAAAACTGTTGGGGCTGGAACCATTGTACAGTGGGGGGGCATGTGGCTCACTAGGGTTTGATCCCTCCCCGCCCCTCCCCCCTAATAGGCTCCCTGAGTCCACCAGGAGTGATCCCTGAGCACAGCCAGATGTAGCCCAGAAACTAAAAAAAAATTTGATTTGGTTTTTGGGTCCTACCTGGCAGTGCTCAGTTGCTCCTCGCAGCTCTGCACCCTAGCTGTGCTCAGGAGACCATGAGGAGTCCGGGAATCACACACCCTGTCCCCCCACACAAAGCCTGTGTTCAGAGAGAGAGGACAGGCTGCTTAGGCACTTGCTTTTCACATGCCTGATCCAGGTTGAATTCTCAGCACCCCACGGGGCCCCTGAGCCCACAGGAGTAAGCCCTACGCGCCGCCGGGTGTGGCTCAGAAGCAAGAAGAAAAGAAGCGTGTTGTTCAGCCCTTGGCTGTCACTCCAGCAGCGTTGACGTCTCCATGCCCAGCACCTCAATTCTGGGTAGTCAGCATTTGGCCACACTTGCGTGGCGTGTTCAGGAGCTGTTCCAGCGCAGTTTGATGCTCGGGTGCTCCATGTAGTACTGTAGGTACCGTGGCAGTCATCTCCAGCTCATCAAGCTGTCTGTTTCTCAGGACCCTTTGAGCATTGTTTGTTGGATGTGAGGGTGTGTTTCTTCCTGTCTCAGTCCCAGCTCCCTGCCCGGGCCCATCCATCCATTGGCCCGAAGATTGCACCCAGACCTCCTGTGTCCAGGGCCCACGTCTGGCACTCAGCACTCTGAACGCTATTGCAGGCACACTCCTTCGTTCATATCAGGCCTCCTGAGAGTCCATCTTCATATTTTCCCTTGTCCCCAGGGTGTCTCTGTTGGAACCAGGATTCACTCAAAGTCATCCATACCTTGGCCTTGTCTCTTGTTTTGTTTTGGGGCTGTTCCAGTCAGTGCTCAAGGACCACTCAAAGCTTGGTTTTGGGTGAACTGTACAGTGCTGGGGGCTCAATCCTGGATCTCATGTTGGCAAAGCCCATGCTCCAGCCTCACATGTTTCAGTGTAGAGGGTCTCTCTGGAGCAGGTGCTTTCCCGGGTCCAGTAAGCACTAGTCTGCTGTCACTTGTGTGTCTAAATTTGTCTTCATCCGTGTCACCTGGGCCTCAGGGATCCCGTATGCCACTTACACGTCCAGCTGTGTCTTTAGAATCAGGTTGGTGAAAATACTGACTTACATCGTTAATCCTTCCTGTTGGTGCCACCAATTCCTTGCTAAGACATGGGTACCGGCAGGTGCCCCCACGTGAAAGGTCACATTGGCCTGTGAATCTGCAGTGATCTAGTAGAAGCACTCTGGCACGCTGTGATGGTTGTCTGCCAGGGCACATGTCACCTGCTACACTAGTCCCCTTTCGTGATCCAGCACTGATCTGATTTCGTGATCTCTCTCTTTGCCTTAAGCTCTGGGTTCCACACGTAGTAGCATCGGCTGGAAGGAATTCCCTTTGTCAGCAGGGATCAACCAACCAGAACCTTGCAAAGCAGGGCAAATGTTTATATACCAGTCCACCAGGAAACAGCCATCTACTGTGGTGGAGTGAACGGGCTTCCTTCCTGCTCTTGACTCTCCTCCTCTCCTGGCTGATTCTGGTTAAACAGGGGCCTCTGCTGCTCACGTTCCAGGGTACGGCCAGGGAAGGGGCCTCCTTCAGATCCACGCCTGTGACCTCCAGAGACATGTGCTAGGGACTCAGGTCGGCTGATTTATCATTCCTGTCTAGTCTGTTTGAGGGCAGAGCTGGAAAACTCATTTCCAGTTGTGCTTTCCGATCGTTGGCTGTTAGTTCTGTTTGATATTAGAGAGCCTCTGGCCTGGCTAGGAGCAGGCTAGGAGCAGTAGCTTGAGCTCTTTAATGCTTCAAATCTGGGTTCGTAGTAACTGCATGTTTATTTGCTGAAGTAGCTTCAAAATCAATACATCAAAGTGAGTGAAGTTTGAGTTCACTGTAGTTTACGTGTCTTTAGGCCAAGGATGTATTTTCAGAAATAGAACCATCAAAGGGCAGGGAGACGGCTTGAAGGACTGGAACTCAGGCGTTGCATGTAGGAGGCCCAGGTTTAGTCCCCTGAGCACCGCCAGGTGTGATGACCCAAAAACAAACATAAAAGAAATAACTGCATGATCCAATAATTCCACTTCTGAGTTGGAGTTAGCTTTTGAATAATAGAACGTTTAGGGGGACACAGGCCACCCCATGCATTTAGAAGATTAGCATACATAAACCTGGTCCCCCAAAACTTGATTAATCACCCACTGTTGGCCAGAAGCCTCACACTAACAGCTGACCAACATATATTTTGTATGTTATACAAATTATTGACTGTATTCTTACCTTAAAGCTAAACAAAAAATATGCTAAGAAAATCATATGAGAAAATATATTGATGGTATTCCACTGTATTTATTGGTGCTGTAAATTTGCGTCAGCTGTTAACTAGGAAATATCTGTGTAATGGGACCTGCACAGTTCAGACCCGTTGTTCAAGGTCCACAGTATACCCAGAGAATTTAAAGCAGGAGTTTGACGAGTTCTGCATATGCCTGGGTGACAGCAGTGTCCCTGACAGTAGCCTGAGACACTGAACCTTGGGTGCTGCTCAGCCTTCAGAGGAAGGGAACAACACAGTGGAAAGTTAGGTGGCCCAGTCACCGATGAAGAAAGGAGCGTGTGAGCCCATCAGTCATGGCATCCACATGGTCCCCGAGCCTTGCCAGGAGTCATTTCTGAGCGCAGAGCCAGGAGTCAGCCCCAAGCACTGCCAGGTGTGGCCCCCAAACCAAGACCACCACCACAGCAAAACAACAACCAAAAACAAGTGCAGCACGTTGTGAGGCTAGAGAGGTAGAACCACAGGTAAGACGTTTGCCTTGCAGGTGCCGGTTCTTTAAGGCTCAATCCTGGAACCCCATAAGGTCCCTCAGGCACCGGCAGTTGTAACTCTGAGCAGTTTTGGGTGTGGTCTCAAAACAGGTCAGTGGTGGTGGTGGTGGCTTTGTGGGGATTGCACCAAACAGTGCTCAGGGACTGCTGGCAGCCATGCTGGGGAGCACTAGGTCCCGGGGACAGACCTGGGCCTCCAAACTGATGCATATGCTCCAGACCTTGGTGCCATTACTCTACCGCATGAAGTGGCTTGATTCTCTGGGTCACACCCAGCGAGGCTCAGGGGTTACTCTGGCTCTGCAGTCAGGAATAACTCCTGGCAGTGCTCAAGGAACCGTCTGGGATGCCAGGGATTGGCCCCCGCTTGATCACATACAAGGCAAAATGCCCTACCCACTGTACTCTCTCTCTGGCCCGTAAAGCGTATTTTTACAACAGCTTTAAAAAATGAAAAAAAAAAGGGGGGGGGTTGGAGAACAGTACAGATGGTAGGGCATTTGCTTGTGACTGACTCAGTTTCGATCCCTGGCACCCCATATGGTCCCCCAAGCCCACCAGGAGTGGTTCCTGAGCACAGAGCCAGGAGAAAGCGCTGAGCACGTCTGGCTGTGACTCCAAAACCAAAAGTAAAAAGAATCTTCCACACTTAAGTGGTTAAACATATAAATTAAAAGCTCTGTTTATGAAGATGTCCTCATCTGGCACTTTACTCATATCCATTACCATAATAAAAACACATGTGTGCCTTTTTCCTACTTTCTTCCACTGAGGACAGATACTGGATGCGGCAGTGCTTGTGGCCTGGGATCTCCCCTGAGGGTGGTGGGGGACCTGGTAGTTAACAAGGAAGGAGCCGTGTTCAAGACAGCTCTGATAAGCACAGAAACTTCTGTGCCAGCCTGCGGCATCGGTCCATGTGGGAGGTCTGGAGGAGATGGCTGCCCACCGTCCGGCTTGCTTAGATACCTTAGAAACCTGTGGCACCATCGTGTCCCCTGCTGGTGCCCAGGAGACTGTAGTCGGCAGTGTCCAGCCTGTTCCAGCAGCTGTCAGCCCACGTCCATCTCTTTGATTGTGCAGGAGAAACTGGACTTCTGTCCTTTCCTAGGCCAGCGGACAGGTTTGACTGGGAGATGTTGAATGGTGCTCACCCCTGCACCCAGCTTCCACTGTTGGGCACGCTGATGGCAAGTTAATGTGCTGTCAGGTAGTGCCAGCACAGCACGGGTCACCATACAGAGCCCCTGTTCCCCAAGCAGCATGTGCTCCAGGGGACGCTGGGAGGGGATGGGAGGGGACTGGGCGGCAGTCAGGTGGGGCCTTGCTGGAGGAACTGCTGGCTGCACCGAGGGCAGGCTCCCCACCTATCACCTTGGTGCTGGGCCTGGGAGGGGTGTGGCGCTCTGAGCACCCCATCCCGGTCTCTTGTACAGACCGACCACCAGGTCCCGGCCCTCCTGTGGCTCTGCCGAGACGCACAGACTGAGCGGCCCAGGATTCCCGCGGACAGCGTATCGGGAGGCCTGTGTTCTCCAGCCCGGGGGACTCTGCGCCACCCTCTGAGTGCTGTCGTCCCTCCAGCGGCTGTCCCGCATGGGTGCGGCACTGGCTGGATTTTGTCAGCACTGCTTCCGGGAAGATGCCACTGAGTCTGGGGAGCTCAGACCACCCCTCTGCAGTCTTGCAGGGAGGCTGTGTCCCAGCCTTCCCACGAGGCCCCCCATCTGGCCTCTTGGGTCCCTGGTCTCATTGACATTCGTTCGCCTGGGGACCCTTTGGACACCCGTTTGGCCTCAGTTGAGAAATGCCAACCTGGAGCCCTGAAAATGTGGTGCAGAATTACCGGACATGTGGTGTGTGTGCGATCACATGTCAGTGCTGGTGAATGGGGGTTCTCAGGCTGCACTGGAAATATCAGCGAGGTGCAGTCTGCAGCCTCGGGGACCAGCTTCTGGGTGTGGCCTGCAGCCATCTCCCTCGTCAGCTGGAACCTGAATGTTTTCCCTCATTTTAGGGACGGGCGTGTCTTGGGCGTGCTGGAGGTGTCCCGCTCCATTGGGGATGGCCAGTACAAGCGCTGTGGGGTCACTTCTGTGCCAGATATCAGACGCTGCCAGCTGACCCCCAATGACAGGTAATGAGCTCCCTTCCCAGGCGCAGGGGAGTCCCACAGTCTGCATCACCCATTGGATGGGGCTGGGCGGCCCAGTTTCTTCAAAAGTAGGGTCTCTCACTGCGTGCCAGGCTGCCCACAGGAGAATGCAAAAGATGTGTGGGCTTCCAGTGGGATACGGGGTGCTGAGGGAGGCCTTAGACCTTTGGGTTCCATGTTGAGGAATCTGCTTAGCCTCTCACGAAGGATCATGGGAGGGTTTTAATCAGAGCTGCAGGAGGTGCCTCCTGGCCTCCTGTCTGAGCTGCAGCAGTGGGTGGCTCTGCTTGGCCTGGGGAACCCTCAGGAGCTGGTCTAGAAGATGGAGACGGGGCCCTTTGGGAACTGAGGCCCAGGGAAGGGAGAATTGCTGAGAACAGGCCTCACGGTGTGGCAGGGAGGTGACATGCCTGTGAAGGACTCATTCCAGAACTACTCGGCTGCCCCGACTGAAAGGGCCACCTGCTGCCCTGTGTCCCACGTCCCTGAGTGAGGGCGTTTGGGCAGGCTTCTGCTTCACCTGCAGTTGCCGGGTTACCTGGGGGTGTCCCAGGGGCCGTGACATCCCTTTCAGAACCCAGGTGCCCACTGGACCTTGTGTCGTGGATTGGGAAGCGGTGACGGCACCCGGAGGCTGCAGCTCAGCGAGCTTGGCATAGACAGCCAAAGGGGCTTCTGAGAGGGCACACCTGTCTCCCACCTCCCCGGCCGTCCCCAGCCTCCTGGCTCTCACAGCCACACAGCCCTCATGGGCAGAGTTCAGGAATGTGGTTTGTCTGGAAACTTAACTTTGTGACTTTGGAAGTGACACGTGATGGTGGAAATTTGGTGTGGATTTGCTGTAACCGCTGGTGTTTGTTGGGCCACATATGGCGGTGCCCAGTCTTATTGCTGCCACCATGCACCATGAGGGAGCACTCCTGGGGTGGGACTTGGGGGATCATATATGAGGCTCTGGGGAGAGAGCCCGGCACGGCCATACACAGGGAAATTGTCTAGCCACCGCACTGTTGCTCCAGCCCACCCCTGCTGATATTAGGTAATTTTCTTTGAATTTGTCTAAGAAACTACCATTTCAGTAGCTCTGACCTTTTCTCACGAGAGTGAAGTTGTTTCCGATGCACGGCACGGCCCTGAGTGGGCTGTGAGACCGTGTTCCCCCGGTGGCAGGTTTATCTTGCTGGCCTGTGATGGCCTCTTCAAAGTCTTTACTCCGGAAGAAGCTGTGAACTTCATCTTGTCCTGCCTCGAGGTAAGAGATCTCAGGAGGGCGTGGAGTCCTCCCGCGCGGTGGCGTGTGTCCCACCCGCCTTGTGGAGCTGGGGCCTCAGGAGATGCGTCACCGCCCCTTCCTGCCCACCAGGACGAGAAGATCCCAAGCCGGGAAGGGAAGCCCACTGTGGACGCCCGCTACGAGGCGGCCTGCAACAGGCTGGCCAGCAAGGCGGTGCAACGGGGCTCGGCTGACAACGTCACGGTGATGCTGGTGCGGGTGGGGAGCTGAGGGCCCAGCGCGGCTGCTGTGCGCTCGGGACTCCCATGACTGTAAATAAAGAATTCCTTTTTTTTTCCTAGTCTCTTGAGTGGTCACATTTTCAGCAATTTTGGGCCCTTGAGAAGTCCTGTTTGCTTTGGAATGTTTGCACTGGATCTTCCCTCATTAAACCTGTACACTGGAAGGGGTTGGAGCACTAGTACAGTGGGGAGGGTGCTCGTCTGGCACCGGCTGACCCTGGACCCTTCCAGGAGTGACCCCTGAGCGCAGAGCCGGGAGGAAGCTCTGCCAGGCATGGCCCCAAGTCCCTGAATAAAACTGTTTGTTGTAGGCAGGAATGACACCCTGGCCAGCTTGCTGCTTGATGATGAATTCCCAGGCACTTGCCTCCGCCTTTTGACCCTTGAGACGAAGCTGGTGGAAATTGGCACCAGACAGATAAGTAACCTGAGCTGTTGGTCGCCGTGGCGGAAAGAGAAGAGACTCATGAGCGTAGTGCTCCGACAGCAGAGCTGCTCCAAGCAACTGCTTCGGTCTGTGGCGAGCAGCTTGGTGGAGGACTCTGGAGGCCAGGCGTTCCTGTGTTGGGCACACTGCTGCCATCGCAATGTGGCCTCCGACCCAACCCGGTGAGGATTGTGCATTCACAGTTCGGCCTAGGATGGGGTGGCTCTTCAAGCAAGACCCGTCCGGTGGGAGCCTTGAGGTAAAGACGAGATGAGCCTGTGCTGACAACACACTCTTGCAACCCTTGGGTCAAGCTGCGGTGTTGCGCCTGCCCTCGGGTCTCTGACACACAGCTTCTGAGGAAGCTGGTGGGTGCTGCTGGCGCCTGCCCCGCAACACTGGACAACAGCCGGGTCCTGTGTCCTGTGCAGCTGAGGACGCGGGGTACCAGGGTGGCCTCACTGAGGCAAAGAACCTGGCACCTCAAAGTCGGGAGAAAGGTTTATTCAGGAAGCAGCTTCCCCACAGTCCATTGCAGGCCATGGTGACCGCGTCTCCTTTGTCAGCAATCCCAGAATACCCCCTTGCCACCGCCTTAACAGGGTCTGGCCGCATCCTTGGGGTTTTTATGTCTGAGGTGGGGGGAGCTCACCCAGCAGTGCTCAGGGATCAGTCCTGGTAGGGCTTGGTGGATACTCAGGGTGCCGGGGCTCAAACTCGGGTCAGCTGCATGGAGGGCCAGTGACTTAACTACTGTCCTATCTTCCCAACCAAGTTCTTGAACTTCATCTTGGGAGCAGGTAGAAGCATGTCCCATCTGGCACTCTGCACAATTATTACTACAACTGCTTCTGGCACTTGATGCTGGGAAGACAGATGTGTGGCATTTCCGAGGAAAGCCGCTGTCTGCGTGTCCGTAGATGCAAGTGAGGGCTGCAGTGCCCGGAGCCGCCGGGCCAGCCTGTGCTTCCTGGGTGGGTGGGTGGGTGCCAGGGATGGGGCTGGCTCCTGGGCATGGTGCGCACTCTGGCTGGAAGGGGCTCAGGTCTGCAGGTGGGGTGTTTACTTTCAGCTCCAGGGTGTGTGGGTCTGGGTTGCCATCCTGGAGGCCCGGGGGGCGAGGGGGGGAGAGCCGGTGGCTGGGGTGATTGCCTGCCATCCTTGGTAGGCAGTGGGGCCCTGGTGGAGCCTCTGCTCGGGGACAGCCAGCTCCAGCGTGCACCTGTGCCCCCCCACCCCCGGGTCAGATGGGAGGACAGTCCTGGAGGCCATCTTCATCTGCCAGGCACTGGGGGGCGCAGAAGCTAGTCTAGAAGAGGGCTCCGGAGAGGGGGTTGCTGCCAGTGAGCCTCGGGGGCTGTCCTTACTCCCACAGCTGCCCCTGAAGCCCCCTCCAGCACAGTCCCTGCATGGCCCCACCACCCAGGCGGAGACCACCAGCTTGACATCGGCCCCTCATCATGCACACGGGTGAGGAGGGTGCGAGACTGCAGCTAGGACTCTGCTCTGAGCCCCAACCAAGTCCCCAGCTCCTGCGCATCATCTGCAGGTCACCTGCTCAGCATGCTTTCTCCTGCATGTGGCCGCTACCACTCACAGCAGCCAGAGCTGGCAGGGCCTGGCAGGGCTGCCCAGGACAGCTGACGGGGAGGGGGTGAGGGAGTAGCCACTGCTGTCCAGGAAGACGGAGGTGGCCTGCCCTGTCAGCCCTGACTCTGCCGCCGTTTCCCCCCGGCCTCCTCCCCCGTGGCCAGGAGTCTTCCAGTGCCCCTCCCCGCCCTCTCACAGGACCACACAACCCTCTGGTCTCTTCTGCACTTGGCACCCAGACTTCTCGTGCACCTACGGGCATGTCTTCAGAGCAGGCAGCAGGAGCCAGAGACCAGTGATCTTTGACGCACGGGCCAGGCTCCACTCTGCTCCCACCTTTGCCTCATGCTCTGGCCGGCCTTGGCCTTTGCTGCCAGGGCCAGGAGGGCAGTTGCTTGGGTTTGTGCAGGAAATGACACGTCCAGGCGTCCTGAGCCTCACCCTGTCCCCTCACATCCCCCAAGGAATCTGAAACTGGGGACCGCCTCACAGGAGCAATTCGGGGGGGGGGGTGTAGAGCCAGAGAGGGCAGAGCCAGGCTGAGCAATGGCCCTGTGTTCCCGCAACCCACACACCTGTAGGTCCAACACCCTCTTGGCACTGCTGCCCAGGCCCATGACGGCCTCCAGGGAGCTGCGGCCAAAGAGGGTCAGGCTGGGCCCCCAGACCCAACTGCATCCACCGCTGCCACGGGCCAGAGATGACACAGAGATGGTATGGGCTGGTGGGGAAGGTGCTGTGAACCAGGTGCCCAGGAGATGGGCCCGCAGAAGAAGCCAGTGCCAAGACAGGGGACAAAAGACTCCACTTGTGACCCTGTCAGCCGGCAGACATCTACACAACCCCAGCATCTCAAACTCTGCCAAGAAATAAGGAAGGTCCAATCATGGCCATGGGGGCTTGAAGGTGTCCGCAGGCAGAAGGCCAGCTCAAGCCTGCACCACGGGTCCCCAGAGCACTTCTGGGTGTGGCCCACCCACTAAAATCTGCTTAAGGCAAGTTTGGGGTTTTTTTTGGCCATACTCAGCAGTGTTCAGGGCTTTCTAGCCTGGCTCGGTGCTCAGGGATCACTCCGGTGGGTTCAGGGAACCATATTCGGTGCTGGGCGTTAAACCCAGGTGGACCCCTTGCAAGAGAAGCGCTCTGCCCGCTGTGCTGACCCCGGGTGGGCCCTTTCTTCATCAAGGCCACCCTTGGGTTTGGCGACTGCTGAATCGCTGAGTGAGCGGTGGTCATCCCTGCCTGCAGGAGGCGCTCCAGCTGCCTGAGACATGCTGCCACCAAGCTGTCCCCGCTGCACTCCTCTCCAGTAATGACGTCATGGAACTGGTGCGGCCTCAGGGAGACTGGGGCCACATTGGAACCCACAAACTGTGTGACTGGGCGGGCAGGGCCCTCTGGCACCAGCCCTGCCCTGTGGGTCACCCCAGGGCACACACAGATGGGGGCAATCTCGGCCCCACTAGGAGGCATCAGGCCTGTCTTGCAGCTGAGGCTGGTGGCACCAGGGACCCACAGACTGCGCAGGCGTCACAGCCCTCAGAGGCCCCGTTTGGGGTGGCAGTGGCTGTGGGGGAATGGGGGTCTTCCTCCTACCCAGAGGCCCCTGTGTGATGTTCTGCTATCTTCTCCGTGGATCCAATCATTGGGCAGTTACGAGGGGGCTTGGCTTGGTTTTGGGCCAACCCAGCTGTGCTCAAGGATCTCTCCTGGCGGAGCTCAGGGGACCTGATGGGGTGCCGGGGATCAAGCCCAGGCTGGCCACATGCAAGGCCAGCGCCCTCCTGCTGGGCTTTCTCTCTGGCCCTATTAGTCTTTTTTTTTTTTTTTATAATTTTATTAGTGAGACACCATGAGGTACAGTTGCAGACTTACAAATTTTGTGCTTCGGTTGGCCCTATTAGTCTTGGTACCATCTCTTAACACTGGGGTGAGGGTAGATTTGGGGGCAGGTTGGCCAGTTGTAAGCACCACATTTGGGCATTTTGGTGGGGGTCACCAGGGAGAGAACGGGCCGAGTGCATAGAGAGCACATGCTCTGCCCCTGGTCCCCGGCTCCAAGAACCCACCCTCCCTTGCACCCAACAGTGCTCAGGAACTGTGTGGTACTGGATCGACCCCAGGCCCCTGTGTGCCAAGCCCAAGTCAGCCTGCCTTGCCCTGGCTTCAGAACCTGATTCTTTGCTGTGCTTGGGACGAAAGTCCCCAGCCCCTGGCCCTGATTGTCCCCTCTCTGGTGCCCACAGCCAGGTAGCTTTGAGGGAGCTACTGTGAGAACTGCCTCATCCGCGCTCCATGCACCAGACCCAGGGGCCAGGAGATGCATGGTGGCAGCCCCCTTCAGCGGAGCATGCGCACTACTGTCTGGGACGGGGGCCGCCCGTGGACAGCCCTGCCTGGTACGTGGTACGTGACCACTGTGGGCCTCCCCTGGGAGTTTTAGAAACCGTGGCTAGTGGCAGGCTGGAGGCTGGCCCGGGCCTGGGGAGCTGAGGGGCCAGTTGGGGGCCTCATCTTGTCTGCTGGGACCTGGACACCCCACTTGGCACATTCCAGTCGCCCTTTCCCTTTGCATCTAGCACAGATGAGCCCCCCCCCCCATGTGGTAAGGGAGGAGGGTGGACTAGGTGCACCAGTTCACCTCATGGGGAAGAGAACCTTCATGTTTGTTTAGCGCGTTTGGTGGTGTCTGACCTGGAGGCCGGAGATGGTGTGTCAGCCTATGCTGTTCACAAGCCGTCTTCACACACCACACCCCCCTGGCCACTCGAGCTACAGGACAGCAGCTAGGGCACTTGCCTTGCACGCTGTTGGCCCAGGTTTAATCCCTGGCATCTCACATGGTCCCCCTGCCAGGAGTGAGCCCTGAGCACTGTCTGGAGTGGCACACGTAAAAAAAAATAAAGAAAACAGGACTTCTTACAGGTCCCCTGGTGACCGCCACCCAGGAACGTTTGCACGACCCAGGAGCATGAGGCCCACGAAACTGGTCTGTGAACCAAAAGCTGACAGTAAACCATAAAGAAATTTATTTCCAAACACATCATTTTCACGACCCCACGTTTACTCATGCAGCCCTGTGTGGGGTAGAGAGCAGGGCTGGGCTCTCTGACACTGCTGGGTTCCCACTGGTCCTGCCCAGGCGGGGGGACGGGGATCTGCTGGCTCTTGGTCCTAGCGCAGTGGCTGTGCCTTGAGGTCCAGCCGGGTGCCCCTGCCCAGGAGATCTTTGAGCCCGCAGGACGTTAATGGAAGCAAATTGCTCAGGAAACGGAGCTCCTGGCCAGGGCACCCCTTCCTGCACCCCTGCCGGGAGCCTTTGGCAACCCTCACTCCCAGCCCCACAGACAGAAGAACCTCCTCCCAGTGTGTCTGTGGGTGCCGCCCTCCGGGGGTCATCATCGAGTCCGAGGAGCATTTGCTGCCCGCGCCAGCACGCAGGGCAGATTGCAGAGAGCAGAGGGGCTCACGCGCGCCACCCCCAGGGTGCAGCTCAGTTCTACCTGCTTTGGTGCAGTCCTCCAAAGGGCACCTGAGGAGCCCGCAGGGTCCGCCCACCTGTAGGGAGGCTCCCCGCAAAAGTTCTCCTGGCCCTCTGAAGCCTCAGACGGCTCAGCGCCGCCCCTGGCCTCTAGCCCCTACCTATGGGCCACTGGTCACAGCCCTAGATCGCTCCTAGCCCCGCCCTGGGGCTCTTTGGCTCCGCCCCGTTCTCCCAGCCCCGCCCACGGACGCCTGGCCACGCCCATAGATCTTTCATAGCCCCGCCCCCGGTCTCCTAGCCCCGCCCATAGGTCTTTGTAGCCTTGTCCCTGGTCTGGTGGCGCGGGCCAGCAGCTGCAGAGCCTGACCACTGCTCCCTCAAGCCCTCCCGGGTGTGGCGGGGGACCACGCACAGGAGGAAGGGGGGTGAGGCCGCAGGGGCGGGGTGGGAGCTCGGCCGGACGGGAGAGGGCGGCCCCGCAGTCAGGGCTCCTGGTGGGCCCGGAAGGGCTGTGTCCACTTGCAGACGTCCAGGAAGACGGTGGAGGCGCCGTGGTAGAGCCAGAGGCGGGGCAGGGCGCCGTGGCGCACCCAGACGCCGCGCCCGCGGTCATAGGCCTCCATCTCCACGCGGTAGTCGCCCTCCAGGCCCTGCCAGCGGCCCCCGGTCACGTAGAGCCGGTCACCCAGGGGCACCAGCGCCCCGTTCTCGTGCAGGCTGTGCAGAGGCGGCACCTGCGGGCCACGGGCGGTGTCCGGGATACGGCGGGAGGGACAGGCGGGCCGCCCGACACCCCCCAGGACATGCGCCCCCTCTCCAGCCTGCGCCTCCCACGGGGCTTCCTGTCCCCGTCCCGCGCTCCCAGACCCCCGGCGCTCTCCGAGTCGGGGTGGGGGCAGGCTGGGCGCGCCTGGGCTGACCCCACCCTGCACCTGCTCTGTGGTCAGCCGAGCACTGACGCCAGCGGGCAGCTGGGCGGCCACTCTCGGGGCTGGGCCGCGTTTGGAAGAAACGGGGAAAGGCCAGGGCTGTGGCCGGCCCGCCCCCGGCCCCTCCCGGCCCGCACGGGGGCTGAGGCCCACCTTCTGCCACAGGTTGGCCTCGGGGTCGTACACGTAGACCTTCTTGCTGTTGTCCCCGAGCAGGTAGAGGTCCCCCTGCAGCGCCGCGCAGCGCGGAGACGACACGTACTTGGGGAGGAAGGGCGACGCGATCACGTTCCAGCAGTCTGCGGGGACACGGGGGCGGGGGCGCCCCACTGACCGCAGGGCCGGAGCCCCGGGGAGGCCCCGCGCCAGGCAGCAGCCAGGACCTGGGGCTCTGAGCCCCCCTGCTCCTGGGCACTCCCTGAGCCCGCACCTCCAGGCTGGGCCAAGGCCGCTCAAACCCAGGGCCCCGCCCCACCCAGGGCCCGGCCTCCACCCCTGATGGGCTCCACTCACTCCCGTGGGTCTGTGAGCACCTGGGTCCGGGGGCGGAGCTGCTGCGTGCAGGGGAGACTGGCACGTGGGGGTGAGCGTGACCCCGCCCATGGCTCTGCCCCCGGCATATCGGGTGAGCGGGTGAGCGAGGCACCCAGCCATGTCGGATGAGCGTGGCCCCGCCCCCATCACGTGAGTTGCGTGTGGTCTCGCTCCCAGCACGTGGAGAGCAATGGCTCCGCCCCCGGCCTGTCGGTTGAGCGTGGCCCAGAGGCCCTGTAAGCACCTGGGGTTGCGTGCAGGCCCCGCCCCCAGCACTTGGGGATGAGGAGACCCCAGTCTCGTCTGGCTCCGCCCCTGGCACGCGGGTTGCTGGTGGCCCCGCCCCACCACGTGAGTTGCGTGTGGTCCCGCCCCCGGCACGTGGTGGTGGGCGTGTCCCCGCCCCCAGCAGGTGCCGGGTGAGGGTGAGGGTGGCCCCGCCCCGACCCTCGGCTCCGCCCCCGGCACGTGGTGGTGGGCGTGGCCCCGCCCCAGGGCGTGCCGGGTGAGGTGGCCCCGCCCCGGCCCTCGGCTCCGCCCCCGGCACGTGGTGGTGGGCGTGGCCCCGCCCCAGGGCGTGCCGGGTGAGGTGGCCCCGCCCCGGCCCTCGGCTCCGCCCCCGGCACGTGGTGGTGGGGCTGGCCCCGCCCCAGGGCGTGCCGGGTGAGGTGGCCCCGCCCCGGCCCTCGCCCGCCCTCCCGCGAGGCGCACCGGTGGCCGGGTGGTAGCTCTGCAGGGCGAGCGCGTTGTACTTGCAGGCGCTGGAGCCCACCAGGTAGAGGCGGCCGCGGCAGCCGGCGGCGGCGAAGTTGCTGACGTACTTGAGCGCGGGGCTGACGGGCGTCCAGGCGTCCGTGTAGGGGTCGTAGCGCTCCACCTCCACCACGTCCAGGGTGGTGCCTGCGGCGGGGTGGGGGAGCGCGGTGGAGCCCGGTCCGGGGCCTGAGGAGGGCCCAGAGGGGGTGGGGGCGCCCACGGGGGAAGCGCTGTCCGCGGGGAGCGGGGGGGGGGGGGGGAGTCAGGCGGGACGCGTCGGGGCCGGGGCCCTGGCTCACCGCCCACGGCGTAGATCTCCCCGTTGAGCGCCGCGCTCGTGTGGTTGGTGCGGGCCTTGAGCATGGGCGCCGCGGGCCGCCACGCGCCCTCCTGCAGCGGGAAGCGCCAGGCCTCGGCGCTCGACCACGTGTCGGTGCGGCTGCCGCGGGACCCGCCTGCGGGGTCGGGCAGGGAGGGGCGCCGCCTGCTCAGGGCTCTTCCCGCCAGGCTGACGGGACCCCCGCCCCGACCTCAGGAGTTCATTCCCTCGCCCCGTCCCTCAGAGACGCCCCGTCCTTCAGGAATTCATCCCCCGTTCTTTCAGAGAGCCCCCCGCCTGCTCCCTCAGATACTCCCCACAGGCTCTTCCCTCAGGGACGCCCCCGCCCGTCCCTCAGAGTTCATCCCCTGCTGCCTCAGAGACGCCCCCCCCCCCCCTTCTTTCAGAGAGGCCCCCACTGCCCGTTCCTCAGAGCCCCACCCCCCCTTTCCTCAGGGAGTTCAGCCCCCCCTTGTTCCCTCAGAGACGGCCCCCTGCCCATCCCTTCAGAGTCCCACCGCCCTGTTCCCTCAGAGTCGCTCCACCGCCCCATCCCTTCAGAATCCCGACACCCCGTTCCCTCAGACACCCCCCACCATCCTTCCTAGAGGCCTTACGGTCCCATCCCCTCAGAGACGCCCCTCCGCCTCACTCTTCAGAGAGGCTCTGGGGTCCGGGCACACAGGCTGCACCCACAGGTAACCCAGGAGGTTTCATGTTTCCTTGGTGGAAGAGTCTGGAAGGTTCTGGAAGGGTCAGGAGTGGGGGTCGTGGGGGAGCCACCTGCCTACCTGTGACGTAGACCTGGTTGTTGAGCGCCGCCACGGAGAAGCCCCATTTGTGGTAGTCAGGGAAGTCGGGGAGCGCCATCCAGTTCTCTGGGGGGAGGGCAGGCGTGGGGGACGAGCTGGGACCACCCCTGCCCTCCCACTCCCAAGGCAGGGCCTTTACTGGCTGCAGAGCTGGAGTGACACCAGAACAACCCTGGGCACACTCTGCTGCTGACCCGCCGACCGTGACCGAGGCTGACAGGGCTGGATGGGGAGAGCTGACAGGGGTCTCGGGCGATTTTCTTATTTCTGAGGGTGCACCCGAGAGGCGTTCAGGATCCCGCCTCCGTGATTCTCGGTCGTCCCAGCTGCTGTCCCCGCGGGGCTCTGAGGTGACCCTGCTGCCTAGAGCCAGCGGCACCAGGGCCCTCAGGGCTGCACCCAGCCAGGCGTAGGGCACCTTGTGGTGGGGGCATCAAACCAGGCTGGGGCATGTGGGCAGGTGCCTACAGCTGTGCCAGCTTCTGCCCCCGCAGCAGACCCCACAGGGGTGCGTATACCAGGTTGGTTCATGTCCCAACCTCAGTTTCCCCCTCAGCAGAAGGGGTCAGCGCTACGTGGAATGATGAGTGCTGTCTTGTGGAGTGGCTACTGCTGGGCCAGAGTCCCTGACAAACTGGCCATCTTGAAGCTGTGGGGTAAACTGAGGCAAGGTGAGACGATGGTTCGAGAAGAATCCAAATGGGGCACCCACTCAGCGTGGACGTTGAGGTCCTATAAGGCAATCTGTTGGGGTGTGTGGAGTCTGTGGGGACCCAGACCTGAGGTGCCTCTGGGAAGGTTGCTTTTGGGAGTTTTCTGGCACGCTGGGCAGGACATGTCCCCCTGACTCATGCTTGTGTCACCAAGTGGGGACAGCTGCCAGAAGTCCCCTGCTGGTTGGAGTTAGTCAGCACAGTGCCTCCCCGACGTCAGCCCCTAAGCCCCCCCCCCCCCCCCCCCCCCCCCCCCCGTCAGCCCTGAGCCAGCCAGCCAGGCTGGCTTGTATGCATGGTGCTGAAGCCGCGGGGTGGACCCCAGTCAGCCCCGCTGCCACGGTCTCTGTCACTCTGCTTCCCCTTCCTGGGATTGCCAGGGACCTGAGTCACCTCTGGCAGTGTGTGGCCCCCACCTCCCCGCCCAGCAAGCGGATGGCTGCACACAGCTGCGGTGCGCACCTCTGGGATTGGCGCCGGCTCCCTCAGGCTCCATGCACCCCTTGCCACCCCCACACAGACGTGATCCCGTGGGGGGCACAGGGAGAGGGTGCCAAGAGGAAGTGGAGGCAGCCACGTGCCCTGGGCCCAGGGTCCCCCCATGAAGGACGGGCAGTGGCTCCTTCCTGGGGGTGAACAGGGGGCTGTGGCGGGGGGAGGTTGCCATTCTCAGCCCTAGAGCTTCACGGTTCTCCTCAGTTCTGGCCCCTGCTTGTCCCCACCCATGACTTGGGAGGGGGACTCACTGGCTTTGGGGTGATAGAAGGCGAAGTTGCCAAGGTGGGGGGCAGGCTCCTGGGTGCCCTCGTCGTCCTCTTCCAGTGCGCGGCCGCCCACCACCACCAGGACCTCCTCCAGCTTCTGCGGGAGCGCCAGCAGCTCCTGGGGTAGGGGTGGGGGTCAGAGGGCAGGACAGAGTGGGGCCCTGGGGCAGCCTCAAGACATTCCTCTTGGGTTTGTTTTGTTTTGGGGTCACAGCTAGTGATGTTCGGGGGGGATTACTCCTGCCTCTGAGCTCAAGGATCAATCCACATTGCTGGGGACCGTGTGGGGTGCCTGAGATTGAACCCAGGTCGGCTGGGTACAAACCGGGCATCTGCCCATGGTCTGACTGCCCAGCCCCCGGCTCCCTTTTGAACATGGCACTTCTGCCTATTAAATGTCTCCTGGCTCAGGTGTCTCTGGGCAGGTTTGCTGATATTTGGGGGCAGTGGCAGGTCTGAGTGAGGCCTTGTGCTGGGCATGTATGTGGGACACAAGTTTCAGTGTGCACATGTGTATGTGCATTGCACACACGTCTGTTTTGACGTGTGCTATGGGACACGTGTGTGCTGTGGGGTATGTGTTCTGTGGCGTGCGTGTATACACTGTGGTGTGTATGAGCTGTAATGTGTGTGCCGTGGTATGTGTGTTCTGTGCCGCATGTATGCTCTGTGGCATGTATGTGCTTTGTGGCACATATTGTTATGGCACATATGTATATGCTTTGTGGCATGTGTGCCCCAGGGCATGTATGTGCCGTGCTATGTGTGCTCTGTGGCGTATGTATGCTGTGGTGTGTGGACTCTAGGGCACTCATGCTGACAAACAGCCTGGGAGCGGGTAGCAAGTTTGTGGGTGCTGCTCCCCTCCCAGCAACCACGGTGTTTGGGGGGTCCAGACCCCAGAGTCTGGCTCCAGGCAACACATGCCCCCCCATGCCTGCCCCCAGGACCAGCAGAAACGACCCAAGTCAGGGCATAAGCCCTGGTCTGGGAGGCCCTGAGCCAGGGACCCGCCGTGCCTGGTGGCTCGGAGGTACAGGGCTGGACCCTGGCAGGGATCAGCAGGTATGTGGCTGCATGCACCACTGGAGCCCTCCCAGGCCTGAGCGTCTGCCCGCCAGCAGACGGACTGACTCATGGCCACACTCTGGCTGGTCAGCTCCTGGACCCCAAAACCCTCCTGGCTCACAGCTCCCCATCAACACTTGAGTGGCTTCGGGAGAGGTGGGTGGTAGCTGGCGGCCATGCCCTTCTCTGCCCTTTGTCCTTCTCTGCCCCATGCCCATCTTCCTGGTTTCTTTCCTCATCAGGGGAATAGCGCAGTTGCTGCCTCCTTCAGGGAGCCCTCCCTGACTGTCCACCCTTGGAGGCTGCCTCACCCAGTGCTGGTCTTTCTCGTGCTGCTTTATGTGAGGGTCCAGGTTGGTCCCCTGCTCCCCTGAGTCAGGGGATGGGAATGATTGAGTCTCCTCCCGGTGCACCCGGGGAGGACAGCCCAGCTTAGCATCCCAGTCCATACTCACCCCACTGTGGTCCTGCGACAGGGCAGCCTGGCAGGCCTCCGATGCTCGGATCAGCGGCTCTGTGGCCAGCAGCTGCTGCATGCAGGGTGTGGGCAGCGCATCCAGGGGCACCAGGCTCAGCAGCAGGGGCAGGTGCTGGGCCCGGGCCTGCGGGTCGTGGCGTGCCCAGCGCAGCAGGGCCTCCAGACGGCTCTGCTCTGGCTGTGCCTGGAGCAGGTCGCTGGTCAGACACGTGGACAGGCGGTCGGGGGTCAGCTGCAGGAACTCGTCCTCCTGGGCCACGGCCTCAAAGTTCTCCTGCAGGAAGGCCCGGGCCTTGGAGGCCACCCCCAGGAGGCCCTGCTGCTCCCCGAACTCCCAGATGCCCAGGCAGTTCGCGGCATCCAGCTGCTGCTGCAGGTACCGGCCACACACCTCCTGCACGGCCGGGAATTGCAGGCGTGCAGCCGTGCGGGTCAGCGCCTCCACGTTGGCCTGTGTCACCGTCAGCCGGCCCGTGTATGCGAAGTCCACCAGCTGCCCCACCACGGCCGCCTCCACGTCCCGCAGCTCCACGCGTGCCGAGAAACTCTCGGCGAAGTCGCCCGTGAACATGGCGTGGAAGTAGGGGCTGCTGAGTGCCAGGAGGCCGCGGTGGCAGGGCAGCTCCTGGCCATCCACCAGCAGGGTGACGTCGGCCAGCTTGGGCTGCGTGCGGAGCTGCAGCAGGCCATCCAGCATGTCCTGCGCGTGGGATGGGAGCTGGAAGTGGAGGTCTTCCGTGGTCCGCACCATGGTTCTGCGGGGCGCCTGGGGAGAGACGCTCTGTGTAGCGGGTGCTGAGGACCCTGTGCCCTGACCAGCTAGCAGAGGGGACAGGCCTGGCTGGAAGTGGGTGTGGGGCTCACCAGCGAGCCCAGCCCTGCCCCCACCAGCTGTTCTGGGCTCACCAGAGCAGACCCCAGGTCCCGGGGACCCCAGCCCCAAGGCTGCCCAGGAGAACTTCCTGCCCCAGAACCCACCCAATGACATCCGAGGCCGCTCAGAGCCTTGACCTTTGTGACTTTGGGGCACCACGGACTGATCTGTTCCCGCTTCCCTTCTCTGCAGACTGAGGCGGGCCAGGACCCGGCATCCCTGGTGGGCATGTAGCACCTTCTTTGGGGGGCACACATGTTTGTCCAGCCAAGGAGGTGGGCACATGCTCTGACCCAGCGTGCACGTGGCTGGGAACCCACCCAGGCAGTGATATCCCTGGGTGTGACTGTGCCTGTCTTAGGTGACCAGCTCCAGCCTTTCAGCCCAAGGAAGGAGGAATCAAAATTCTGAGCAGGGACCGCAGTGACACTGCAGCGGGAAGGCATTTGCCTTGCATGCGGCCAGCCCAGGTTCAGTCCCTGGCAGCCCACGTGGTTCCTTGAGCATCAATCAACAGGAATGATTCCTGAGTGCAGAGCCAGGAGTAAGCCCCGAGCACTTTGCCAATGTGGTCCCAAAATTTAAAAACATTGCAGAGAGGTCTTACAGAAGCAGTCCCACTAGGGGGCGCAAGCAGAGGCTGTGAAGGCCATGTTGCCGTGCCCCCTCCCCCATAGCACCCCCCACTGTGTTCGGGCCCCTTAAAGAGCCTGATGAACCTCACCAGGTCAACGTGGGGGCCGTGAGTTCCCCTCTGTCCTGCAGAGCAAGTGCCCAGGATCCCACGGAGGGGCTTCAGAACTGACCAGGCCAGGCCACCCCCCGCCCCACCAGAGTGGCCCCTACTGAGGAGGCTCCGGGCCAGGCTGAAGGCAGGCAGGAGGACAGGAAATGATGTAACGGCCACCACGCCTGCACATTCCTCTCATTCTGCCACCCCAGGCCAGCGGTGACAGCTGGCAGAGAGCCTGTGGGCATTGGTGCCGGACAGCCCTGTGTGCCCCCACAACCACTGACTCCTGTGTAGGCTGGGGCGTGGGGTGTCCGGCTGCAGGGCTGTGCGGAGCTGAGCCTGCGAGGGACATCTCCGTACTGACTGGACGCAGCTGCCCGCTGGGGTTGTGTGCAGACATGTGGCGCACATCCATGCCGCAGCAGGACAGTGGGGGTCCCTCAGGCCCCTCTCTGAGCGTCTGGCTTGGCTGGTGTGGGGGTCTCTTGCCAACATCCTATCCCTCCTCCACTGCCCCCTGCCCGGCCCCTCCTCCTCGGGCCCCTGCCCTACCTCTCGATCAGTCCTGGCCCCGTAGCTGACGATTCCGGCTGCGTTCCTGGCTATGAGGGACACCAGGCCTGCTGGACTGGCCAGGGGGCCACGTGGACAAGAGGTATTTTTAGCATCTGTCTGCGCCGGGGGTGGGGCTGCCTCCCGCCTGTCACTCTGAGGCCCACGCTGGCCACGTCACTATCGGGTAAGGGCCCGGGACCCGCTGCCAGGCCAGCGACAACAGGTGCATTCCTGGGCATGGTGTCACTTAATCTTGTTACTTCACCTGCAAGAGGGGCCCAGGGGGCTTCTCTGGAGCCTCGGGGCCAGTCCCCACTCCTGCTGCACCCCCCGTGGTCATGGGTAGGCTCTTGAGTACTTCTCTGCTGTGAAGAAATGCAGTGGTCTGGCCTGTAGGAAGCTCATGCCAGAGTGCCTGGCGCCGTGTCCCCCACGTCCCCGTGTACCCCATGGGTGGAGCTGGATCCTTGCTGTGGGTGACCCTCACTCTGCAGAACACAGGTATCTGAACTCCACAGAGAGGGTTGAAGTCCAGTGAGCACCACGCTAAAGGTGGGAACACCACGCCCAGGCATGCGTGAACCCCCACAGGAACATCAGCAAAGGGAGGTGGGGACCCCCGTGCCAACCAGGCTCGACTCCTGCAGCACGTGACCGTCCTCCAGAGCATCACAGGGTGCAGCCCCGGAGACCCCCGGGCAAAGCTCCTGAGAGCTGCTGGTACCCCAAGGCCACTGAGTAGCTTGAGCGGCCCAAGGAAAGATGAAATAGCAAAAGAACTGCGGGTGCTTTTGAAATCTGGGGTCCGTGGGGGCGGGAGAGTGGTGGAAAAGGGGAGTCAAAGGTGAGGGGCGCCAGGTGCCGCCAGGCGGGGGACGAGGATGCCGAGCCCTGGGGCTCCGTCTTCCCTAGGCTGCCTTGGCCTCGGACTTCCTGGTGGCTCCAAGTCTTGGGTGTCAAAGACATGAAGAAATGGGGGCACCTAAAAATACCCAGAGCCCTCGCGCCTGACTCCATGGCTCTGGCCTGGCGCCCTGGTGGGCCGGCGGGGGGCCCCAGGAGTGGGGAGAGGGGAAGCAAGGCCTGCAGGGAGCCCTGGGGTGGGTCCTGGTATTCCTCATGCCAATGTCCAGAGCATAGTTCCAGCCGTGGGCCTGCGGGTTCGAGGGGAGATGTCCAGTGGGGTCTTCCTCACTGGGGTTTGTTCCCAGGGACCCCAGAGGGAGGGCAGGGAGTTCTCAGAGCACAGGCAGCCCTCATTCCTGGCCAGGGCACGTGACCCCAAGGGGCCCTGAAAGCCGGGCCCAGCCCAGAGACCCCCCTGAGTGCCAAGGGCTTGTGCAGGAGCCCGTCAGCTCTCAGGATGGCAATGAGCCCCTAGTTGGGGGTCCATCCCTGATTCTTGCCCTGCCCTGGAAGCATCTGGGCACCCCCTGGGTCCAGCATCAGCCCCTGCCATGGGTGGTCTCGCTCCCCATGTCCTGGAGCCAGGGAAGGGCAAACTGTAAGGGTGAGGTCAGAGCTTAGTGAGCTGGCATGGGCCCAGGGGACGAGGCGGCTGCCAGTCTAGGAAACGCGACCCAGGCTGGGACCAGCTCAGCCACTGGGTGCTGCCTTGGACAAGGATCGCTCGCATCCCCGGGTGCCCTGTTCTGTGTCCTCGGGGTGTTGTGACTGCCATCGTGTTCCCCGCCCCCAGCTCACATGTCTGCTGTGCACGCGGTGGAGTGGATGTGATGTCACCAGGGCAGCGGGAGTGGCATCTCGGTACCTCTCCAGGGACATGCAGGGTGTGTCTTTAGGGACCATGACCCCAAGAGCATGTCACCATGTGCCAACAGGGAGAGTGACATCACCAAGTTAGGGAACGGCCCACCCTCTGTGTTGTTTTACTTCTGTGGTGCTGGGGATGGATCCCAGGGCCTCACAAACGTGCAGCGTGTGCTCTACTGCTGAACCCTCGCCCGGCCTCCCTGCTGTGCTTGGTGACCCCTGATTTTATTTGTTATTGCTCTGGCAGTGGTGCTCGGGACCAAATCCAGGCCTTCTGCCCACCAGGCCTGCATGTCTGGTTTGCAACTTCTTTTTGTCCCCACCACCTCCTGTTCTGCCTGATAGTTATCGGGAAGAGGGGGTGGGAGTACAAGGTTGGACCCCCTCCCCCAAGTTTCCCACACACACAGCCAGGACAGAGGTTGGGGGTTTTGGTTGTAGTTGTGGTTTTGGATTTTGGGCCACACCCAGGGGTGCTCGGAGGACTCTCCTGGCTCTGTGGGCAGGAATTACTCCTGGGGCCTGAAGGACCGTCGGGGATGCCAGGGATGGGCCCAGGTAGGCTGCGTGCAAGGCCGGCGCCTTCCCCGCTGGGCCATGGCTCCGGCCCCAGGACACGTTTCCCTGCACTTCCGGCTGGCATGTGAGAGAGCTCAGGCATCCTCGCTGCAGCCTGTCCTGCCGGGCAGAGCGAGCGGGGTGAGGGCACCCCTCCAGGCCCCACGTGCTTCCCTATCTCACCAGCTGCCTCAGTCCTGTCCGCTGAAGGTCTCTGGGGCCTCACGGGTGTCACTGGCTGCATGGAAACACCCCACGCGTTTGGGGTCTCATTTCCCCAGCTCACGGCACTTCCTCGGGGGGCTTCTGCCTTGGTGTCCTCACCTCACTGGCCCAGGGGTCTCCTCCCAGGGCAGAGGAGGATGGAGGCGCTGCCAGACTGGGTGGCAGAGAGCAAGGGTCCTTCCACACTGTGGGGCGTGAGGCTGGGGGTAGGTGGGGCTGGCTGAGCACCTGGGAGGAGGGGCACCCCTCAGCCACCTCTGCTCGTGGCTGCACGGACCTGGCGCTTCCCCCCACATTTGCAATGCTGAGGGGATTGCTTTCCGGCCCTCCCATGCAGGCTTCTTTGTGTTCTGCACCTAGTTAGGGGTCGCCGAGAGAGACCCCCCACCCCCCTCAGCTGCAGCACCAGCAGGCCTGGAGTGGGCTGGTCACCTCCCTACAGAGTGATGCAGAAATGGCGCTGGCCTGATGGTGACTCAGGGACACCAACAGGCCCAGGAACTGCCGGGACCCACCCCTGCCGCTGGGGGCGCTGCTACCCAGGACCCCAGAGAATCTGGACTGTCCTGGAACAAACAAGCTGACCAGGCCTGGGAGGGTAGGGCCTGGACGTGTCCCTGGAATCAGTGTGGATGGCACTGGAGTCTCCCTGAGGTCAAGGCAGCCCCTTGGGGCCCTGGACTGGCCTGTCCCAGGGGCCTGGGGCATGAGGAGGCTCCGGTCCCAGCCCAGCATCCTCAGCACCCCACCAACAGCCGGGCCCTGAGCTTCCAGCTCCTTCTGTAGCCCCGGCCGGTGCCCCCAGCCACCCTCGGGCCCATTTCCTCCGGGTTCACACGTGACTAGGGGAGGCTTTACCCATTCATCAGGGGGTTCCCGAAAAACCGACCCAGGCCCCACACGGGGGTGGGTCCTGCACCCCACTCACACGGGGCGGGCTGTGGCCGGGAGTCCCACCCCACTGGTGTCTATTGGGGAGCAGAGAGGAGGCTTAGGAATGGGAGTTTATTCAGCAAAAGCACTTGGGGGCTCTGCCAGGGCATCCCTGCCCTGCCCATGGCCCCTCGGGAACCCTATTCCGCTCATCTGGGGGCTCGGTGCCCAGAGGGTGTGGTGGGGACACGGCATGAGCCCCACCCCAAGGGAAGATTCTGGAACCCTCCTCCCCACGTGCCAGGGTGGGACACACCGTCCTGACTGCCGTGTCACAGCTGGACGCAGGTGTGGCGAGGTGAGGGACATGGCCAGGCAGGCAGCGGGAGCAGTGGGGAGGTGGACACGCGCGCTCGGGGGAGGCCCTCGGGGAGCAGGGTCTGGACGACAAGGGACAGGCCGCGAGGTGGGCTCCCCTGGGCCCCCGGGGTGAGGTGAGGTGACGCGCAGGTGGCAGGGCGAGGGGCGAGCGCCCTCACTCCGCGAAGCTGAACATCTCGGCCTCCTTCTCCTTCCAGAAGGTGAAGCTGCGGTCGATGTAGCCGCAGATGTCCTCGTCGGCGACGCTGCCGGGCCGCGGGGCGGGGGGCTCGGGCTCGGCTCGGGCTCGGGTCAGGCCCGACTCGCGCCCGGGCTCCGGGGCCCAGGCGGGTCGGCGCGCGCAGCCGAAGAAGCGGGCCTTGATGTCCTCGAAGCCGTCGGTCCAGGCGCGGCGGCCCGCGGCCACCTCGTCGGTCACGGCCCTGTGGAAGGCGCGCGCCGCCTCCCAGCCGTGCGCGCGCAGGTGCTCGAAGACCTCGAAGCAGAGCAGGTGGCGCGCCTTGCGCTCGGCGGCCGGCAGCTCGCACTCCAGCAGCTGGAAGTAGCCCAGCATGAAGAGGTCCAGCGAGAGGCTGTCGTAGGGCAGCGGCGCCCCGTCCACGTGCGGCAGGAACTGCTCGGGCGACAGCGGGCCGCGCGGCCGCCGGCTCAGCCGCCGCAGCTGGCGCGCGGGCACCAGGGCCAGGATGGCCTTCCAGCTGCCCAGCAGGTGCGCGATGACGCCGCGCTGGCGCCGCAGGGGCCCGAGGCGCCGGGCCGCGGGGGTCCTGCCGGCCGGGCCCGGCGCGGGGGTGTAGGCCGACCTGCGCCAGTGGCTCAGGAAGAGCAGCACGATGCGCTCCTTGCGCAGGCTGGCCAGCTCGGGGCCCGGCGCCGCGCCCGCCTCGGACGGGGCCTCCCCGCAGCTGATGCCCGAGTCGCTGCCCGCCTCGGTGTCCGCGCGGGCGCACCGCGCGGGCCGCGCCCCCGGCTCGCAGGGGCCGGGGCTCGGGGGCGCGGGGGGCCCCGGCGCCGACTCGAAGTTGCCCCGCAGGGTGCGCACGGACACGCCGCTCTCCTGGATCTCGCGCTGCGCCGCGCTGCGGAGCGGGGCGGCCGGGGCCTCCCGGGGGGCGGCCGTGGCCGCGGGGGCCCGCGCGTCCGGCGGCCCCTCGCCCGGCGCCAGCCCGTTCAGGCCCCGCAGCAGCGCGGTCAGGCTGCGGACCAGCCGGGCGACGTGGCTGCACCAGAAGGGCAGGGGCTGCCCGCCGGGCGCGGCCTCGGGGGGCCCCTCGGGGGCGCGCTCGGCCGCGGCCCCCGGCTCCCCTGGCGCCCCCGGCCCGCCGGGCCGCGGCAGGAAGTGGCTGTTGACGGTGATGCGCACCAGGGGCGCGGGCAGCAGCGCCTGCAGCTCGGCCGCCAGCCGGCCCAGCTCGCCCTCGTACTCCTGGCAGCGCCGCCGCAGCTGCAGGCTGGCCACCTGCGCCTCCAGGTGCAGCAGGTCGTCCTCGGTCAGCAGCTCCCCGAAGGGGCCCAGGATGGCCCGGTGGGCCTGCGAGAACCGCCAGGACGCCTGCTCCGGGGGCCCCGGCCTGCCGCTCTCGTCCTGGGCGTGGGAGGCCGCGTCAGGGCTGGCCCGGGAGCCCCCCACCCCGCCCCGGCGGGAAGAGCATCTCCCCCGCTCAGCCGCAGGGGCACCCGGGATCCCCTTCTGATCCCCTCCTCTTGCCCTGTTCCCCCGCCACCACCAGAGCCAGGGCCCAGCCCTGCCCCAGCGACTCTGGCCCCGGCTCTCCAGTCCAGCTGGGCTGGGCCTCGGGGAGCTGCTGTGCCTGCGAGGGTGGGCCCAGGTGGTCTGAACTGAGGCCGGCGCCTCCCGCCTCACCCCTCCATCCTTATCCCCCCACCCCCATTCTCCCCCACCCCATCCTCCCTCCATCCGTATCCCTCCCGACCCCCGCCCTCCCCCACCCCCATCCTTCCTCCCCTCCTGCTCCCCCTTCCTCTCCCCCTCCAGCCTTATCCCTCCCCACCCCCATCCTCCCCCACCTCCCTTCCTTTCTGAGTCCTCCTGGTGTCACTCTGCAGGGCTTCCCTGTGGGGCAGGAGGCCCCACATGTGGATTTCTGTGTGCTGACCAGGCCAGGCTGGGCCATCAGACCAGCCCTACAGCACTGCCCACAGATGGGATGGGAAACACAGTGTCCACTGATCCAACGGGTGAGTTTCGCTTCTAAGCATTCAAAAAGCCACCTGGGCTGGAAACAGCACAGGGCTTAGGGCGCTTGCCTCGACCCTGGTTTGCACCCCTGAGCCCCCCGGAGTGATCCCCGAGCAGAGACACAGGCGTAGGCCTTGGCACCGCTGGGTGTGACCCCAAAGCCAAGCCCAATGCCAGCTGGCAGTGTCGTCAGGCCCGAACTGAAGTCCGGGGGAAGTGACCGCCTCTCTGCTCAGCTTCCCTAGGGCGACGCCGGACCTCACCCTGCCACGGCCCGGTCACTGCGCTCGGCCCGCCCCGGGGCCAGCAGTCCACGCTGCAGGGTCAGCACACGCTGGCCCCGTCCCCACATGTCCCGGCCTCCCCAAGACCCCCTCACCGCTGCCCCGAGTCCGGAGCTTCTGCGAGGGCGGCGCTGGACCCTGCTGCCTGGAGGGCAGGAACTGCACTGACCTGGGGAGAGCCGCTGGGCAGACACGCGGCCGGCCTGCTCCCGCATGGCCCTGCCCCTGCTGCTCACCACCGCTGGTCCCTGGCCCCACCGCGCTGGCAGGGCTCCACGAAGGGCCCAACCACCTCACGCGCCTACTTCCCGCTCAGCTCTCCTCAGCCCCGCCCCTCAGAGCCCCGCCCCTAGCCCCGCCTTCTCCCCGCCCCCCTTCTGCTGCAGTCCTACCTTCCCCAGGCCCCGCCCTTCTCACCAGGCCCCGCCCTTCAGCCCCACCCCTCACCAGCCCCGCCCTCCTTCTCCAGCCCCGCCCCTCATCAGCCCTTGCCCCCTCCCTACCCCACCCCCGACCCTAGCCCCGCCTCTGGCCCCGCCTTCTCCCCGGCCCCTCCCTTCTGCTCCCGCCCTACTTTCCCAGGCCCCGCCCTCCTCACCAGGCCCTGCCCTCTCCTAGCCCCGTCCCCACCAGCCCCACCCTCCTTCTCCAGCCCCGCCCCTCACCTGCCCCACCCCGGACCCCGCCCCCTGCCCTAGCCCCGCCCTCCGGCCCCGCCTTTTTCCCGGCCCCGCCCTTCTGCTCCAGCCTACTATCCCCAGGCCCTGCCCTCCTCACCAGGCCCCGCCCTCCACGCTGGCCCCACCCCGAAGACCCCGCCCTCTCCAGGCCCCGCCCTTCAGCCCCGCCCCTCGCCAGACCCCGCCCTCCTTCCCCATCCCCGCCCCTCACCAGCCCCGGACCCCGACCTCCTGCCCTAGCCCCGCCCTTACAAGGCCCCGCCCCCTCCCCAGACCCCCGCCCTCCTGCCCCTCCCCAGGCTCCGCCTTTCTGCCCTAGCCCCCCCTACTTATTAGGTCCCTTCCCTCCAACCCCGCCCCTCCTCAGGCCCCGCCCTCCTGCTCAGCCCCGTCCCCTCCCCAGGCTCCTCCCTCCTGCCCCGGCCCCGCCCTCTCCTCTGGCCTCTCCCTCCTGCTCCAGCCCCCCCCCAGGCTCCACCTCTGCTCCAGCCCCGCCCCTTCCTCAGGCTCCGCTCCCTCCACCCTGCAGGGTCCCACCTGGCCCTCCGGCGACGGCTCTGAGCCCAGTCTGGCCTGCAGCTTCCGGACCATCACCTGCCGCTTCCACTCGGGTATGGGCCGGCCCTGCTCATCCTGCGTGGGCACCAGGCCATCCAGGTCGCCCAAGTGCGCCCCGTCCAGCTCCAGCAGGGCCAAACCGTCCGGGGCATCCCCGGCTGTGGTCTCCAGCCCCTGTCCAAAGGCAGGAGGGTCACAAGGCCATACGGGTTTCTGGCCGGTGACCTGGGAAGATAGGGGAGCGGCAAGAGAGTGGTGAGCTGAGTCAGGGAGGACAGGGACCTGGGGCGTCTCCCTGGGGATCCAGGCATGGATCAGAGGGGACCCCCACTTCTGGGCATGACCAGGAAGATGTGCTCAGAGCATGCCAGTGGCTAGAAGATTCCTTGGAAGTTCTGAGCTGCAGGACTTGTCCGAGCCTTTAAGGCAGAGCAGAGTCTGAGCTCCGGGTCAGGCAAATGTGCAGGGCTGAGTGAGGCCTCCTTGCCCTCCTGGTGAGCTCTGGGTGGGGCAGCATGAGGGGGGGGAGGGGCTGGCCACAGGGACTCGGGTGAGAGAGGGGTCCCTCTCTGCTCCCACCTCCCCACAGCCATGCCCACCGCAGAGAAGGCCCCGGGCCGTGGCCTGCATTCCCAGAGGCCAGCCTGTGGAGGCCCTGGCTGGGACGGCTGGTCAGGGTCCTGCAGAGAGCGTGGGAGGGGGCTCACCGTGGGGACCGCCGTGGCAGCAGCGGGGACCCTCAGGGACGCGTCTTCAGCCGCCTGCTCGTCTGGGACTGGCTGGTCAGGCTGGGCGGGCCAGGCCGGGCTGAGAGATGAGGCTGTGTGTGGGGGGGAGGGGGTGGGATCAGACCCTGCCCCAGGCAGCCCTACAGCGCTGGTGGGATGTCCATGCAACCTTTTGGTGTCCCTCCATCCCGGTCCCTTCCCAGTGTCCTCCTGACCCACCCACAGTCCAGGGAGCTCAGAGCAGCCTAGAGTTGGGAGATCGGGACCCAGTGCCACCCTGCAGGACCAGAGGTGGTTCCTTCCCCCTTCCCCCTCCACACATGCATACACAGACACACACGCACCACACCCCAGTCTGTGTCCTGCATCTCACACACACAGTCACACATACTCTCCCACATACAACCACACACACACACACGATACCCACCTACACTAACGCCCGGTCCTACTCACTCATGCTTATACCATCTGACACACACACACCTGCTTACACATACACACCCGTGCTCATACACACAGCCACAAGCACACACTCCCACTTCCACACTCGCTCACGCACACACACACACACACACACTCATGATTTGGGACCAGCTGAGGACCAGAGAGGGGTGAGGCCACCCGAGGTCACACAGCAGGATCAGGCCCAGAGCTGGAGGGCTCCAAGGTGACAGAGTCAGAAGTTGTGATAGGAACTTCAAGAAAAGTTCATCCTCACTTTATCTGTTCTTGGTTTGGGGGGTCACACCCCGTGGTGCTCCTGGACCTGTGCAGATCCTGGAGGGGGTTGGGGTGCCATATGTGGTGCCAGGGATGAACCCAGGCCAGCCTTGTGCCCGCATGTGCCCTGCCCGCTGTCCTGTGTCCTGTCTCTCCACACACACACACACACACACACACACACACACACACACACACACCTTTAAAAGGCTGCAGACTCTGAGGAGAACCTGCGAGGCCGAGGGTGTCGCTTGCCAGTGCCAGTGCCAGTGCCAGTGCTGTTGCCCGGAAGACTCAGGGCTGAGGCCAGCCCACCCACGCCTGCACCCACAGCCCGGGTCAGCCCCTGATGGGTACTCACGGGTGGAGCCCCTGAGACCTGCACTCCCTCTCTTCTCATCTGGGGCTTGCCGGGCGGCCGAGAGTGGCGGCGGGGGGAAGGGTGGCGGCGGGGGCGCCATCAGCAGCGGGTCCTGGGGTGGACAAGAGGGAGGCTCAGTGGGATGACAGAAGCTGCTCATGTCGGGGGCATCCAGAGCCAGCCCGGCCAGCCCTCAGTCAGGGACTCACAGACGGGGATGGCACAGGGCTGGGGTCAGCCCCCCAGCTTATCTCTCACATCACTGGAGTGACCAGGACTCCGGGAAGAGGCCTGTGACCTGGTCAGGAGGTATCATTCACTGTGCCCCGGGGGCCAGCAGCTCCGTGGCATCTCAGGCCTGGCTCGTGGGCGCCCTCTAGAGGCAGGGAGGGCGGGGTGAGGGCCGGGACAGGCACAAAGGGCCTGGGGTGAGTGGCTGGGACAGGCACAAGGGGTCCCAGGGTCAGGACTGTAGTTTAGGGAGCTGATAAGGGTGCTGGGTTGGGCTGAGTTAGAGCACGGGGTTAGGTACTTGATTAGGGTGTTAGGGTAGGACTCTAAGTTAGGCTCCTTGTTGGAGGTACTGGGTTAGGGCCCTGGGTTAGAGTACTAAGGGTACTAAGTGAGGGTGCTGAGTTAGGGCTCTAGGCAAGGGACCAAGTTAAGGTAGGGGGTTATGGCTCTGGGTTAGGATGCTGGGTTGTTCTGGGTTTGGGTGCTGGATTTAGGTGCTGAATGAGGGTGCTGGGTTATTCTGGCTGGGGGTGCTGGGTGCGGGTGCTGGGTTGTTCTGGCTGAGGGTGCTGGATTTGGGTGCGGGTGCTAGGTTGCTCTGGGTTTGGGTGCTGGGTGCAGGTGCTGGGTTATTCTGGCTGAGGTTGCTGGGTTTGGGTGCGGGTGCTGGGTTGCTCTGGGTTTGGGTGCTGGGTTAGGGTGCTGGGTGCAGGTGCTGGGTTATTCTGGCTGAGGTTGCTAGGTTTGGGTGCGGGTGCTGGGTTGTTCTGGGTTTGGGTGCTGGATTAGGGTGCTGGGTGCGGGTGCTGGGTTGTTCTGGGTTTGGGTGCTGGGTGCGGGTGCTGGGTTGTTCTGGCTGAGGGTGCTGGATTAGGGTGCTGGGTGCGGGTGCTGGGTTGCTCTGGCTGAGGGTGCTGGGTTTGGGTTTGGGTTCCTGCCCCGGGTGTCTCCCCTGTGCCCACACGCAGCCCCCCAGCCATCCCTGCCTTCTGTGCTGAGTGAGCGGGGGCCGAGGGGTCTCAGCGGAGGCCCCGAGCACAGAGCGGAACCACAGTCAGCTTGGGACCTTCCCAGCCCACGTCGCGTCCCCTTGGCCTCACCCACGCGCAGGACACCTTTGAGCTGGGCTGGCACCTTCCCTGGGGACAGGCCCACCATGGCCAGATGCAGAGAGACTAGGGCTGGGGCTTCTGGGTCCCCCGCCCCCACCCATGGGGCAGCCGGCCCCATCAGGGAGACCCCCTCTCCCAGACCCGCATGGCGACCCTCTCAGCATCCCTCCCGGCACCTCCGAGTGACCTGTGCAGAAACAGGCAGCTGGCTGGCGGGTACCAGGTTCTCCTGACACCCCGGCTTGAGTCTCTGGGGCAGACCCCCAGAGGAAGGAGGGGGGCATGGCCCACGGACCCCAGCTGGGCCCTGGAGAGTGTCCCGGCACTGCCCCACACTTTGACGCAGGAAGCGCCAACGGCTGTCTGCCAAGATGCTCACGGGCAGCTTTGGGACAAGCCCCGGGCCCTTTGGGGGTCCCTGCTCACCCAGAGGGCAGCCCTGCCCGCCTGGCAAGGAGGCCGTACCGCCCCTCAGCCTGGGGGTGCCCACAGACCAGGGCTTGCACCACCAGCACCCCCTGAGCCCTGTCCTAGACCCTCAGCCCTGGGCGTCCCCGGGATCACCGCCTGCGCCCAGGTACCTCACTCCTGCTTGCAGGTCCAGGCGTGTGCGGGGTCCCCGGCCCAGAGCGGCCGCCCCGCGAGAGGCTCATGAATAACTGAGGCGGTGTTGGGTGGCCGCGGCTGGGCGGGGTGTGGGATTCCTTACCGGCACCTTAGCTCCCCCAGAGCAGGGTCTGGGTCAGAGGCACAGGGGAGATTCTCAGGTCAGGAATCGGCAGCTGCCAGACGTGGGCCCGGCCCTGCCTCCGGCCGCCCCAGAGGCCCCTGGTCCTGCCCGCAGCCCGGACAACAGCAGGAGGACGGAGCAGGTGGTCTGGGGGAGCAGGGGGCCAGGGGCTCCACATGGAGGCTCTGCCCGGCCATTCCCAGGACCCAGAGGGGCAGATGGGCCTCAGCGCTCCCCAGGGCTGCCACTGGACATGCTGAGACCAGAGGCCACGGGGACCCCAAAGCGCTGCTGGCTTCATGCCAATGCTTGGCCCCAGTGGCTTAGGTGACTAGGCAGGGGACTCAGACCCCAGGCCCACGGACAAGAGCTGTGGGGAGCTAACAGGGCCCCTCCTGGTGACCCTAGGGACCCCCCCCCCCAGCTGAGTCCTCTCCTGGGAGAACACAAACTTCTCTCCTGAGTGACAAGCACGGAGAGCTCATGGGGCACCGGTCGGCCCTGCCCACGGGGACTCGAACCTCATGGCTGAGGCCACTTGGCGCCGTCACCTCTGGCGCTGCAGTTCCGGGGAGGGGACACCCCTGTGCCCTGGTCTGGGCCCTGTGAGACTTGGGAGGCAGCACCTGGGGTCCCCACAGGCCTGTTGTGTCCGGGGAGAGGTTTGAGCAGTGGCCATGCATTATGCATGGGGACGGCCGGGGAGTGCCCATTACAGCCTGGACCGCACCCGCCACCAAATCATGGCATGGACGGGCTGTGGCCTCCGCCACGCCCGAGATTCAGGGGCGGGCTGTGTGGGGGCCTCACCTTCCCGTTGAGAAAGGGGTGCTTGCCGCTCAGTGCTCACTCCCATTAGGTCCCGCAAGTCTCCAAGACCCCCTTACACACGGATCACTAAGGCTTGGGTTGCTCAGAACCGGCCGCCCCAGGACAGGCAGAAGCGGGTGCCGTCGTGGGAGGGGCGTGGCCCGCCAGACGGCTCGGGATTGCGTTTCCATCAATATTGCAGCAGCAGCCCTCCCTGCCCCCCGCGGCCAGCCCCGCCTGCAGCTGCCACCTGCCCTCCTGTGGGGGCCGAGCCCAGCGGGGGTCACCCATCACCCCTGACTGACCCAGGGCGCCTGCCGGAGCCAGACTCTGACCCTGATCCGCTCTCCCGAGGGCCACGGTGCATGGTGGCCCCCAGAACCAGAGGCAGGGGCCTGGCCAGGCTGGACATGGCAGTGTGTGGGGGTTGGGCATCTCAGAATGGGGAGACGCCGTGACGGGTCCGTCCCTGCATCTCTGGGTGCCGGGATGGGGCCCAAACCCCTTTCCTGGAAGAGCTGGCAGAGAGGCTGGCAGTGGTGGCCTGGAGGGAGGGGCACCAGCTGGGTCACCGTAGCTGCCAACAGGACCTTAGGGGTGTCAGTGCAGGTGCTCATGGCAGCAGCTGTGAGGTTACATCCACCCACAAGGTCCCGGCAAGAGGCAGCAACCTCTGACGCCCCCCACAGAGCACCAGGCCCCGAGTCTATCCACAGAGCACCAGGCCCCAAGTCCCCACAGAGCACTAGGCCCCAAGTGTCCTAGAGAGCATCAGGCCCCGAGTCCCCACACAGAGCACCAGGCCCCAAGTCCCCACAGGGTATCAGACCCTGAGTCCCCACACAGAGCACTGGGCTCCGAGTTCCCACACAGCTACAGTCCTGTCACATATCTGTCGTATCACTGCCACAACCCTGTCATATTCTAGCCACAATCCAGTCAGAGCCCCGTCAAATTTCTCTCATATTCCTGTCACATTCCTGTCACGGTCCAGTCACTTCCCCGTCATATCCTTGGCATAATTCAGTCACATTCTTGGCATGTTCCTGTCATTTCCCTGTCAGAGTCCAGTCACTGCCTTGTCACATCCCTATCACACTCCTGCCAGCGCCCTATTGGGGTCCTGCCACAGCAGCCTCACACAGTGGTGGCCAGAGCTCCGAGCAGAGGGTGGCGCCATGTCACCTGCTTACCGGCAGGGCTGTGTCCCGCAGGAACCGAGCGCAGTCCTGGTGTCCGTGGTACTCGGCCAGGTCAGCCGCCGTGTAGCCATCCTCGTCCCGCAGCGAGGGGTCCACATGGTGGGACACCAGGGTCCGGCAGCACTGGGGTGAAGGGCACACGAGAACCACTGAGGCCGGCCCTGCCCACTCCCGGCCTCGCCCACACACATGCTGGCGCTGGGCCGTGCTCAGCCGCCCCTCAGCCCAACCCACGGGCGGAAACTGAGGCCTGCACTGCCGAAGCCCCTCGGATCACTCCCATGTCCCGGGTGTGGGAATTGGGGCACCTGGCTAAGAGCCTGCGCAGGGCTCAGCTGCCAGGTCAGTGGGATGGGGGGACCCTGGCCCGGACTCGCCCTGTAGCCTGAGCCCCCGGCTGGACCCTCGGTGGCGTCTCCGTTTTCACAGCCCGTGGCAGGCGCCGAGAAAGCGATCCCGGTGCTCGGGGAGGCAAGACGGTGCAGGCGGGTGGGGCAGGCAACACGAGAGAGAGGCAGGGTGCCCGGGGAGGCCGAGGGGACACTGTGCCAACTGCCCGCGAGCCCCCTACCCAGCCGAGACGAGCAAGGGGCTTCCAGGCGGAGGGGGCAGAGGTGTGTGCGGGGTCAGGGCTGGGGGCTCAGCGGGTGCTCGCTGGCTGACAGAGGCATTAGCGGTGCCAACTGCATAAGCCAGACCCACCCGGCCACCTCCCAGCCCTCACCCACCAGACCGGCCTCCAGGGGTCCTGGCGGAACCCCACCTGGGGGTGCAAGGAACTGATCTCATCACTGAGCTGCCCGTGCAGGGACACGGCCTCGTGGTCACCTGTCCCTGTGGCCGTGTTGCACGAGAGGAGGGACGAGGAATGTTCCCTCAGGCTCCCCTCCACGATGCCCCCCGCACCATGGCGCACGTGGTCACTCTTGCTCCTCAACCAACGCTGTGGGAGTCTCAGCCTGGGCGCTCAACCTTAAGCTACAGCGAGGGCCACAGCTGTCGGCGCTTGCCTTGCAGGCGGCCAATACAGGTCCGGTTTCTGTCCCCCCAGGGGTCGCCCAGGCCCTGCCAGGTGTGGGCCCTGAGCACCGCCAGGTGTAGCCCACGAACAAGCAAAGAAACCCCAAGCGACAAGCTGACTCTTCTGGGTTTCTGTAAATGGGTGTCGGAGCCAGCGACCGTGAGCCCGGCTGTGCTGTCGGCAAGTCAGCAGAGCCTGGGGAGGAGACCGAGCTTGTCTGGTCGTGACAGTCGGCGTCTCGTGGGCTGCTCATGTGGCCTCCAAGACAGGCCAGCCGCAGCTCTAAAAGCCTGAATACAGTGATCTCTGGGCCGGCCCGGCTGCAGCCATTGCCTTGCTCTGGTTTAATGTCACCAGCGGGAGGAGTCAGAACTTGCCGCGCCGGGTGTGTTGCCTCCCTGTGCCGCTTCCGATGGCCCCGGCGGAGGGTCGAGAGACGCTGACATGCCCAAGGGCAGGCTTTTGCGTTACTGACCAGAGAGGGTCAGGCTAGTGTGTCCCTGTCTGTGCCGCCCAGCGTGGCACCCACAGGCAGAGTCACGACACTCTTCCTTCCGGTGTGGCATCCGTGCATGTTGGACATACACGTGCGTGCGTGCGTGCGTGTTGTGTGTATGTGTGTGTGTGTGTGAACATGCAATTACCTGTGGTACGTATGTGATGACTCTCAGCAGGCTGGTTCTGTGGGCACTTGACCACCCCACGCACTTTCCTTCTTAGTCTCATCATGGGCCCAGGCCAGCCCTGACCACCACTGACCACCTGCCTCCACCGGGGCTCCCAGGACCATCAGCGATGATTGTGAGTGGGCAGGGCAGGGCCTGGGTGGTCTCACCCCACCTGCAGATGCTAAGCTGGCCGGAAGGGAGCATGCCATGAACGTGTCGGCCAAGGCACAGGGAGCCGGGCACAAAACGCCAATGGCCACGCACGGGCTCCTGACCGTGTGCATGGCTGGGGACAGTCGGGCCTTCCTTCAGGCTGGGGGACAAGCCAGCATCTAGGCCCAGAGCACGCGCGCCTACCACCCAGCCCACCCCGCCCTGTGCTCCCCGTCACCTGCCCCAGAGCCCAGCATGTCTGAGTCCCTGCAGGGGCCTGCCCCGAGCAGGAGGCCCCGCCTTGTCCCACTGTCCCCTGGGAACATCCTTTCTTTGGGACGGTGTGTTCAAGACCGCCATGCCCCGTGGGAATAGCTCTTCTCTTCTCCCGGCCCGCCCATTCCCGCCGTCCTGTCCTAGGCCGGGCCGAGGCTCCTACAGTGCTCACGAGCCGGAGGGGGGAGAGCGTTGGGCACACACAGTCTGGGGCGTTCTTCAGTCTGTCCTGCTTTCCTGCTCCTGGTCCTGGGCAGCTTCCCAAGGCCACTGTCTTTCCAAGGAGACAGAAACGGCCCCTCGCTCCTCCCGGCCACCGCCCAGGTGCCCAGGGCTTCCCTGAAGGGCTTCTGGTGGTGGCAACAAAGCCTCAACTCCGGTTCTTTATTGGTCCGAACCTAAAGTCACTTTTTTTCCCTCCTCTCAGACCAGACCAGACTCTCAGGAGCAGAGAGGTGTAAACTCTGTGTGGTCTGAGGCAGTGAGAGCTCCAAGGCTGAGTGCACGCAGAGCAGCCCCAAACACAGAGCCAGGAGTGAGCTCTGAGCACAGAGCCAGGAGTCAGCCCCAAGCACAGAGCCGGGAGTCAGTCCTGAGCACAGAGCCAGGAGTCATCCCTGAGCACAGAGCTGGGAGTCAGCCCCGAACACAGAGCCGGGAGTGAACCCTGAGCACAGAGCCAGGAGTAAGGCTTGAGCATTGTAGGGGGTGGTCCCCCTGCTCCCTAAAAAAAAAAGCCAAAGGCAAAGGGAAGGCAATGGAGAAGACTTGTAAAATTACACAAGTGCAAGGCCACAGAAGAGGTGAGAAACACCCTTTTTTTTTTTTTTTTTGCTTTTTTGGGTAACACCTGACAGTGCACAGGGCTTACTCCTGGCTCTGCACTCAGGAGTTACTCCTTGCGGTGCTCGGGGGACCATATGGGATGCTGGGAATCGAACCCGGGTCGGCTGCGTGCAAGGCAAACGTCCTACCCGCTGTGCTATCTCTCCAGCCCCAGAAACACCCATTTTTCCAAAACATAATCTTAGGCCGGAGCCAGCACAGGAAGGAGGGTGCCCTGAACTGATCCCTGGCAGGACACCTGGTTCCCCAGTCCCCACCAGGAGGCATTTCTCTGGCCCCCATTTTATTTTATTTTTAGGGGATCCACATCTGGTAATGCTCAGGGGTTAGTCCCAGCTCTGTGCTCAGGAATCACTCCTGGTAGTGCTCGGGGGGCCCCATGGGGTGCCAGGGACCAAACCCAGGCAAGTGCCCTGCACGTTATATTGTTGCTTCAGCCCCAAGGCCCTGTTATTTAAAAAATTTTTTTTTTTTTACTTTTGGGTGGAGGCACATCTGGTGATGCTCAAGGGTTACTCCTGGCCCCGGTGGGCTCAGGGATCACTCCTGGTGGGAGTTCTGTTTTTAGGGTCCCTGGTGGGGACCCTAGAGGGTGCGGGGGATCAAACCTGGGTCTGCCGTGTGCCAAGCAAGCTCCTTATCCACTCCACTATCTGTCCAGCACCAAATTAAAAAAAAACTTTGGGCTTCATGGCCTGCATGATGGTACAGCAGGTAGGGCACTTTCCTTGCCCGTGACTGACCCAGGTTTGATCCCTGGCACCCCACAGGGTTCCCCAAGCCTACCAGGAGTGATTCCTTCGTGCAGAGCCAGGAGTGAGCCCTGAGCAGCACTGGGTGTGGCTCAAAAACAGAACAAAAAAATGTTTGGGTCATACCCATTGGGACTCAGGTGCCACTCCTGGCTCTGTGCTCAGGACTTACTCCTGGCTGGAGGGGCAGGGGTTGGGGGCTGTATGGGATGTCAGGGACCAAACCTTGGCTGGCCCTGTGCAAGGTAAAAGACCAATCTTCAGCATTATCCCTCTGGCCCTGATACCTAAGGACATTCTATTTTTTTTTCTTTTTAAAGTTTTTGGGCTGGGGCTGGAGAGATAGCACAGCGGGGAGGACGTTTGCCCTGCACGCGGCCAACCCGGGTTCGATTCCCAGCATCCCATATGGTCCCCTGAGCACCGCCAGGAGTGACTCCTGAGTGCAGAGCCAGGAGTAAACCCTGTGCATCGCCAGGTGTGACCCCCCCAAACAAAGAAAAAAAAATAAAGTTTTTGGGCTACATCAAGGTTACTCCTAGCTCTGCACTCAGCAATTACAGCTAACTGTGCTTGGGGGAACACATGGGATGCCAGGGACTGAACCCGGGCCGGCCGCATGCAAGGCAAATGCCCTCCTGCTGTGCTGTTGCTCTGGCCCCCTGAGGACAGTCCTGAGTGACTGCAAGTGTGGGGTCTCCTGAGCGTGTGTGTGGAGGCACCTGGGCGGGGGGTCCCAGGCTGCCTCACACTCACCAGCTCTGCCCTTGGGACCTCAGAGACGCTCTGCAGCCAAGCATGCGTGAGCACCGCCACCAAACGGGTGACTCCCTGAGCACTGGCCGGTCCTCAGAGAGCACAGCCTGAGTGGCGGCCCCTGGCGAGCGGGTGTGCAAATGCTCACCTCAAGGGGTGAGCACCGAGTGTGCAAGACCCCAGCAAGCCTGCAGCTGAGCTCCACACACCAGCATGAGCACAGGACTGCGTGCCCAGGACCAAGGGGAGGGCGGGGCAGGCACTGGAAAGAGGCAGGCAGAGACATGGGCCATGCTCACAAGCACAGCACCCTGGGGCTCCTCCACGCCCTTCCCAAGGGGCCCACACAGGCCCATCGAGTCATGCTCGCTGTCCCTCGCTGTTGGTCACTGCAGCCCTCCACTAGCCCCCCTGGCCAGCCCATTCTGACCGCCCCCAGAGGTGGGGTCGTAGGGTAGACGCAGGCACGTGGTCAGGGAGCAGGTGGGGGTGGGCGGGGCAGGACAAGCTCCCTCCGATCGGATCCGGCTTCACCTCTGCAGGACAGCTCGGGGGCCTGGCGGGGGCTGAGGCTGGTCCCTTCTCCAGACTGGCCTTGAGTCCTTGGGGACCACCCAAGCCCAGTCACTCTGGGCTCTGACCAGGGGAGCCCCCAGTTTACTGAGGGGTCAACATCAGGCTCCTCGGGTCAGTCTGCGAGGATGGTCCCTCCTGTACCCCAGGAGAGCGGGCCATGAAGGCCGGGCCCTGTCAGCCAGGAGAGTGCCCGTCCCCTGAGGGCCCCTTACCTCCAGGTGCCCATTCTCCGCGGCGTCGTGGAGGGGCGTCCCACCCCACGAGTCTCTCACGATGGGGGCGCCCATCAGGAGCAGCCTGTCCAGGATGGGGGTGTGGCCGCCCCGGGCTGCGAAGTGCAGGGCTGTGGCCCCCTCATTGTCCCGCGCCGCCAGCCCCGCCTCTGTGAAGGTGACCTGGGGAGAGGCAGAGAGTGACCAGGGCCAGCACAGCACAGTTGTCGCCCAGCCCCGGGCCCAAGCTGTTGGGGTCCTTTCTTGAGATGCCAGGCCCCAGCCAGCTCCGGCCGGTCTCTCTGCTCCCTCGGAAGCCCACGCAGTGCCCAGTGCCCGAGACGTCCCACAGTGAGACTGGCCGGGCCCAGCGGAACGCGGGGTCTGCAGTAGTGCTGAGATCAAACCTGCTCAGACATAGGCGGGTCACCTGTCGCCTCTGCCCCAACCTCAACCCCCCTCCAGGGTCAGTGACAACCTTGGCAGGCACCTGACCCAGGCCGGGGGGCTGCTGATGGGACCGGGAGACCTTTGATACAGACAGGTGATGCCGGGGATAAGTGGGCGCACCTGAGCCCCAGCACGGGGCAGGCCTGGCTCTCAGGTGAGTTAGTGCGACCTGGAGGCAGGCACCCCGCAAGGACCCGCCCCTTCCTGCCCACCAAAGAGCCCCGCCCACTAGGTCCCGCCCCTCCCCGCCCATTGCCCAATCACACCCACTACCGCGCCCATTCCCCGCCCACTATCCAACCACGCCCCCAGACACCGACACCACACCCACCGACACGCCCACTGTCCAATCAAATCGCTTGCCAGCCCTATCCCCGCCCATCCCCGCCCCGTCCTGCCCCGCCCCCGGCCTCTTACCAGCCACACGACCAGGGAGTAGTGGCCGCGGGCGGCGGCGGCGTGCAGCGCGCTCATGCCGTCCAGGGCGCGCAGGTGCACGTCGGCCCCGCAGTCCTTCACCAGGAACTGCGCCAGGTGCAGGTGGCCCTCCTGGCAGGCCAGGTAGAGCGGGGAGGCGCCGCTGCGCGTGCGCCAGTTCACGCCGCTGCGGGGAGGAGAGGTCCCGCTCAGAGGGGCTGGTCCCGGCTCCTTGGGGTGGCGCTGCCCTAGCCAGGCCCAGATCGAAGGGCGTTTGCGCCCCCTCTTCCATCCGAGAGGCTCCCGCGGCCCCGGTGGCGTTGCTTAGGTTGACACTGTGCAAGGGACATGGCGCCTCCCGCGGAACCAGCTCCCTGGAGAGTGGCCGGGGCGCCAAGGGCGTCTAGCATGGGGCCGTGCAGTCAGTGACCCCCAGAGCCCAGCCTGCTCTGTGAAGGGACCTCAGTGAGTGCGGTCCTCTCCGGCCCCCAGTGTGAGCCCCCTCTGCAGAGCGAGGTCAGAATCTTCCGAGTCCAGTGCTCCTGGGATTTTGGGGGGCCGGACAGGACGAGTTTTAGGGCGGGGGGGGGCAGGGTCGGTCCTTTCCCCAACGCTGACCGGTCCCCAGGGACCGGACATCTCCTCTGACACCACAGGTTGGTGCCAGGCGGGATTAGGGGGGTTCCCCTTCAGTACCTTTGTGTATGACGTGACTGCATGTATGTGTCTGTGCATGTATGTGTCTGCACATGTGTGCATGTGTGTGTCTGTGCACACGTGTGCATGTATGTGCCTGCGCATGTGTGCATGTACGTGTGCATGTGTGCGCATGCATGTGTCGGTGCATGTGTGCATGTGTGTGCCTGCACATGTGTGCATGTGTGCCTGTGCACATGTATGTGTGCATGTATGTGTTTGCACATGTGTGCATGTATGTGTCTGTGTACGTGTGTGTATGTGTCTGTGTACGTGTGTGCATATGTGTGTCTGTGCACATGTGTGTATGTGTGTGTCTGCATGTTGTGCATGCATGTGTCTGTGCACATGTGTGCACATATGAATTTAAGTGCATGTGCCTCTGGGCTTTCGGATGCTGGAAGCTACCGTGGAGTGTGTGGGCCGCTGTAAGGGGCGTGAGCGACAGGGCCTGGGGAGGCACTGGCCTGGGTGCACCCTAAGTCTCCTCCAGCCAGGTCCATGGTCGGGGAGGCCACGTGCACAGTGTTGAGACTGACTGTCACTGCACCCCTCGACCCTTGGCGCCAGGACAGGGGCACCCACAATGGGGAAGGGATTTGGGCCACTGCCTGCTTCCAGCCTGGTCTGTCCCCCCCCCCACTCTCTACCTGTGGGCGGGTGGGCATTGGGCACCCCCACAGGACGCCTTGTCCATACCTGAGTGAACTCAGCCCCCGTCCGCAGGCCAACGGGCTCTCAGGCCTGATTCACTGTTCGCCTAGTGAGGCCCCGGTGCCTAGGGGCTGTCCACTGCACCCGCTAGCCACTCTGCACGGCCAGACCCTGCACCCAGCTCATGCCCCATGCCCTCTCCGTCCCACCACGGCACCTGCCCTCTCCACGCCTAGCCCACGTCCCCTCACCTGCTGTGGGCAGCCGCCAAGAGCTTGAGGCAGGTGAGGTCCCCACTGACGGCCGCATGGTGCAGCGGCAGTGCCCCCTCCAGGGTCTCCAGAGTGGCCGTGTGGCCCTCCCGGAGCAGCCACTCCACCAGGGCTGGGTGTCCGAAGCGGGCGGCCAGGTGCAGTGGGGACACGCCCGAGGCATCCTGGTCCTGGGAAGCAGGTGGGCCGTGGTGCACACGGCGGGGTGGGGGGAGCACTGGTCTCCTGGGTCCAGGCTGGTCCTGAGCTGGGTGGAGCCCCCTTCTCATCCCCACCCCCTGCCCATGCCATGGCCCGGGACACTGTCCAGCCTCGACCACCCGCAGGGCACTCCCCGCAGCTCCAGGGAGTGTGTCAGGCACCCCAGGGACCTGGCATCCACGGATCACACCGGCCACCAGCCTGCCTGCTCTCAGGGCATACTGACCACCAACTGTCTGCCATGGGCCACAGAGGGGGCAACCCAGAACAGGGGCTGAGCCCGTGGCTCCTGGGACCCCAGGGGTCTCGCTAACCCCATCTGACTTGAAAGGGTGGGTGAGAGTAACAGCCTGAGGCCCTTGCCCCCACCCCCCAAGTCCCTTCCCGCAGGCCTGTCTCTGCCACTGACCCCGCAGTGAGGGGACCCCAGGATGCCAAGGACCCTTAGCTGGACCCGAAACTATGAGACATGATCAGAACCTTGGCTGGACACCTTGGCAGGGGGCAGGTGTCCTGGGCAGCTCTGGGCTGGCACTGGGGGTTCCAGGTGGCCTCAGAAGTGGTCTTGGGTTTTGAGGATCTTAGGTGGGTTTGAGGGGGGTTGAGGACAGGCTGGACAGTGCTGTGGGGCTTGCATGGCCAGTTCCACCTGGCTCCGGCCTGCACCCACTTTCCAGGGTGTTGAAGACCCCCACACCCCACCCCTGCACTGTCTCCCCTGCAGGCCGCAGCCCCTTCCTGGCCTTCGCCCTCTCCCGACCTCAGCCCCTTCCGGCCTCACCTGCAGGCCGCAGCCCCCCTCGCGCACCAGCCATTGCAGCTCCGTGAGGCCGCCCGTGGCCGCGGCGTCGTGGGCCGGGGTGGCCCCGTTGCAGGCCCGCTGGTTGCCGGGCAGCCCGGCCCGCTGCACCAGGAACTGGACACAGGCCAGGTGGCCGGCGCGGGCGGCGTGGTGCACCAGGCCGGCCCCCAGGGCGTCGGCGATTCCGGGCCGCAGGACCCCCGCCTCCAGCAGCCGCTCCAGCGTGGCCAGGTCCCCATCCTTGGCGGCGGCCAGTGCCCGGGGCTCCGCCATGCTCGGGCCTGCGGCTGTGTGCAGTCCGGCCTGTCTCGGCGCAGCGCGGGCTCCGGTTACCTGATAAGGCCGCGGGCAGATGGGAGGCGGCGGGCGGGCGCCCAGTGGGCGGCTCTGCCTGGTCTCTGTCAGCTGCAGTGGGCACTGGCCAGATGGACCCGCCTCTCCCGAGGGATGGGGCAGGCGGAGGGACGATGTGTTGGGGCCCTGCGGGCGTCGGCACTCTGCACAGGACCCATCCTGTCCCCAGGAGCATTTGGGGGTGCTGGTGCCGCCCCCACGTCCATGCTGAAGCCCACCCCAGAGCAGCAGCGTGTGGGGACAGGGCCCTGCAGACACGAGCAGTGCAGGGACCCCTGGGGGAGACACAGGGGCCACAGGATAGACTCTGTGGTCGCAGGGGGAGGACCCCGTGTGTCCCCCCGCACACCAGCCGCTGTCCAGAAAGCTGCAAGGGGGGCCTCGTCCCCCCTACAGGCAGTAGAGCCATGCGGGGCTGAGGGCGTGGTTCGGGGCCACACCCAGCAGTGCTCCGGAGTCACTCCTAGTGGTGTGCAGTTGGCCACGTGCAAGGCCAGCGCTGTCCCCCAGGGGGAACTTTTTAAAATTTTATTTTTATAAAGTTGTTTGCGGTTTACTACACTCAGTATTCCAACACCAATCCCACCACCGTTACCTCTTCCCACCACCATTATTTCCAATTTTCCCGACCACCACCCAAGCCTGCCCCAATAGCAGGCCCCAAACGATTTTGTATTGCTCGTGAATAATTTGCTAAAAATTATCAAGAAAGCTTCCTTAGCAGAAAGTGTGAAGGCTGTTGCCTCACCCTGGAGCCTCTAAACGCCTTGCAGGAGAGACCCCTGGCCTGTGGCGCAGGCTAACCTTGTGCCATCCTGCTGTGTCCGAGGTGTCGAGTAGGGGACGTCATGCGGCCACAGTGACACAGTCGGATTTAAATGTTTGACTTGATGGCGACTTTGGGGTCTGGAGGCGTCTCTGCGGCTTGTTGATCTCTTTCGAGACTGATCCGTGAGTCTCTGGATCATGGCCTGAATGAGCTGATACAGCACCAGAGGCAGCTTGTGGGCGTGACCGCTAGGCTCCGGGGAGAACAGGGGCTGGGGGAGGTCGCCCTTCCGCGACTCCGTGAGAGCCTGGAAATTTCGGTCACAAAACCCATGCGCCAGGGGGACTTCTTACACTAAGGCCCGTGTCTGCTGTGCCCAGGTCTGGCGCCCCATCCCCAAGGCCCCTGCTGGCTTAGGCACGCTGGCGCTCCTCACACCAATAGAGAAACCCCAAATGTGCGGCATGATGTCGGCTTTTATTAGTTCCAATAGGCTCATTTTGGGGTCGCCTCCTCCAGGCAGCCAGTGGGGCTACCCTGGACTCCAGGATGTGTGGTTGCGGGAGCGTCACGGTGAGCCGGACTCAGGTGGGGGCCAAGCTGGGGCACACACGTCACCCCTGCATGGCACACCCCTGGGCGCCCAGGCGAGGGGTTGGCTGGGGACTAGACTCCAGATGCAAAGGGAAGAGACTGGGGCAGGGCAGCGCCCCGTGGTGACAGCCCGAGGGCATGGACAGAGGGTTCATCTCCTGTAGCCAGCCCTGCAGGGTCCACTGGGGGGCCACTGAGCAGAGCGTGACCCTTGCCTGGAACCATGGAGGAAGCACAGCAGCGGGGGGACGGGGTGTCGGGAGCTGAAGCTGGGAGCAGGACGCGGCCTTCCTATGTCAGTGTCCCTGAGAATTCCATGGTGGCCTTCCTATGTCAGTGTCCCTGAGTCCAGTGGGGACAAGATGGCAGCCTTCCTGTGTCGCGGGCAGCTGATGGGCATCGCAGAGCCAGCATTTCATACCGGACGGAGACGCCACCTCCAAGGAGGGGGTCATGCAACAGGCCCACCCCGGTTTCCAGGGGGCACAGATGCACCTGATGTTTCCAGAGACCCGTGGCAGTGACAGGAGCGTCCTCTCCCCGGTTCCGGGGCAGCTACCCGGGCTGTGTGCCAGCACTGTTTCACTCCTGGAGAGGGCTCAAGGCACACACGTGCACACACATGAACACACATGCAGAGTGCATAGTGATACACATACATGAACACGTGTACATACAGACACACATGCACAAGTATATGTGCACGTGCAAATGTGCAGAGCTGCAGTGACACACGTGTGAATACAGTTGTTACACTATGTACACAGAACATATATAAACATGTGCACATAAACATACACACATGCAGACACATTTGCACACAAACACATGTGCAGTGTTCATACAGACACACATGCATGAACACGTGTGCAGTATGTGCAAATGCACACGATCACATGCACACATCAACACACATATAAACAACAATGTGCGCATGTGTGCATGTACTGACACATGCATGAAACACACAGCATGTATACCACACGTGAAAACACGGGCACATGCATGGGTACATAGGCACACGTATAAAAACTGCACTGACACATATATGAACACACGTGTATAGCATGTACATGGACGTGTACACATAGTACACACAAACACGCTACACAGGGCCCGCATATGCATGAGCCCATGTGCACACATGTATACATGCACATGCAAACAAATGCCATGTTGCACACAAATACACATGAACATGAGCAAACACATGTGCAAGGATGTTCACACAATACACAAATGAACACACATGCGTAAGACATTGTGCACAAACACACATGAACACATGCACGCTGTGTATGCACACGGACAGTTGTAGACAAACACAAGTGCACACAGTGTATGCACGCTGACACGTACCCAGCACACCAACATGTAATTACATGGATGTGTGCGTCTGGACGCCTGGACACACACACATCTGAACACCACAAATGGACACGCATGCCACACACTGACACATCACTCCCGGGCACGTGGGCACAGGCAATGCACACGGGCAGATGTCTGCACGCACTGCCTGGCGCAGCGGGCAGGCGGGACCCGGAGGCTGGAGAGACTTGTGGGCTGGGCGGGCTCGCTACGGGGTGTCCTGGGCGCCGGGCCCGCCCTCCAGCTGGGCCACCGCCTGCTTCAGGTCCTGCACCACGAGGTCCACATCGGCCCGGGTGGTGCCGCGGCCCACGCTGAGCCGGAGCGCATTCCTGGCCACGTCTGCTGGGATCCCACAGCTCAGCAGCACGGGGGATGGGCTGGGGGACACGGGGCTGTCACTGCCGCGCCCCGTTGGCCCCCTCACCCACGTGGGGACCACAGACCCTCAATCCGCCCGCACGGCCATCCAGAGGGCCCGGAGAGTCATGAGGTGGGGCGGCTACTCACCGGTCACCCTGGTCCGAGTGGCATGCGGCCCCCACACTGGCCAGCAGCATCCGGCACTGCTCCAGCACCAGGCGGCCTGAGGAGACACCAGAGCCGGCTCAGCCACTCTGACTCCTGCCGGCAGAGGACAGCGACCCCGACCAGCCTGGCCCCCGGAGCCCCAACCTCTGTGCTTGGCACGGCCTGTCGCCAGTGCAGGAACAGGTGAGGGCACAGATGAGGGCGCAGGTGAGGGCGCAGATGAGGGCGCAGGTGAGAGGACAGGTGAGGGCACAGGTGAGGGGACAGGTGAGGGGACAGGTGAAGGGGCAAGTGAGGGTGCGGGTGAGGGGACAGGGGAGGGGACGGGAGGGTGCAGGGGAGCGTCCCTGCTGTGGCCACAGGCTGACTCGTCTTCCTTGTTGGGACACATCACTGTGACTAGGGAGATGGAGAGGGCTGTCAAGACTTCTGGGGTCTGCTCTGCACTGCGTACGGCCCCCAACCTCACCCCGACATGAGGGCTCACAGTGGGCCCCAGCCCCAAGTGTCCCAACAGAGGTCAGGGCCGCGCCCACTCCGTCACCTCCCCCATGTCCCCCGACAATGGGCGGACGGATTCACGGGGGCTGGGAGCCCGCCTCCTTTCGGGGGTCTGTCGGGGTGAGCCTGGGATGCCCTGAGGGCCCTCAGCAGGGGCAGCCAGGGTACACAGCGTCACCTTGCAGCTGGGGTCCCCGGATGGAGAAGTTGCAGGTGTTGGGGAGTCGCTCGGTGCCCGGAAAGCGGCTGTTGAGGTGGATCCTCGGGCCGAACTCAGCCTGGAGGAGCGAGGAGCGTCCATCACCCCCTGACCCCGCTTGGACGTCCAGTCGCCAGAGCAGGCACCCGCTGTGGGAGCAGCCCCGCCCCGGCCCCCACCCGCGGCATCCCCTCGGGGGTCTTGCCCAACCCCACCCACGGCTTCCCTCGGGGTCCCACTGGCCCCCGCCGCCCTCACCTGCAGCCTCTCCTCCAGGTAGTCACGAACGTCCCTCATGTGGGCCTCGTAGGCTGCACAGTTCTTGGTCACCAGCTCGGCTGCCTGGGGGTGCGGGGAGGCTGTGATATGGGGGCGCACAGCACCCGCTTTAACCAGCTGAAACCAGGTCCTGGCGAGGGAGGCACCCCCGGCCATGTCCTCTCCCGACAGCACCTGCAACCTCACAGGCCCTTTGTGGGGCCCACGGGGCTGAGGCCACCCCTGGCCATGCCCAGGAGCCCCTCGAGGTATGGTGGGACCAACGGGTACTGTCCCTGGGCTTGCTCCAGGCAGCGAGTATCCAGGGAGCAATCCTGGGCTTCGTTTCAGGTGGATGGACCGTAGGGAGGAGGGGGACACGGGCAGAGCAGGCACCCCCTCCCGGACGGGACCTCGGGGGGCCCAGGAGGACGCCCAGTGTCCAGAGGCCTGTCACCTGGGCTGGAGTCAGACGAGCAGGGGGACCTGGGGGGCGCGGGGGCAGTGCCCAGAGCCCAGCATCATGGCGGGTATGGGAGCCCCAGGGTGAGAGCAGGGCAGTGGGGGCCAGTCGTGGGGAGCAGGGGGACACATCGGCCAGGTCAGACCCCGTGAGGCAGTGGCCGAGGGGCTGTGGGGTGCTGCTGGGCCGGAGTACCTGACCCCGCCATGGTGGCAGGGCACCTGCACGCAGGCCCCTCTGCAAAGAACATTCTAGAAGCCTGTAGCATCTCCCTCCGCGGGGACCCCTTCAGGTGAGGCACTGCCGGCTCGCTCCTTCCCTCTGCCCCCTCCCCTCCCTGCCGCAGGCGCATTTCCAGGCCAAGCAAGGAGGTTCCAGGCGTTTCCACAGCATTCGTTTATTGGTGCACCCCTGCATGGGGCGGTCATGGGGACTGTGGGGAGGAGAGGGTGTGAGGCTGCCCGGCTGGCTGCCCCTCCAGGCACGGGCCCTGGGACCCACCACAGCCCGGGGGGGCACCCAGGGCCGTGAGGGACCCCTGGACCCCACTGACTTCGCATGAGACCTTTTCATTTTGGTTTTGGGGCCACACCCTGCAGTGCTCTGGGATCTCTCCTCCGGGGACTCGAGGGGTCACACGTGGTGCGGGGTCGACTATGCTTGGCCACGCCCACTGTACTGTCGCTCTGGCCAGTGCCTGGGGTCCGACACCCCCTTGCCTCCCTAAGACACCCCATGCGTGGGGTCCGGAGCTCCATCTCATGCCCACCTGAGCAGGATGATCCTCCAAGGCAGCACCCGGGACAGTCATGAAACCGTCACTCTGGGCTGGGGTCAGCTGGACGGGGACACAGCCTGGATCTGACTCCAAGGCCCGTGGACACAGCAAGCCCAGCCGACACCCCTTGGGGCCGCACGCCGGGGGTTGTGCGGGGCGGGGAGCAGAGAAGCGGGGGTTGCAGAAGCATCCCCCGACCTACCTTGCCGAGGCCGGCGATCATTGGCGTGTTCTCGGTCCTGGAAGACACAAGGCAGCAGTGCCACATGGGTGCCCACAGCGACGGGCGGGGCGACACCACGCTCTCTGGACCCTGCGCCTGCAGGGATGTCTGCCCCACTGCAGACTCGAGAACGGGCCTTGACCCGGGGGGGCACAGCCCACTATCCTTGGGGTGGGCTCGGGGGACTCTGCAGTGCCGGGACCTGGTGGGCAGCGCCTCCCCAGCCGAGCGTCGTGTCCCCCCGTGCTCCGCCCATGACAGGGAGACACGGGAGCTGGGCCCGTCCACCCTCTGGTAGTGGGGGACCCTGTGTCCCACAAAGGGGGCTCTGGGGCACCCAAGGGCAGCGGTGCTCCCCCTCTGCTGGAGCTGAGGGTCCTCCTGCCGCCTTCCACCCCGATGGGGGAACCCAGGCCCGGGGTCCCCACCACAGGCCCGGCCCCAGGACCCCGGCTCGGGCCCTTCTCCAGCCACACCCCCTCCCTGAGCCAACCTCGCCATGTGACCCCGAGGCGCCAACAGGCCCCTCTGCCCGGCTCTGACTGGCCCGCAGGGTGTGTGCGCTGTGGCGTCTCCTGGTGAGGGCCGCACTCCCGGGGGAGGATGTCGAGGCTGAGCTTGGATTTTGATCATCTGGATTCGCTTAAATGTTGAACCCGGTCAGTCCGTTACTTCCCAGGCTGGAGTTCTTAGCCGGGTCCATGACCCTGAAGATGCTGAGGTCAGTGACGGTCCAGGCTCCCCTTCCCATTTGGGATGGTTCTTAGCAGCAACTGGGGACAGGAGACCACCCACAGCGCCGTCAGGAGCCCCGAGGGCAGCACAGGCTGCTCTGGCTTCCGAGGCTCTGCCGCCTCCCTGACCTGCGTGCCGGCCCTGACCAGATCCAAGTGTCCGGCACTTCGGGACACTGTCACGCTGTCCAGCATGGCGTCTCACGCATAACACGGGGTCTCACACACGTCACACCCAGAGACCTTGGCGCATTTCCTGTGTGTCCTGTGGGTTCTGGTCTCACTGTTGGACTGTTCAATCCCCTCTTGGGGGTTTGAGGGGGGGAGGGCACACCCAGCTGTGCGCCAGCCTCCTCCTGGCTCGGGGACCGCACGGAGTGCTGGGGATGGACCCAGGTTGGCTGTGTGCCAGGCGAGCCCTCCCCACTGCACCGCACTGCCTCTCTGGTTCCAGTGCATCTGAGTTAGCTCTGTGTAGGGTCCTGAGGCGCAGGGCTGTCCCCGGGCACCCGACGAGGTACTGACTCTGACGTGCTTATTCATATGCTGCTGTCTGTTCCTAGAGTTTGCTGACGCTCCTGAGATCACCCAGTGGCTGGCTTCGAGTCGGAGTCACGGGTTAGGACTGTGCCTCGCACATGTGTGTCAGTGAGTGAGTTCCGCAGGCTGGCACAGGCCTAGCTACTGGTGCTGGGTCACCTCCGTCAATGGGGGCACATCTGGAGACACTCAGGGCTTACTCTGGCAGGGCCTGGGGGCGCCCGACTCGCCCTCCTGTGCTCGGCCCGTGCCCTGGGCTTCCGTGGGCGGCTTCTGTGTGGCTCCGCCCTGCTGAGGGCAGGAGACTGGCTGCCTCTCCCCTTCCAGTTCCCCTGAGTTTCGGAGCTCGGGCTTCTGCTGGCCCGTCAGGCCCCACCCCTGTCCCAGGAGCTTCCTTGGTCTGTTCCTTCACTGCTGACTGCTACTGTTACTCATACTCTGTTACTCCCTGTTACTGTTACTTATACTCTGTTACTCCCTGTTAATGTTACTCCCTACGGTTACTCTGTAACTTAAGAGCCCAAGGCCCTGCCTCCTGTGACAGATATTCTGTAGGATGTCCTACACAGTGCTCAGGGCTGACTCCTGGCGCCCGAGGCCCCTACAGGGTGTCCTTCCGGCCTTTCTTCTCCTCCTTCTCCATCATGCCCGAAGTGAGTTCCTGAGCACCGGCTGGTCACTTCCTTCCGGGCGGTGCCCTCCCTGTCCCTGGGGGTCACTTCCTTCAGGCACATGGTTCCTCTGCTCAGCTGCTCCTCAACTGCCCACTGCGGCCAACGGCCACTCGCTCACTTGGATTCCGGCTTCCCCGCCAGTTTCCCGGCCTTGCGCAGGCCTGGGGTCCTATTGCCCTTCAGGCGCTGCCCAGCTGGGGGGAGGGGGCGATGCCCTCAGCCCTGTGCAGGCCGGGAGGGTCCTAGGCCGAGGGGGTAGGCATGGGGTCCCCAGCATCTCCCTCAGCCTCCTGGTGTCTGAGGCCTCCTGGACTGCATCTGGGCCGGGAGGTGAAAGGTGATGCAGGACGGTCACTCCATGCCACTCCTGCGTCTGCCTCCTGTCCGGTTTCTGGCAAATGTCCCACTGTCCACGGGCCACCCTTACCAAGTGACCACTACAGGGATGTGGGCACCGCCAGCCAAGTCCAGGAGTTTCACTGGGACCCACCTGGCACCATGCAAGGGCTGGACACTGCCAGGGGCTGGACGCCATATAGCCGGCCAGCAGGGCCTCCCCTGCTCTCCCCACAGACAGGGCTGCTGAGTATCTCCGGACACAGATAAGGACCCTTGTCCCCTACACCTTACCCTGGCCGGAAGTTGCGCTCCTGGCCACCGCCGAACAGCATGGGGTACAGCGGGGTGAGGTCGCCCAGTCCACGGACGTATAGCGCGCCGATCCTGGGACCATAGAACTGAAAGGAAACGCCGGTCACTCGCTTGGCCTGGACCTTCCGGAACCCTCTATGCGCGTGTGCCGAGCTCCCGGGACACTGGCTCAGGGTCCGTGTCCTGCCAAGCCTGGCCGCACCAGAGAGCCGCTCCCCACACACCTTGTGGCCCACGATGGTCAGGAAGTCCACGCCCAGCTCCCCCACGTCCACGCGCTGCTTCCCCAGGGCCTGGGCCGCGTCCGTGTGCAGCAGGATGGCCGGCAGCCCGGCTGCCACGCGCTGGGCATTCAGGGCTGCTACGCGGCGGCTGATCTCAGGAACGGGCTGTGGGGACAACAGAGAGTGGCCACAGAGGGGAAGGGACCCTGGGCTGGATGGCGGGAGGATGGCGGGCCTGAGGGACAGTGGGGGCGAGGTCTGAGCGGACAGCAGGGTGGCCTGTGGCATGCATGCAGGACTGGGTCTGCAGCTGTGGCGTGAAGCCTGGGGTAGAAGGTGACCCCCGGCCCTTTGCATCACTCACCATGATGACACCCGTCTCGTTGTTGGCCAGCATGATGGTCACCAGGCACGTGGCTGGGCGGACAGCAGCCAGGACGTCATCCGCCTCTGCCCGTGCACTCACCTTGGACACAGGGACGAAGGTGACCTCTGGGTGAAGACAACAGACCCACGTGAGCCCAAGCCGACCTGCTTCCCGCACGCAGTGACAGACCGTGGGGTCCGGCTTCTCATCACCGTCCCTCACCGGGCCCCGAGCCCCTGCCCACCAGACCACTCTCTGTACCCTCTTCCTGCAGAGCTGGACCAAGAGTCCTGCAGGGCGGGCAGAAGCCCCAGGACATTGGCCAGGCCCCGGGGGGCGATGCTGGCCTTTCTCGGCCTGACCTTCCCCACAGCCGCTGCTTCGTGCCCCTCACCCCTGTACCAGGGAAACATCCCCCGGTGACCCCCGGGCCTTAGCTGGGTCCCACCTCCGGGTCCCACACCCTAGGGCCCTTCCGGAGAGAAACTCACCAGCCCCTCCCCCCGGCCCTGCTCCCGGGGACCCTCCATGGGGCGCGTCTGTCCTTCCCATCCCCGTGTCCCCTCCCCCCTCAGGACGACACGGGGCGGGGTGGGGGCTCTGAGGAGTTCGCACGCAGCGAGGGTCAGTCAGGGGCTCCTAAGTGACGCTCCCCGGTGGCTGCCCCCCACGCGGGGCCCCGGGAAGCTCCTAGGGTTCTGCCCACTGCGGGGACCAGGCAGCCGGTCACTCACCGGCCGCGCGCTCCCGCGCCAGGTGCTCCAAGGGCAGGCGGACGGAGTCATGCTCCACGGAGCAGGTGACAAAGTGGGGCAGGGTCCCCGCCTCGCGCTGCAGGCTGCACGCCTGGAGCCAGTGTTGCATGGCCGAGTGGATCACCAAGTTGTTGGACTGCGGGAGCGGGGCGTCACAACGCGGCTGGACAGTGCCCTGCCCCCGTCCCTCTCCCTGCCCTAGGCCCCCCACTGGACAGCAGGAAAGAGCGTTTTGGGGGAACGCGGCCTCGTGGGCCAGAAAGGGGGATGGTGCTGACCAGACCCGGCTGACCCAGCCCTGCTCCCAGCACCTTGGGCGGTTCCCCAAGCCCAGGGGTCAGCCCTGAGCAGCGCTGGGAGAGGCTCCCCACACACTCCTGGACACAGCTGCCCGGGACGGGTGGGGAGGGCAGGGCCACCCTCTGGGCAAAGACGGCGCCCAGGGCCCCCAGCCCGGCCCGGTGCAGCCACAGGAGCTGAGGACACGGCAGGGTTCGTGGGGCCCTGGACAGCCCCAGACACCTGCCCAGGGGGTCAGTGGACGCCAGCTTCTGCAGCTCCTCCTGCTCAGCCGTCCTGCCCCGGCCCTGTCCCTGGGTGGGCCTAGCCTCGTCCCTCCCTCAGCACTTTCTGACTTCCCAGAGGGAGGGATGGGTCCTTCCTCACAAAGTCCTTTCACTTTCCGAGTGGCTGGTTTCGGTCTCGCCTCGTCACTGCCTGTCCCTCCATGGGCAGGGCTGCCCAGTGCCTCGGGAGACGCTCACCTCGGTGCCCCCGGAGGTGAAGACGATGTCTCGGGGCTTCCCGCCGACCATCCTGGCGAGGTTCTCCCGCGCTGTCCCGATGATGTCCTTGGCCCTCCGACCTAGGGGCAAGGGGCAGGTGTCCACGCTCCCTGCGTCCACGCACTGGAGAGAGGGGGTGGGGGGAAGGCGCTGGCCTGTATGTGACCACCCAGGCCCGATCCCTGAGCACAGAACCGGGAGCCCAGCACTGCCCCCAGTAGGTGAAATCAAGCACTCAGACATGGGTGGGTGGTCCTGGGGCATGTGCATGAGGAAACTGTCCTGGGAAGGGCCCTGGACTAGGGCAGACCCCGGGGCCTGGGAGCCGAGACCCTGACCCACTCTGGCCCAGCCTCAGGCAGGGGGAGCCCTGGGCCGCCCCCAGGGAGGGGACCCTGTTGGGTGGCAGCTGTCCAGGTCTCAGGACAGCAGAAGTAGGAGAAAAGGCAGCTGGGCCTGACCCGGGGGGGCTGGGGGGTCTTGGGGGAAGCCCGGGTGCCGCCCAGGTGCTGGCACCAAGTCCCTGACCACATGGGCTCTGCAGAGACTTCCTGGCAACTTGCTCACCCTCAGTGGGGCAGAGCTCAGCACTGGGGCAGCGGCCTAGGGCAGAGGGCTGCGGGCCCAGCTACCCTCCAGGCAGGGATGTGGGCGACACCAGGGGCCCGTGTCCCCGAGGGACCAGACCTTGGTTCCAGAAACCCCACAAAGGAATCAGTGGCATAAGGAAGTCCTACAGGGAGACCTCGCCAAGACCCAGCCTGCTCGCTCCCTCTCTCCATCTGTCCCTCCCTCCTTCCCTCTCTCTCCCTTCCCCTCCCTCCCTTCCTCTATCTCTTCCTCTCTCCCTGTCCTTTTTCTTCCTCCCTCTCTCTTCCTCTCTCCCTCCCTCTCTCTTTCTCCTTCCTTCCCTCCCTCTCTCTCTCCCTCTGTCCCCCTCTCTCCCCTCCCTGCCCTCTTTACTTCTACACATGCCCATGGACGCCAGGTACGTCTTTTTCCCTGGGGTTTTCCTGAACTCTCCTGCGCCCCCACTCCCCGCCCCTGGGTCAGGGCCTCAGCTACTGAAATTGGGAGGCAAGGTCTGCGGAGGCAGGCAACAGCCCCAGCTAGGTGTTAATGACTGACCAGCCAGCCTGGAAAGGCCTTCCAGGGCAGCTTGTGAAACTGAACAAGCAAAATGATAGCCCAGCCCACGGCCAATCTGTGCCAGGACCCAGACCTGGGCAGGGAAGGCAAGTGGGCACGGCGAGTGGGCATGGCAAGTGGGCAGGCACCCTGAGAGAGTCTAACTCTCCGGGAACAGCCGTTAAGGAAGCCGAGGTTCGGCGAGCCCCGAAAGCACCCTGGCTATCTGCTGGCAACCCCGACTGCTCACTCCCTCAGCCCTGGCAAGAATGAACCGAAGCAGGGGAGAATTCTGGCTGGTGTCCAGCTGTCCCGGTGGTGCTCAGGCGACCCCAGGTGGGGTGCTTGGGGACGGAGCAGGGATAGCCGTGCGCAAGGCCACGCCTGAGCCCGGGCCATCTGCAGGGCTCGTCTGTCTTTCCGCAGGGCTCGTCTGTTTGTCTGCAGGCTCATGTGTAAACAGGGCACTCTGTGGTCTAGGCAGGGAAAGTGCTATTCTGCCCCTGGACGGACGGACGGGGTGAGGCCGCGAGCACCGCCCAGATCCTGCCCGGCCCCACTCAGGGTACCTGCGGGGTACGTGCTGCTGGGGTTCCCCCAGGCCCCCTGCAAGGCCTCCGTCACCGCCTGCACCACCTCGGGGTCCGGGGGCGTCGTGGCGTTGTAGTCCATGTACACCCGCCTGCAGGGGGGTGGGGAGAGGGTGCTCAGGAAGGAAGGAGGAACCCCCAGGGCCCCACCCCAGCAGAGGCCCCCACACCCCCTCCACCCCTGACTCCTCTGGGTCCGCACCCCCCTCCCACCCCTGCCCCCTGCGCCCTGCACCCCCCTCCCGCCCCTGTTGTGGTTTGCCAGTGCCCCGTTAGACTGATCAGGGGTCTCAGGGGTCGTGAAGGGTCTCAAGCCTTCTTTGGAGGGGCGAGACACAGCACAGGGGTTGGGGCTGACCCGGCTCCCAGCACCTCCTATGGTTTCGATCCTGCCTCGCTGATCCCTGAGCACAGGACCAGGAGCACGCCGTGAGCACCACCAGGTGTGGGCCAAAACCAAAACCAAAACCAAAACCAAAACCAGCAGGGCTGGTGAGGCTGTGACAGCCGCCAAACCACACTCCCCGGGGGAGGGTCTGCCCAGCCTGCGGAGACCCCGCGACACACTCGAGCCCCCTGGGCTCCCTCCGGCCTCGGCCCCACCCGCCGCCCGCCACGCTGCTGCTCGCAGCCCTCTCCCCCCGCATGGCCAGCGCTGACCAGGCCCCCTTAGGGAGCCGCCTGAGCCCCCAGCTGCCCCCGATCCCCTCCCTCGCCCTCCCCTGACCGGACTCAGGCGCCCCACGCGGCGCCTCGGGGTCCTTCCCTCCCCGGACCTGCCCTGCGCGACCGTGGACGGAGCCCACGGGCCGGCGTCCCGCGGGCCTCTGCGGGGAGGGACACGCGGACGCGGGGGTGCCCCGCCCGCCGGCAGCCCCCACCCGGCGGCTCCCCCTCCCCAGGGGCCTCCTGCGCGAGTGGCCACCGGTCCCCCGGCCCCTCCGGCCCCCGGCGCGGCTGTACCGGCCGCTGTCCCCTCCGGCCTCCTGGCCCAGACAGCGCCCCGAGGGCTCCCCGGAGGGGGTGGGCGCAGCGCCTCCCCGCACCTGTGCGGCGGGCTTGGGTCCCCGCCGACGCCGGGCGGCCCCGTCGCGTCCATCCCGCCGAGTCCGTCGGGCAGCGCCGAGCCCCGCGCCCGCCGCGCGTCCCGGCCGGGCGCAGAGGGCGGGGCCTCGGAGAGCGGGGCGCGCCCCGATTGGCTGAGTCGTGCCGGGGCCAGTCAATCCCCCAATCCCTTCGCTTCAGCGGCCGCGGGCCCAATGGAGGCGGGGCCTCCGGCGCCAGGCCACGATGGAATACTGATTGGTCGCTCGGAGTCATGTGATGCCCAGGAGGCGGGGAATTCGCGTGCGTCGCGGAGGGCGTGGCCGCTCTGTCCAATGAGAGCGCTCCGTCCTCTCGGAGGCGGGCTGGGGGCGTGGCCTCCGCGGAGCCGGGCGCCCGGGAGTCGCGGCTGCGGCCGGCGGGCAGTTGCAGCCTCGGAGCTCGGGAGACTGGGCTCCGCGCCCACGTGCACCCCCGGGTCCGCGGGCGCCCGAGACCCGGCCCTGGGCCCCAGTGGAAGCAGGGGTGCGTGTGCGGGCGCGCGGGGGCTGGGCAGGGGCGCAGTGGACGGCTGTAGGCGGCCCAGTGGGGCACGGAGCTGGACGGCCGGTGCCAGATGGACTCGGCCCGGGCGGGCGGGGCGAGGACCCGGGCGGAAGGGGCTGGCTCGCCTCCCGGCACCTTTTCCTGGGGCTCCCGGGAGCCAGTGCGGGTGTTGGGGACGGTCAAGCGGCAGCTCAGCCCTCCCCTTGGGGTGACAGTGCGAAATCAGAGCCCGGCGCGGTGCCAGGCACGGGGGCGGGCGCCCTGCACTGACTCTCCAATCCCGACGCCCGCCGCTGCCCCCTTGGCACTCCTGTCCGCATTTTATACCCGAAGCAATGAAGGTGCGCGAAAGTTTAGCATCTCACCCCAGTCCCTGCCACCGTGATGGCCCCGACTGGGTGGGTGGGGGGAGGGGCGCTTTCCTGGCCAAGGAATGGGATGTGCACTGGCCTTTCTGCAGGCCTTTGCCAATTTGGTCTGCTGTTGTGGTCCAGAAAATGTTGCGTGTTCTATTACTGCAGCTCCCCACCGCCCTGCCTTCTGTATTTCCTTTCTTGCAAACTGAGCTCATTTCTGGCCCAAAACAACACGCACCCGCCCTGTCTGGTGGACCAGTGCTGGGCCCAAAGCGGGGCACTTTGCCCTATAAGGCCCCGTGGGACAGCAGTGACCCCACGTGGAGCCTGCGCAGTGGAGCCGGCCTGATGTGGCACCAGAAACACCAGGTGACGTTTCTAGCATTTACTGCACTCAAGGCACGTGTCCGTCGCATGTTCCTCAACTGCACATGTGGCGATAGTACAGTGGGCAGAGCACTAGCTCCGCATTCAGCAGACCCAGGCTCAGTTCCTGATGCCCCATATCATCCCCGGGGCCATCCCTGATCATCGCGGGGAGAGATGGTTTATAAAACCCTGGCAGTTACCTCTTTCTGCTGGATGGTGCCTGTGTCCTTCGAAACTGGTTAATGTAGTTTCAGTCCCTTGGAGGCACCACTGCCAATGCTGCCTGTGCTGCAGCTACCAACACCAGACGTGTGTCTTTGTGCATTAGATAACGTCTGGTTCCTTCATCCAACCTTGTTTTCTCTTGTCAGTCCCACCCTGGATCCCATGGAGGAATCCAAGATCCCATGTCTTGTGCATTGTTCTCAAAGTTTGTATTTCGTGTACAGTATGTATCAGAATAATGTCTCTGCAATGGCATTATTCTGATACATATCAGAATAATCTTCATCATGATATGATCTTTGAAAAAGATTATAAACGGTGTAACCAACTAAAATATCAAATAAACCTGAACAGTGGCTACTCTAAAAGGAAAAAAAAAGCCCTCTTTCCATTCATCTGTCCCAGGTCTCGTGACTGACAGAAGGGGTGTTGTGGGCCGGAGAATGGGGACAGGATCAGGGCGGCCGCGAGGTGTCGGGAAAGTGTCAGTGTGCCAGCCTATAGTCGCTGGTGATGTTGGGGAGACTTCCCCTCTGAGGCCTGCCAGTGCAGAGCTGACGGCGGTCTGCGAGGCTGGAAAAAGCTGTGCAGGAAGCTGAGAGGAACATTCTAGAGAAACAGCCAGTTTCTGGGCAGGGTCAGGTAACAAGAAAACTGCAGATAAAAGATGGAGGGCGTGGCCACAGCTCAGGGGGATGCGGGGCGGACGGGGTCAGTGTCCAGGTGCCGGGAGTGATGGGTGCGGGGGCTCCGGAGTGCTTCCCAGGTGGCACTGTTTGACCAGCCCCTGGGCCAGAGCGATCGGGGTGGCCGTGTGAGTGGTGACGGGGCCAGGCTGGGACGCCCCGCCTCTCCTGGCCTGCTCAGGGACAGCCCACATCCGGTTGGGCAGCAGCCAGCCCAGGGGGTGGGAGTTTCAACGGCAACCAGTCTAAAGGTTGTCTGCCGACAGATAAGTATGTCAAAGAGGATGCTGGGGATTGTTCCCTCCTGGACACTGACCAGGAGAGAGGTGGCTGGTGGGAATGCCTGCCATGAGACCTGGGTGTTTTTATTTCTTAAATAGAAAAGTTTTCAAAAAAAGAAAAAAATGATTGAGAAAACTTGGAGGGGCTGGAGCAATAGCACAGCGGGGAGGGCATCTGCCTTGCACATGGCCAACCCGGGTTCGGTCCCCGACATCCCATAGGGTCCCTCCGTGCACAGCCAGGAGTAATTCTTGAGCATTATCAAGTGTGACCCCAAAAGCCAAAACCCAAACAAAACCAAACAACTTGGATATGAAAAGTGTAGGAAAGGGTTTAAAGCCTCACCCGAGGGTGCCCGGGTTAAGGCGCTCGCCTGGCACGCAGCCACTGGGCTCCAGCCCTGGTACCCTGCAGGAGTGAGCCCTGAGCACAGAACCCTGAGCACTGTGCCCCCCCCCCATCAAAATCCCTCCAGCTGAGGGCCCAGTGAGGCTCAGCTATGGGGCGAGTCCACACGCACATAGAAGCGTCCACACGCACCTCAGCACTGTCGGGTCCAAGCCAGGGTGACAGAGTGAACCTCTGGATGCACTAGGGACTCAGGGTGGTTCCGTCCCTACGCCGGGCCATTTGGGAGGTGCTCGGGAGAGCACTGAGGGCGCGAGAGGTGCTGGAGCAGCGGCGGGGGGGGGGGGCGCGACTCGCCCAACTTTGCTGTGAACCTAAAGCCATTCAAGGTATTTCTTTAAAAAAGAATCACTTGGGGCTGGAACAATAGCAGTGGGCTCCTGCTTGGGTGCGGTTGGCCAGGCTTGACCCCTGTACCCCACTGGGCCCCTCAAGACCTCCAGGAGAGACCCCTAAGCTCAGAGCCGGGAGAAAGCCCCAAGCACTGCCAGGAGAGGTGCAAAAACCAGAGAAGTTGCTCAGTGGGCCGAGTGTGTGCTGGGCCCACGTGGGCGAGGGTTTGGGTCCTGCACTCCGTCCTTGGCCCCGGGCGCCAGGCCAGGAGTCTCAGTGCTCCCAAAACCAATAGGAAAAAAATCACCAGGTGAGCCGGGTTGGTCAAGTGGCTCGTGCCTGGCATGAGAACCCGCAGTCAACAGCTCCCGTTTCATCCTGGAGCCGGCCCTGGGGAAGGCGTGGACAGCGCGAGACCCTCTCTGTGGGGGCCCGACACAGGTGGCGGTGGCGCTTTGGGCGTTCATTGACTTACTGGCCAAAATGCTGCCAGCTGCTCCGGCCCTGCCATGTCCACGTGCTGGTGGTTCCGAGACTAGCTCGGACCTCAGACTCCAGCACCGGTTTTTCAGGGGTTTTTTGGCGGAGCACCTGACAGTGCTCAGGGATCACTCCTGCAGTGCTCGGGAGTGTGTGGGTGCACGTGGGGCTCCAGGCACCAAACCCAGGTCGGCTCTCGGACTGTGCAGCTTCCTAGACTACGGAAGCCCTTCCTGTGCCGTCGCTGCTGACCCACGTTACGTGCGTCGGGCTCTGGGGTCAGGGGGGCCTTGCCATGGCTGGCGAGGCTTGTGGCTCTGCACAGGAATCACGCCTGGCCGTGCTCAGCACGGAACGGCACGCCCCTCCCGCTCTACTGCCCCTAAGGGAAAGCCCACAGACGGCCGGGCCTCCCCTCTGAAACAGCACCAACGGGGGGTGTCACTGCGCCACTTTGAGAGGTGTCCTCCCGTGTCCCTACAGCCTGCTCCAGCTCTAAGCGGGGAACCTTGCTAAGTGGCCCCTGCTGGCCTGTCCAGGCCCCATGTAAGTGCTAAGCGCCTCTTTCCAGCTAACTGTATGCGTACGTGGTGCATTGCCCCATTTGCACAGCTGTAAAGCGAGACCTTCTGCTTCGTGGTGGGGACCCGAACCCCCATCGCATTTCTGCCTTACTTTCCTGGGGACAGAAATTCTAGGGCCAGAGAGATAGTGCTGGCCTTGCGCACAGCCAACGTGGGTTGACCCCCAGCACCCCATATGGTCCCCCAAGCCCACCAGGAGTGATCTCTGAGCACAGCGGTGTGTGCCCCCCAAATAAAATGTTTTTTCTTCTTCTTGGGTCACACCCAGCAATGCTCAGGGGTTCCTCCTGGCTCTGCACTCAGGAATTACGCCTGGCGGTGCTCAGGGGACCATATGGGATGCTGGGAATCGAACCCAAGTCGGCCGCGTGCAAGGCAAACGCCCTACCCGCTGTGCTATCCCTCCAGCCCCCCCAAATAAAATCTTTGAATGGCCTTTTCCTTCCTGTGTTTCGGAGAAGCTCATCTCCCTGCCCCCCACCCCCTCCAGCCCCAGGATCCAGTGTTTGACCCTCTGTGTTCCTGCCACCTTTTATCATTTCTCCGAGGAATTTCTACATCTGTCAAGACTCCCAGCCGGACTCTGCCTCACTTCCTCTGAGGTGACGTCAGCTTCTTCCTTCCCACTCCCGAAGGAGGCAGCTGTGCTGGGTGTGAATTTCTGACTGGCCGTTTTTTCAGAACTGAAGTCCCTTTGGCTTTGATGGTTGAGGGGAACACACTCACACTGGTGTCCCCCAGGGGTAATACCCGCTTCCCTCTGGTGCTGTGCAAGGTACTTTGGCGTCACCTTAGTTTCACAAGTCTAAGTAAGCGTGTGTCTTGGTCTGGATTTGAGATTTTCCTGTTTAGGATTCACTCAGTTTCATGAATCAGGTGTCTTCACGATTTTCACCCATTTTCCGGGGGGCGTCATCGGTCCCTGAAGCTAGCGGCCAGCCCCTTTGTGAATATTCCGTAAATGCCGTCACAGCCCACTGAGTCCCAGGAGCCACGATTTCCTGTCATTTTTGTTCACATCAAGCAAATTCTACCTTGTTTCCTGATCAAATACTCATAATTTCTACTCCACTACCAAGTAAGGTTCAGACAACCAAGAAAGGAATCTAAAAACTTTTCTGTGATTTTTATTTGGTTCTTGATAAATCTGCTTTGGTTTTGGGTCACATCCAGTGGTGCTCAGGTATCACCTTTGCTCTGCATTCAGGAATTATTCCTGGCAGTTCTCGGGGGACCATATGGGGTGTCGGGGATTGGACCCGCGTTCGCCACGTGCAAAACACATGTCCCCCCACCCCTGCTGCATTATCACTCGGGCCCCCCGACATTTTTTTGGGGGGGTGTCACACCCAGCGATGCACAGGGGTCACTCCTGGCTCTGCACGCAGGAATTACTCCTGGCGGTGCTGGGGGACCCTATGGGATGCCAGGAATCGAATCCAGGTTGGCTGCGTGCAACGCAAACGTCTTCCCTGCTGTGTTATCACTCCAGCCCCCTGGGCTCCTTTTGTTAAGGTTGTCACTGATCCTTTAGGTGCTGAAGCCCTAAGACCCCTTTGAGGTCTTTCTGAGTCCCCCATGTCTCCTCAGCTGTGTCCTGGTCACCCCTGACAGGAGGCTGAGTTCGAGGCTTGGGCTGGGGGGCAGCAGCCTCCTGCTGACCGTCCAGGCGAGTAGGTGGGTTAGGGCAGTTTCCTGCCCTCCTGGAAACTGCTGGCAGATGCCCTTGGGCTTTCCTGTCTGGACGGGGTGCCTCAGGCCGGTGCGGCCTCCCGCTCCTGCCTGTGCCCAGGGTCTCTCCTCACTGAGACAGTGGCTCTGGGCCTGTCACCTGGTTGAGACCAGTGACCCAGCCCCATCCCCTGCCCTCCTGTCCTCGCGCACCCGTCTCAGGGACGCTCAAGCGCGGTCTGCGTTCCCAGCACGCGGCGTCCTGGCTGTAGGGCCACCCTGCAGGCCACCACTCCTGGTGGCCGGCTGTCCGGTGGCGCCACAGCCCACGGGAGGCGGTCTGCCCACGCGGCCCTGCTGCAGGTGCCCGGGCTGCCCACCGTGCCAGAAGGCAAGGCTCACCTGGGCAGCACCTGGGGGGGGGGTTCTCAGCTCTGCAGGAAGATCGGCACAACAGTGTGGCGCCAAGCTGCTTGCCTGAGGGTGCCGGCACGTCATGAGAACCCTCAGCAGCGGCCAGATTAGTCCGGTGGCAGGAACAGCCCCTGGCACCAGAGCGCGTGACCCAGCCCATCCCCCACCAAAGCAAGAGAAGCTCAAGGAAATCCTGCTGGATGGGGGGGGAGGGGAACACAGAGGTGCTATCGGGGCTGTGCGGGAGGGGGTTGTGGAGTCCATGCGCTGGCAGAGTGGGCCAGGACAGTGGAGGCTGGGCCTGGCTGTGGGAGGGCGAGGTGCCAGCAGGGAAGTGAGCCTGGGACACTGTGGCTGAGGGAGCCGGGGAGCCTCTGCAGCTGCAGGCCGGACGGGCCAGGCAATGGGCAGCTGCCCGCCTGGCGGCACCTGCCCTGAAAGCTCGGCGCTGGGGGTCCCTGAGGTGGGCAGTGAAGGGCTCGGGGCACATGGGGGCGTGGTGCCCACCCACCTCCAGGTCCACATTCCCCCTGGCGTGGGAAAGGCAGCCACCGGACAGCAGGGCAGGGCCCGGAGCCAGCACAGTCTGCCCGAGTGGGCAGAGGCCTCCGGGAGCCGGGCTCCCGCCCACAGGGCACAACACTGGTTGTGCCAACAGGGGTGGGGCGGCCGAAAGCTCAGGACCCTGGCGCCGAGAGCTCCGCTGTGAGGCAAGTCCAGCAGCCAGGACTCCCGACGCCACGGCTCCTGGGCATTGGGGTCCTGGTCCCCGACATGCACAGGACGCGTGGCTGCATCTCCTGCGCTGACGGTCACATGTCAGATGCCTCAGAGGAGCTGTGGGGCTCGGGCGGCAGCAGCCCACAGCTGCTCCCTGGTCGCCCCGCTGGCGTCCCCTCATCCCCGGCCGGAGGCTGGGCCTGCACACCCACGCTTATCCTACACGGGCACCACTGGCTGAGTGTGCGTGCGCCTGCGTGTGCACACGCATGTGTGGGGCGTGAACCCAGCGCTTAGCAACGAGCCACATCCCAGAGCTCGGTTTCCTGAGTTTTGTCTTCCGGGCCGAAGCTGCAGGATCCAGGGGGTTCCCAGGGGTCCCTGGGGTGCTGGGAGGGGCCCTTCCCCCTGGCTGACCCCCGGGGCGGATTCTGAGCACTGTCTGGACAGAAAGAATAATGTGTCTCTCACATTTTCTTTGTATTTCCCTTCGCCAGTTGCTCAGCGCAACGTTTTTCTGCCTGCTTTGTACAATGAAAATACAAACTAAATGAGAATAGAAAAAATAATTAAAGCATTAAATCGTACAAATTACAAATCTGTTCCAAAATATACTTACATTCCATACAATGCGCATCTCAGTGAGGGGCTACAGCGGGTGGCGCCCGGGCAGGGCGGGGCTTCACCCCAGGATGGGCCGGGCCGGCACCGGGCGCGGCTGAGCGGGGCGGAGCGGGGGTCGGGAGGAAGCAGGCGGGAGGCGCCAGCCGGCCCTGTCCTTCTCCAGGCCCGTCCACGGCCAGAGCGGCAGAGTCGGGACTGACCATGCGAGTGGACGCCCCGGCCACCATGCACTCCGGCTGCGTCGGCGCGGACGCGCCACCTACGGCAGGCGGTCACCAAGAGGCGCTTCCCAGGACAACATAGTCACGGGACTCAGACGACCCGGTGGACTGAGGGGGCGCCAGGACGGGGTCCCGCGGCTTGAGTCGGACACTGGACGCTCGCCTGCGGGCGCGTATCATCTGGCGTAGCGCTTGATGTAGTCCTCCACCTTACTCCGGAAGTCGTCCTGGGGGCAGGGACGACGAGTGAGGGGACAGGAGGGGCAGCAGCGCCGTCCACTCCCACAGCCGGGCACTGTGAGCCCCGCCTAGCACCGCCCACTCCCACTGTCCCCATCTCCCCAGTCCTTCCCTGGCCTCGCCCGTCGCGGTGCCGGGGGAGCCGGTCACGGAAGAGCTTCGAAGAGGAAGGACGCCCCGTGTGGGCCCCGAGGAGCCGCGGTGGCCCTGGGCAGGGGCCCTCGCTGATGCTCTGCTCAGCTGCCCACTCCAGGCCCCGCACCGGACCCAGGCAATCGGCCAACACTCAGCCCAGCTTTGACCCCCCCCCCCCCGCCCCGGCTCCCAGCCGCCTCCCCTGTCCCCACCTTCAGTGACCCGGCACAGGGCCGACCCACCTTGTCCCGCAGGTGGTGCTCCGCAGCCTCGATGTTCAGCGGGTCATCGAAGTTCAGGAGATCCTGGAGAGAAGCTGGTGAGCCGGGGGGTCTGCACAGAGCCCCCCACACTGCCAGGTGCGGCAGGACCCCACCCCGCCACAGGACCGCACGCCACAGCCTCAGCATGGCCTGGAGATTTATCCCATTAAGCCTCTCTGAGGGCCGAAAGCAAACCTTTGTGGGGAAGACCTGCTGGCACCGGCACCAGCCCTCAGCGCGCCCGCCCGGGCCCCTCCACCCACCAGCATCCCCGTGGGAGCCCAGGAAGGGCAGCTGCTGTGGGCGCGACAGCCGAGGGACGAGCTCTGCGACAGGCGCCCCCAGGTAGGGGGCCCTGAGGGCACGGACTCTCCAGAGACCCCACGCACCCCCAAGAGTGGGTGTCAGACTCAGCACACGTGGAGGGTGACGGGCCCGCACACTCAGTGCCTTTCCTGACTGCCTGGACCCGGAACGTGGGGGCGCCAGTGGCCAGGGCAGGGGGAAGAGCGGGTCCTTTCAGCCAGGACTCACCGTGAACAGCGAGTTCAGACCCCAAACCACATCCTGCAACAGAAGCAGAGAACAGTCACCTTGACACGGCTGCATGACCTAGTCACTTCCACACGGTCACCCCAACCCAGCCTGGTCACCCAACACAGTCACCCCTACCCAGACAGGGTCACCTGGACAGGTCACCCCCACCCAGCCATCCTGACTCAGCTTGGTCACCTGCACATGGTCGCCTGACAGTCACCCTGGCCCGGCCTGGGCACCCGGCACCACCACCCCTGATGCGTCCCTGTGCCTCCCGGAGAGAGAAGCCGCTGCACAGCACAGCGGGGAGGGAGCCCCCGTGACGCATACAGCCAGGCCCCTGGCACCCCTACAGGCCCCCGAGCACCGCCCGGAGTGACCCCTGAGCACCAAAAGTGGCCCAAGAGTCAAAAACCAGAAACCAAACCCCCAACCAAACTGCTGAGAGGACACTGGCCAGAGCAGGGCCCGGGGGCAGCTGATCAGGCGACGTGGATGCAGAGGGCAGCGCTGCCCAGATCGTCCAGGGCCCCACCCACTGAGCCCCCCATATCCTGGCAGAGCCAGAGACCCTCGTGAGGGGGTCCCCGCGCCCGGGACCGAGGGGGGCAGGTGGAGTCAGCCCTGCACCGTCCCAAGGGCTCATGGCGGGGGCCACGCGAGGGAGCTGCCCCCTCTAGCCTCCAAGCAGCCCAGCCAGGCGGGCCCCCCAGGCCTCGGCCACATGCACGGGTGAGGGGGTGTCAGACCCAGGGCTGCCCCGGGGCCGCCTGAGTGAGGTGGGAGGGTGCTGGCCTCTGGCGTGCTCACTCTGCCTGATCCACCCAAGCCCTGGGCCGGCCTCCCCAGGACGGGACTAGCGTCCCGAGTGGCCCTTCCTGCGGTAGATGCAGGGACACCTCTGAGGGATGCCCCTTGGATGTGGAGACGGAAAACTGCAAACGCCTGCACAGCCAGCGGAGACACCTAGAGAACCAGGGGCGAGGGGCTGCGTGGATGGAGCAAGAGGGTGTGTGGGCCCGTGTGTGGGGCCATGCCAAGGGAGGGGTCATGTGTGGGGTGTGTGGGTGAGGCGGGGGCTCCTCCTACCTTCAGCGTCCGTGTAGGGGCCCAGCCGGTGCCGTCGATGGAATGTTCTCTCAGCAAGCTGCAAGAGAAGTGGGAGCCACGTCAGACCCCCGGCCCCCCACCCCGGGAGCCCGCTGACAAGACCCCCAGAGCCTCCGAGTGCCAGGTCAGGGGCCACGGGTAGCGGTGTCCTGCGGCACTGCAGGGCCGGCCACCCTCCGTCAGGTCTGAGTGGCGGCATGCTCGGGCCAGGCCCAGCTGTGATGGGAGGGGGACCCCCTGCATCCGCCCCATGGCCCGGGGGAGTGTGGCCACACAGCCTCGGCCACAGGGCCGGAGCCAACGGTTCTCACCCGCGTCGGCTGGGAACGCGACCAACCTAACCAGAGCCTGTGGGCCGAGGGCACAGCCCGGCTGGGCACGCGAGCCAGAGACCCGGGCGCGGGGTCCGCCAGCGCCTGCCCGCCAAGCACCTCCCCACCCAGCTGTGGAACCCATGTGGGCTCTGAGCGTGCCCATTCCCCACCCGCCCACTGTTCTGGGCTGACTGACTCTTCGCTGCCCATTTCCCAAACGCAGCACAGAGTGACAGTGCAGTGGGAGGGCTACTTGCACGCAGCCGGCCAGGGTTCGATCCCGGCATCTCACAGGGCCACAAGCACTGCCAGGAGCAAAGCCCGAGGGCAGAGCCAGGAGTCAGCCCTGACGCCACGAACAAAGAAACAAGAAAAAGAGGGGCTGGGGTGTTGTCCAGCGGGGAGGGTGTCTGCCTTGCACCTTGGTCTGACCCCAGTGTCCCACACGGTCCCCCCGACACCCCCAGGAGTGATTCCTGAGTGTGGAGCCAGGAATAACCCGAGCATCTCGGGTGTGACCCAAAATGCTAAAAAAAGAGAAAGAAGCACAGGAAGCGGGCATGGGGTGGCCACGGCCTGGCAGTGATGGGCCCTGCGCCCTGGGGTCGTGGCCGCCCCACGCCTTGCAGAGGTCTGAACTCCAGGGGAGCGGAGGGCAGGCGTGGGCAGCAGGCGAGGGAGAGAGAACGGCCCGCCTGTGCACCGGGGGTGGGGGGCCCTGGTGCGCCCGACACTCACAGCTGCCCGGGGGCAGCGACGGCCCTGGGCCTCAGAGAGGGGGGATGAACGTGGAGAGTGGCGACAGCCAAACCCCACGCGGCCCTGCTGCTCCCTGGGCTGGTGGCCGGGAGGCGGGGGCAGGTCACGGCGGGGAGGGGCCGCACCTGAGGCAGATCTCGCCCGTCTCCGTGATGTTGGGGTGCCAGATCCGCGTCAAGCATCTCACCTTGGGCGGCTGCAACAGAGAAACGCCACAGCTCACGCGAACGCGAGGGACCGGGAGCAGGAAAGAGACGGACGCTCGGAGGGAAGGACGTGGGGGCCAGCGGGGGGGGGGGGAGGGCTCCACCCATACGAGGCCCGGCGTCGTCAGAAGTGTCGGCCACGTGCGCCCCCCCCCCCTTTCTGCAGAGGCTTCTGGGTGGGCACACGCCACCGGGCGTCCCTGTGTCCCTGTGTGTCCGGGGGGGCGTGTGCGGAAGGGCTGAGGGGGCTTTGCACCCCGAGGGCCGATAAGGGGAGGTGGCGCAGAGCAGCGCCCGGAGAGGACGGGCAGGTGGGGGGACAGTCACAGGCTCACGAGGGCAGGGCCAGGCCGGGACTCACCACCATGTTGTAAGCGTCGGGAACTTCCGTTTCAAACTGAAACTTTCCACCCTGGTAGTAACCCTCATCTGTGAAAAACAAAACCAAACAGTCCTCTGGACAGAGAAAGGAGGCAGGGCCAAGACCCGTCAGGGCAGGGACGGGGCAGGGGAGGGGCGGGGCGGCGGGGGCAGGGCCAAGACGGCCCCAGTGGCTCGCGGCTCCCTCGGAAGGGGTCAGTGGAGGCGGCTGTCCCCGGGCTCCCTGCTCCCACCCCACGCTGCTAGGGCACCCACTCTGCTGGAAACACAGCACGGGAAGGACTGAACACCACCGGCCCCAGGACTCAACACCACCGGCCAACGGCACCGCTGCCCTCCCTGGGAGCCCCAGCGAGACCGCAGACACGCAAGGGGCCTCGTCTCACCACCACGAGACCACCAGCCCAACCTCCAGGGCCAACACTGTTATGAAGTCTGGAGTCTGAACTGGCACAGTCGGCGGGAGCCAGAGGGAGAGAATGTGGGGGGAGAAAGGGAGAGAGAGAGGGAGGGAGGGAGGGGGGAGAGAGACAGAGGGAGAGGGAAGGCGAGAGGGAGGGAGACAGTGGGGCCTGGTTCCACCCAGCAGCAGGACAGGAGGAGCACTTGGGGGGAGCAGTGCCAGGGCCGGGCCTCCACTGGCTCCTGAGCGGCCTCCGACTTCCCATGGCTACCGGGTCCCTGGTCTGTGGCAGCCGTGTTCTTCTGGACACTTCCCGGCTGAGGAAGCCAGTCTCCGGGGCCAGAGGGCACAGCAGGGACGGCCGCCAGGAGTGATCCCTGAGCCCAGAGCCAGAGTTAGTCCTGAGCACCCCGGATGTGACTCCAAAACAAACGGGGAGACACACCGCAGCTGTCACCCCAGCATCCAGCCGAGACAGTGACTCGCGCTCCAGAGAACCCCAAGATCCGGCAGACGAAGGGAGCAGATGGGGCTGAGCGCTCGGCCCGGGGAGCCATCGCCCATGGAGAACCAACATGATTCCCAGCGAAAACACACGGAGGCGCCAGGACTCGGGAGTCCAGGCTGGGGCGGACGGAGCACACGCCCCCACAACGGACCCGGCCGGGCCGGCAGAGGCGTCAGGAGACAGGAGCAGAGATTCGACAACAGGCAACTGAATCAAAAGCTGGTTTTGGCAGAGGCCAGGTAACAACTGACAATTAGCAAATTAATCAATGAAAGAAAATAATACTTTGGGGGGTCAAAGAGGTAGTGCAGCGGGGAGGGCACTTGTCTCGTACTCCGTCAACCTGGGTTCGATCCCCGCATCCCATATAGTCCCCTGAGCACTGACAGGAGTAATTCCTGAGTGCAGCGCCAGGAGTGACCTCCAAGCATCACCAAGTGTGGCTCAAAAACAAACAAAATACATAAATTTTCAACAAGCTACAGAGCTTTAAAGGGAACGAAAATACAAAAACAAAACTAAACAAAACACAACCTTACACCAATTAGCACATTTGAAAACAGAGAAGAAAAACGTGAAAAAACTCTCTGAAGGGGCTGGAGCGACAGGACAGTGGGGGGACATTCGCTTTGCACACGGCTGACCTGGGTTGGATCCCCGGCATCCGATGTGGTTCCCCAGCACCACCAGGAGTGATCCCCGAGTGCAGAGCCCGGAGGAACCCCGAGCACTGATGGAGCTGGCCCCCAACAAAACGAACAGAACAAAAACCCACAAAAACCAAAGCCCAAAGCAACCGCCTTGAAGGCCACACATCCCCGAAGCCCGCTCAGGAACAGAGGGGCTGGAGGCAGGGGTCTGGCCTGGGTTTCACCTCTGGAACCACGTGGCCCCTAAGGCCAACTGGACCCCGAGAGCACGAAGCTGCCTGAGCACTGCCGGTGAGGCCCCGAACTGAAGCGACACCTACCAGGGCCTTGTTTACCACACGAGTCGCTTCACACTCCGACTCCTACTGCAAAACCGAACAACCCCAGACCTCAGTGGCCACACTGCAGCTCCAGCCCTCGGAGGACATCACACCGACTCCCTGTGAAGTGCTGGAGGCCAAAGGGCGACTCCCCGCTCGGCCAGAAGGCGGAGGGAGGGAGGCCGGGAGGGAGGAGACGTTTCTCTTGCACCACCTGAAGAGATTTCATTCAAGACAGACCACAGACCCGACTAGGAAAGCCAAGGCTAGGAGCAGCCTGGAACCAGGCGAGAACGCCCGCCCTACTGGGCCAGACGCACAACCGTCTGCGGGCAGACGGACACGGACTTGGGGTCTGAAGGGTGGAGGAGCGCTCGCACAGTGCAGCCCCCCGACAAACTAAGCGAGGGGGTCATCTCCAAGCCGGGTCCCTACCTGCTGCGCCGCCTCCTTCCTGAGCCCTCAGGGTCCCCGACACTGACCCTCACCCCTCTTAGCTTCTCGAAGACTCTTCCTCTCTGCCTGGGAATGGGGTCAGAGGCTCCAGGCGCCTCAGAGCGCTTCTGCTGGGGACGACGGTTCTGCCTGACGCTCAACCCCACAGGAGACACTCGACCCCTGAAATGAGCAGCTGAGGTCACAGCACAGGTTGACTCCCAGCATCATCTGGCCCCGGAGCACTGAGCACTGCAGGGTGGTCTTGAGCACTGCAGGACCCTCGAAATCAACCTGCAGGCCCTGTTGGCGGAGTAGCGTGAGAGATGGTCCCAGGGCTGCTGGCGCTGCCCCCCCCCCATGCAAACAGAACCAGCACTGGGGGTGGGGGGTGGCTCACAGGGGCACAGGTGCTGCATGTGACCCCCCTAGCACCCCCGCGCACGGCAGGGCAGGGGCGGGGGAGCCGTGCCTGAGCCCTGCAGGGTGGCCCCAAACACACAACAGAAACACCTCAGCAAACGTGAATGGCTTCAAGTAAACGAAGAGTCATGGTTATTCTATACTAGTAACAAAACGGAGAACCAAAATTTGTAACTTAAAGCAGGTCCTCCCCACCCCACACCTGGACTTTAACACGTGAGCAAGACCCACACATGGGAGGCACCAAACACAGGAAAGGGACGGACGGGAAACGCCGCTGCCATCGGCCCAGACCCACCCACGGACCCAGCGCCACCGTCGGTTTCAGGGGAGCGGGAACCCGAAGGTCCCGAGTGCCCCCGGCTTCCCCCAGGGGCAGCCCAGTGGGGCGCATGCTCCCACGTGTGCAAGGCCCGAGTCCAATTCCAGGCAACACACACAGACCCCCCCAGACCTCCTCCAGACACAGACCACCCCTGAACACAGATCCAAACACACACGCGCGCGCGCACACACCCATGCGCTCTCTCTCATGTACACACAGTGCTGGACAGGGCCATGGTCACAGCATGAGGCTGCCCCAAAGGCAAACACGGATCAGCAGGCAGGATAAAGTCCGGACCCGACGCTAATAACGAGAGCGAGGTGACTGAACCATTTCAGCAACTGAACGCGACAGATGAAAACACACGAGCCTTTTCTCACACAAACATCAATTCGAGAGGGACCGACGAAAACGAGAAGACGGGGGACAAACACAAGGGAGACAGCCTGGGGCAAGGCGGCAGGGCCAAGCTGGCCGAATGTCCCTCTGCCCAGCCTGCCTGCGGCCCTGCTCGGCCGCCGGAAGAAGCGAAGATTTCTTGAACAGGACAAAAAAAAAAACCCAACCCACTACTCAGTAACAAACGATAGATACAAAATTGCAATTTTCTCAAAGGAAAAAATATTTACACAGAAGAAAGAAAGTTACAGAATGGAAGGAAACAACCATAGCTCAGGTATCAGACCAAGAACTTGTACTGACAACACAGGAAACAACAAAAACCAAACAGATTTCCTCCTGTCAATGCCTGACCTGAGGTGCCCCCTCGGAGGCCAGGGGAGGGCACAGAGCAGAGAAACCTGCAGCAAGCCTGAGCTCTCCACCGGGTCCTCGCTCTGGCCCTCGCCAAGAAGGGCCACACCTCGCTGTGCTCAGGCGAACCCTGGCTCTGCACTCAGGACTCACTCGGCCCGGGGGCCACACGGTGTGCTCGGCCAAACCTGGGACAGCCGCCTGCAAGGTAAACTGCCTGCAAGGTAAGCCGCCTGCAAGGTAAACGCCCCAACCCACTGTCTCTGGCCCAAAGGTGCTTTTCAAATGGCAAATGAGCTGGGCTGGAAAGGAGTTCTGCAGGGGAGCACCCAGCAGGGAGGCCTCAATGGGGAGCACCCGCCTAGCAAGGGAGGCCTTGGGTTCCATCCCCGGCACATTTGAGAAGGGGAAGAAAAAGGAAAACGAGCATTTCGGAAAAGATCATACGCAAACCACCGGCAAATACATGAAAGAGTTTGTCGCTGGAGACGCCCTGGAACGCCCCACGACTCTGGGCAGCCTCTGAGGCCATACGCGGATCTTTGGCACGACAGGACTGAAGAAAAATGAAGCTAGGACCACAGGAAGGGCAGCAGAGAGCGGACAGCAACTGCCCCGTGGGAGCCCTCCAACGCTGGGCGGGAGACTCAGAGTGACGGACACGGACCCCAGAATGTGGGACCCAGACAGGCTGAGCTACGCAGACAGACGCTCCCGGGACTCAGGAACTCTAAGAGAGGACCAAATCTCGATGGGCGCAGAACCCAGAAATGACTTCCGGATAGGGCATGCTGGAACATTCCAGACCCCTCCCGGGCTGTGGTCACACAGGCGATGCATTTCCAGAGGTTTCAAATGAGCGCAGCTCTCTGGCCCTCTCCTCAGTCAGAAGGGGAGTGTGATACTGAAACTTTTTTTAATTTTCAAATTTCTTTTCCTGAACATTCTAAAAGACATTTTTAAAGCTAGCTCCCGTGGCTCACGGCTGACACGGGTTCGATCCCAGCACCACACAAGGTTCCCCGAACCTCGCCAGGATTGAGTTCTGAGTGCAGAGTCAGCAGGAACCACCGAGTGTGGCCCCAAACCCAAATGCAATCACACAAGCCACAGCACGGAAGTCTGGCGGCCTCTGGGCCGAGGGTGCGGGGTTACAGGCGGCAGAACCCAGGCACACTCCTCACGAGAACAGCAGTGCCAGCACCTCAGGGGCCCCCACAGCCCAGACTCTGGAAAGTCCCGTCCCAGAGAGGAGAGGCTCATCCGGGGGTCGGTGCCACACTGTCCCGTGGCACTGGCAGAAACAACCAGTGGCTACAGCAGAGGGCGGTGGAGACGCACCCGGACCACCAGGGGTGCCTCAGCACCCACCAGGGGCCCAGGGCAGGGGCCAGCAGACTTCGAGGGCTGTGCAGGGACCCCACGGACGGCAAGGTGGCGGCAGCAGGGAGCAGGGTCACAGGCAGGGGCCCCTGTGCCTCCCCTTCTGAGCAGCCCGTGTCCGTGGATCTCAGATGCTCCAGAGCCCGGGACGGACGCTCATCAGGTCCCGCTGGCCCAGAGCTCCTTTGCACACCCGGGAGCTCAGGACAGCCCGATCCTGCCCCACAGAAGGGGCCCAGGGTGCGAGCTCAGTGGCTCCGAGCCCACGTGCTCACACAGGGACCGCGGGCGCCAGGGCTGGCCACAGCACCGGTGAGGCTCCTCTGCTGTGCACTCGTCCCCTCCCTGGTGGGCACTGGCCTGTGCCTTTCACATGGTCAGACGCAGAACGAGCCAGAGTTCCAGGGAGCCTTTGAAATAAGCTGGCTGGAGTCAGGGCGCTCGTCCTGCGTGCAACGGCCTGGGGTTCGATCCCCAGCACCCCATTGGGTCCTGGACCTGCCAGGGGGATCCCTGAGCCCTGTTGGAACCCCCAAAATCTCCCCAAACCAACAACAGCCAGAAGATCCAGCACTGGGGGGCAGCACATGGCAGAACGCAGTCCTGGCTTGAACAAGGCCCCAAGCCGGCACCCACACCCCAAGGCCACCCCACCCCGCCCGGAGAGGCTGGGTATAAAGCATAATCAAGTAACATTTGCCGCCACATCCCCTGACCAAACACAGTACGAGCGTTACCTGGGGTCACTGTGAGCTGAAAGCAATGGAGCTTGTTCGGGTCAGGAAAATGCACTTTGCAAGTACCTGCAAAAGAATCCACAAGGTCAGCGAGGAACACTGCGCAGCCGGCTGCAGGCACCGAGCCGGAGACCCCCTCCTGCCCACACCCCAGCTCCAACAGGGAGCCGCCTTCCACCCTCACCTGGGTACCGAGAGACCTGCCCAGTCACCCAAGAACGATCACGCAGCTCAACTGCGAAAGGAGGGAGCCTCCCTCAGGGAGACGTACGTGCGCGCGCGTGTATATGTGTGTGTGTGTGTGTGTGTGTGTGTGTGTGTGTGTGTGGCCAAGAACAGATCACGTAACTCTACTGGGAAAGGAGAAACCCTCCACAGGGAGACAGTGTGTGTCGTTGTGGATATGTCTTGTGTGTTGAGGTTGTGTGTCTCAAGTGTGTATTGTGCATTGCACGTGGAATGTCAAGATCACTTCTAGTGTGAAAGGAGAACTCCTCCATCTGGGAGGCGGCTGTGTGTGTGTGTGTGTGTGTGTGTGGTGCAGTGGGAGCTGCCTACCCCCGTATCATGTCAAACGAGCCCCAAGAGTGTGAACACCCCCAGAACAGACAGGCAGCCGGGAAAGGACCGTGCTGAGGCATTGGCCGGACGTCAGCCACTCGAGCAGAGGCCCCGTTCCTGGGTGGCCATTTCCCGCTGTGCAGCCACAGGCCTTGCGCCAACCCGGAGTCTAGCACCGGCCCCCGCCTGGCCCAGGGGGCGGGGCGGCCAGGAGGGGCAGGCTGTGGCCGTCAGGACGCGCTCGGGACCCTTCCGTCCAGTACTCGGACAGCACGGGCCCGGCAATGCTGCACTCCATCCTTCCCTCTCCGTCCAGCCGTGCTTCGGGATGACTCCTGGCAGTGCTCGGGGACCACACGGGCTGACAGGGATCAGACCCGGGTCCTCACCTGGCCTGGCTCACTAGTTCTCAACATCACTCACGGCGCTGTGTTTGTTTTTCTAAAGAGCCGAGGGTGACTAAACAGCTGTTCTGGGACTCGTTCATCAGGAAGCCTCGGCTCCTGATGGGGGCGTTTCAGAGACCAGGGAGGACAGGACAGTGGGGGCTGCACAGCGCCCCGGGTCCCACCCGAGCATGCCAGCACCAGTGCAACTGCAGCCCTCATGGCTGAGGGCCAGGCGGCTCCAAGGCCAGCAGGGCTAGCAAAGGCGACGTGTGATACCTTCGAGGACAACCCTGAGGACAGCCCCGAGGACGGCCGGGGGCTCGCTCCTAGTTAGGGACACCTGCAGTCTATTCGTACCCCGTTAAATTCCTTGGAACTACAGGGAAACGGGCTTTTGCCACTGTGCAAAGTTTTTAAGACTGACGTGATCCTTCCCTGCGCCGGGTCTGGGGACGCCGTACTTACAAGGTAAATTAGCTTCAAGTTCCGCGACCTCTGCAGAGACAAACAGACGAGCGTTAGCCTCAGCCGAGCCTCCCGGGCAGCCCCCGCCTGGTGCGCGTCAGGCTGAGCCGTCACAGCACCTACGGGGACTGGATGGGCCCTGAGATGACAGGCCGGGTGGACTGGTGCAGTCTGGCCTCCCGCCGCCCCGCCCAGCCCCACAGCCCAGCTCCCACCCACTCCTGCCTCCAGGCGCCTGTGACTCACTCTGGTGTGACTGAGCACCCTCTGCGAGGGAAAGGTGTGACCCTCCTACCCGTCCCCCCCACCCCAAGAGCCTAGGAAGGCCACTGGACGCGGCTCCTGCTGGCCACCTCGGCGCCTGGCAGCCTCGCCCTCAGACCAGAGAACTGGGTCGTCAGAGTGAGAGAGGGCAGTGTCACAGCGTGCTGGATGGCGGCAGGCCCTCACACTGGGGACCCCTCGCCCCGCCCCCAAACCCAGCCACCATGGACCACGCCTGGGCTGCCAGAGGGACACGGGGGTCTGGGTGGGGCAGAGCGGAGAGGCTGGCACTGCAGGAGTCAGCCTGAGGGGCAGCAGCAAGCCCGTTTCCGGCAGGACTGGATGGCCAGGGGCCTTGTTGCTTTCTCGGACGCCAGCCCCAGCCCCTCACCCTCCAGTCCCCAGCCCAGTCCCCCAGGCCGCACCTCACCCCCATCCCCAGTCTGTGCTGTGCCACAGACTCTGGCCTCGGTTCCCAGTGGCAGCCAAGGTGACCAGGCCAAGCCAGCGCAAGGGCAGCAGCACCCCACGCCCACCTGAGAGCCCCCCGGTGCCCCTCAACGTGGGTGCCAGGCTGCAGCCTGCGTGAGCACCTGCATCCTGCCCATCAGGCTCCTGCTGGGATCTGCTCCCCCAAAGCTCGCCCCGCCCCAACACCCTGTCAGGCCCAAACAACGGCCTTTGGGGCCTCGCGGTGCCACGACTGACCCAGACCTGCGGGCAAGGCCTGTGCTCCACCTGGGACCTCCCCAACCCAGCACCGCCACTCCGATATGCAGAAACGCAGCCACGTGGCAGGGCTTAGCCGGGGTCAGACTGTCCACAAAAACCTGAGAGCCTTGACATGCTCTGCATCAGGCCCAGGCCTGGCCCCCAGCACCCCACGACCCCCCAGGCACTGAGCCAGGAGCAGTCCCCGTCCCATGCCAGATGTGACTCCCAAACCAAAACAGAGAACTGCCCTAGAAAGTGGCAAGCCTGTGCGGGCTCGGTGCTCAGTGCTCCAGGCTATTAGCCAAGCTTCCCTCCTCCCGGCCTCCGGCTAATGGGGCTCTCCCGCCCCCCAACACCCCCAGACCCTCCCCCAAAGGGCTGTGGAGCACAGACCAGAGGCTCCTCACTCCACCCACCGCCCACCAACACGCAGAGCTTGGGCAGCAGAGGACAAGAGCCCCCACGATGCCCCCAATTCCACTACGTCCAGGGTGAGCAGAGCTGTCCCCTGCTCGGGAAGGCCACCAGCTGTCCTGCCGTCAACGCGTTCCAGGACGCAGAGGCCGCCGTCCCCACAAGCTTGGATCTACACCGACTGCCCAGCCCTGCACTGCGGCGCGGCCTGACTTCAGAACCCGTCGTCCTCTGGACAGCACCCGTCACCTGCAGAAGTGACAGCAAGCACGCCACACATGCACATACACACACACACATGCGCAACCCCCCCCAGGGCAGCACACGCTCCACAGATGCCTGCACCACACACACATGCACACACATGCGCGGACATGTGGAAACGCACACACATGTCCCCCTCAGGACAGCACAAGCTCCAGATGCTCACACCACACATGCACATGTATATGCACACAAACACATGCACACAGTACAGGGAGAGGAAATGCTCCTGAGGCCTGATCACACACACGCAGCGCAGCTCAGCAGGCACCTACACCACACACACACACACACAGAGCTCAGCAGACACCTACACCACACACACACACACACACACACACACACAGGTCAGCAAGAAAGCCATCACACACACACACACAGTTCAGCAGACACCTACACCACACACACACACACACACACACACACACAGAGCTCAGTGCAGTGTACTCCCACAAGCACATGCGTGCATACACGAATGCCAAGGGAGCGACAGACACCTGCGCACAGCGGACCCTACCCCATGGACACGCCATGGACGTGGTGAAGAGATTCAGGCTCTGGCGTGAATGGAGCCGGAAGCACCGAGTCCCTGCGGCAGGGTGTTCGGAAGCGAGAAACGCCCCTCTTCAGCCGGCTGGCCATGCCCACACCAGCGTCAGCCTCACTGGCCTTCGGGAAGCCCGAAGAGCCCTCCCGGGGGTGGCGAGCAGTGCCCGCTGCCGGGCCAGACACAGCTCACCCAGCCATCCTACCCTCCCCACAGCTGCCCTCGCCCCGTCGTACCTTTCACCAGCAGCCGGTCCCTCACTGACACCCTCCTCGTGGAGTCGGCGGCGGAGGCCGACGCGCGGGCGCCCCGGAGCCCGTCATCCCGCTTGAGTTTGCTCGCCAGCGTCAGCATTCCTGCCACCTGGACCCTGCAAGACGGGGCGCGGTGAGGGCATCCGCAGGGGCGGGCAGTAGGGACCTGATGACCGTCCCGCCAGGCTGCATGACCCTGACCCCTCTGTCTGGGGTCCTGCCGAAGAGTGTCGGAGATGACCGAGAGTGGACACTGGCGACGCTGCTGGGGACAAGGAGCCCAGGAAGGCGCCTGATTTCCCGGGCCTGTCACCTGCCCTGCCTGGCGAAAAAGGGCTACAGTCCCGGGTGAACGGCAAAACGGAGGTTCTGACAGCGAAAGACACCCGGCTATGCCTCCAAGGAGGCTGCTAAAGTGTTGGGGTCGCTGACACCCCGGGGGCGGGGGCTGGTGGGCGCTGCACGCCTGGGACTATAATTAGCAGGACTGTAAGTCACGGCCCAAATAAGAAGCTCTCGGCAAGAGTGTCACACCCGACAGTGCCCTGGGCTGACTCCTGGCTCGATGGTCAGGGACCACTCCTGAGGGCTCGGGGGACCGTACAGGGTCCCAGGGACTGACCGGGACCGGCCACATGTGAGGCCAAACCATCCTCCCGGCTGTCCTATGGCTCCAGCCCACAGACGGGCAGAGCTTCTCAGGCCATCCTGTGTATCCCGGAAGTCGGACTTTACTGTCAACTACTTGTGTCATACACACAGCGTCTCCATGGGCTGGGGGACTGGCCAAATGGGTGGGCTAGTGCGGGCACTCTGCAGGGGGAGGGCCAGGTTCGAGCCCCAGGACTGCCTCTAGCAGGAAGCTGGGTGTGGCCCCCAAACTGAAAGCGTCTTGAATACGACATATCACCTGGGGGCAGACACACACACCCTCATTCCTGCCCCAGTCCCACCAGTCCGGCACCAGTCCCGGGATTCTGAGCCCCCTATTCCGGCTCTTTCCAGAAGTGGGTTCCGGTTCTGGGACCACGGGGCCACAAAGGCCCGAGGTCACCAGCTGCCGGAGCAGTGGCCACGAGTCCCCGGCTTCCCTTCTGGAGGTGACAGGAAGCCCCATGGAGTGTGGTGCTGGCCAGGCACCCGGCGCCCAGTTCCTCTTGCAGTTTGGGGCACTTGAGCGACCGTGGACCGAACCAGCGGCAGCTCCTTGGGCCACCGCCTCCCCCAGGGGCCACTTCTCGGCCCTGCCCACCAGCAGCTGCGAGTCGAGCCCACAGGACCGGCTGGTCAGCCGCCCTCCGGGTCCAAAGCAAGCAAGACCAGCCCACCGACGGCCCGCGGGACAGTCGGGGCCACCAGGGGCCGCCCGGCCTTGACCCTCCAGCGCAACTCGCCGGCCTTGAGTGCTGGAAGCCGGGACAGAAACGCGGGTGGGGGCGAGTTCGGGCAGCGCCCGGGGGCCAGGGATGAGACAGGGCCGGGGTGAGGGGCTCAGGGGGTCACGAGGCTGCCGGCCGCTCCCCCGGCCACGGCCAGGCGCGACCCCGCAGCGCCGGCCGGGGGGGAGCTGGTGGCCGCCCGCAGCGCGCGGGGTGGGCACGGGCGTGGGCAGCGGCGAGGCCTGGCCCCGCGCCCTCGCGGCCCCCCACGCCGCCCCGATACCGGGTCAGCGCCGAGGCCGGTCCGTCCCCCCGCCCTGGGCGTCCGCGGCCGGCGGGGAGGGGTCGGCGCGGGCCGGGCGGCGGGTTCGCGGCGTCGCCCTGGAGAGGACAATCCCCGGGCCCGAACCCGGGCACTGCGGGCAGGGCCGCCCCCGCCCCCGGCCCGGGAGGGTCCCGCCGCCCCCGGCCCGCGCCCGCTTCTGGAAGCTTCTCCGGGGCCGGACGCCCCGCGGCCCCCGAGCCGGCCGGGCCGCGGGGACCCCGCCCGCGGCCTTCCGGGCCCGGCGCGGCCCGGCCGGCCCGAACCCGTCCGGACGCCCGCGCGGCCGCGCCCGCCGCCCCGGCCCCCCCGCGCCTGACCTTGGCCGCCCGCGCTCACCTGCCCGCCGCTGCCCGCCGCCGGCCGGCGGCCACCCAGCCTCGAGCGCGCCGCGGCGGGCGGAAGTCGCGGGGCGGGGCCTGGCCGCGGCGGCGCGGGCGCTTTAAAAAAAAAGTTCAAAACCTCCCCGAACTTTATTCGCAGCCCGGCGCGGACAGCGGCGGCGGCGCGGCGCCCATTGGCGGACGGCGAGGCGGGGGCGGGCGCGCGGCCCGCGGCGCCCGCGGATTGGCGGGCGGGGGCGAGGGGCGGGCCCTCGGCGTCCTCCGCGCCGGCTGCTGGGCCGCAGGCACCTGCCGCCGCCGGCCCCGGGTCCGCTCTCGGGGATGCTCGGGTGCTGCGGGGCCGCGCTGGGCGGGGTCCCAGTGGCCGGCGAGCCCCGCGAACCCCTCAGGCCGCCGTGGGTGTGTCCGAGGGGCTGACAAGGGCCGCGGGGGAGGGGACAGGCTGGAGAGCGGGCAGCGCGCAGGGCGGTACTCGGGTGCCCCGCCAGCCCGCACCCTTGGGGCCTGGCGTCCCGCGGGGAGAATGGGCAGGGGAGAGCGGTGGACAGCGCGTGACGCCCCCCCCCCCCCCAGCTAAGTCCCGGGGGACAGCCAGAGGAGGTGCAGGAGCTGCAGGTTAATGAAGGCGCCGGAGTAGCCCAGGAGTTCGAAGCTCCCCCGAAGCTCCCCCGAAGAGGCTCCAGCACTAGAGCGACAGGCCAGGCCCGGTCTCAAACACTGAGTGATGGGCTGGAGAGGTGATAATACAGGGGCTGAGTGTGAGTTTCAGGAGGAAAGCAAGGGGGATATGCAGGGGTGGGGGATGTGAGCGGTCAGTGGCCGAGAGCCGCCTCTCCAGGCGATGGACTGGCGAAGGACCAGGGGACCGAGAAACAGGGCCCAGGCCCCAGGCTGGTGGGTCGCCAGCTTATTTATCTCTCCTAGCCTGCCTAGTCCGATCTCTCCCTTACAGCACAACTGTAGTCATAGTTTTGGTCATAGTCCCAGTCATCATAGGTCCATCACCCTAGTCTCCTCGTAGATCTCAAAGTCCTCTCTTCATCGTAGTCATCATTGTCAGAGTCCCCAAAGTCCTAGTCTCCTCATAGTCCTCAACCTCGTTGTATTTCCTTCCTAGTCTTAGTCAGCACAGTTCCCCTTTCTCCTTACAGCATAGTTATACAGAAATCATGAAGGGTGGGGGGCACATAGGTGGGGTTGAACGTTGTCATAACAACAAACAGAGGTAAAGCCATTCCTTCAGCGGAAGTTCTAGGAGAGTAACTCAAGGACAAAAATCCCATCTGAGGGTTCAGCACTCCAGATTACTAGGAGATCCGCTCAAGGGCGGGATTCCATCCAGGGTGTACTGCTTTCTCCTTTCCTCAGCTAGTAATCCATTTAAACAATCATAGTAAACTTACTTCTTATAATATTTCTAGTTATTCTGCATCAACACAGTAAGAAATATATTAAGCTTAAAGGCTGTCTCTTCCTGGGACATCTCACTATATGTCCCAGACCACAGTCCTAAGGCCAGGTTAGTCTTTCCTAACCCCAGCAAGGTCCTTATTCAGTTACTTCTTTTGGGGTCAGGACAGAGTTTGTCCCATGACCATGCTCTTAACTTATTCTACTTATGGTGTTTAGCTTGTCCCTTTCTCGATGCGAGGGTAGCTTACTGCTTGCCCTGGATCCATCCACTCCCTTCATCAGGACCCTCCTTTTGGGGGTGTTACAAAGTAAGGGAACTGAGGCTTAAGTCAGGTAAATATGATGGATGCCCAGGAGTAAATATTATAAATATATTAGACACAGGAACTGTCTTCCCGTGTCTATACAAAAAAAGACATTGCTAAATAAACCAGGAAAGGACATAAAGAGAAATATTATTAGTGCTTGATGGAATTGGGTGTGCCTCAGGGGCACTGTTGTGGGAGTAACTCAATACACCTAAGCTCCCTGAGGGAGGAGCAAGGACAACCCAATGTTATCTAACACTCAGCACATGCCTTGTGCCCAGCCGCGCCAGAAGTGATCCCTGAGCACAGCAGAGTGTGGTTCAAAAACTACATGCTGGAGTGACACAGTGTTTTCTGAAAGGAGTGCAGGCGCCAGGGGACTGGACGTTGCTGTTCTGAGGCCAAAAAACCCAATGTGAAGTGAACCAGAGTGAACCTTCCTGCCCACCCCCCCAGCCCCAGCAGACAGACCCAGCCCGGATTCAGACCCACCTGGGGCCCAGCGACCAGGGAGAGTTTGGCCTCACAAGACTGAAGGATACCCCAGAATTCTAAGCCTTGAGAGTGACCGACTGGAGAAGGCTTAGCGAGTGTCCTGTGGAGGGGCTTGGCAGTGGGTTTTGGCAAATAATAAAACCTTTTGCTTTAAAAGGTTTCTAAATGCAACCCCCAAGTGTGAAGGTTGGACCCCCACACACCCCTTGCAGATGCAGGAACTGAGGCCTGAGCATTGACACCGGCACCAGCCTGAGGCCGGACTCTGAGAGGACCCTCAAAGGAAAGGCCATACTCGGACAGGAGAAGAAAGTCACCAAGGTTGCCTCCAGTCCTGTTCCTACAAGAGAGCCCTGAATGGGGGTTCGAGAAAGCATGCCTCACTTTGCCAAAGCAAGTGGCCCGCAGTCGGATCTGGGATCTCTGTACCCCCATTACGGTGTTCTGCTTATTTCCCGGGGTGCCTCTCGCCCTGGAGAAGTCTGCCTTTGCTCTCTCCCCTTTCCGACTCAGAATTCTACTCGGAATTGGCACAGCAAGCCTGGCAAAGAGGTGCCCTGGAGTTGCCCATCATGGGCATCAGAGTCCCTGTGTGTGTGTGTGTGTGTGTGTGTGTGTGTGTGTGTGTGTGTAGGGTGTGCTAGCTCCCTGCCCCTTTGTTCCCTGCATGCCATTGTTATGCGGGTCACTGAGTTCCTCCTTCATGGGAAGAAGCTAGAGACTGTGCTGGCTCTCAGCAGCACGAAGCAGGCTGGCAGGGCATGGACTCACATCTACAGGAAGGGGTCTTAAGGGCAAGCCAGGGAAGAAGGCTGGCCACAGAGTGCGGCCAGAGGGAACAACGAACCCCCCCTGGGCCTGGCCCCGGGACACCTCCATCTGCAAACCAACAAGCCAGGCTCAGCTTTTGGATAAGGGGTCCTTAAGTCTAGGTTTGGGAGAGACAAATCCTGCAGGTGAACAGGCAAAGGGCCGTAGCGACCTTGGTGGCCAGTCTCTGCCTTCCTCCTTCCATGCCACACTCACCCTTGTGCCAGGGAGGTTCGGGACTACAGTCTGCCACAGCACCTGCCACAGCTGCCCTCGGCGATCACCACACTGTGCCCTGTGGTTTCTGGGGGAGCTGGGGAGGAGGGTCAGGAAGAGTCTATTGGCAAGGTTTGCCAGTCTACCACTGTCCTGTGCGGAAAGGAATTTCAGGAGGAGGCCAACGGTGAAATAAATATTTTATTGAGAGATGAAGATGGAAAGGGAGTGACGTGCTCAAGATAAGAGAATGTGGGCTTCTGCAGAGGGCAGACAGCTGCGGGTGCCACAAGAGTAAAGGGGATTACAGGGGCTGCGGTGCTAGTATGTGGGTAAAGCAGTTGCCCTGCAATGGCCGGCCCACCCTGGTTTGATCCCCAGGACCGAATACAGTCTCTTGAGCACCACCAGGAGTGACTCCAAACACAGAGCCTGGAGTGACCAGCACTTGGAAGTGTGCCCAAATAAAATTTCAGAGGTTTCACATGTCTTATCGCAGCCCAGAGGGTTCCCACAGACGGCTGGCTAATTTAGGGCCATATGTGCTGCTAAGATAAGATTAACATCTGGAGGGGGACGTGTGTTTATTTAAGGCCTTTTAGGCTACTTATCTGACCATCTGCCCAATGCTGCCCCTTATCTCTTAGATCTCTTAGTCTCTTTGAGCACAGGGCCTGGAGCAGAATTTATGGTTTTGGGAAACTAAGCTTAGACTCAGAGTCCAGCATTCCCCCCCCCACTTCGTTTTGGGGTCACACCCAGTGATACTCAGAGCTGAACTCCTGACTCTACTCAGGGATCACTCCTGGCAGGGCTCAGAGGACCATAAGCAGTAAGTGCCAGGGTGGAGCAATAGTACAGTGGGTAGGGCACTTACCTTGTACAGGTCGATCTGGTTCCAATTCCCAGAATGGTGCCCCAAACCCCACCAAGAGTCATCCCAGAGTGCAGGGGCAGGAAAAGTTCTGAGCACTGCTGGGTATGGCCCCAAAACAAAACAAAAACCCACATACCTACTTTATAGGTATAAATCTTTCTCTCTCTCTCTCTGTTTTTTTTTTTTTAAGTACTCAAAGCTATTACTAAACTTGGTTCAATTTCTGCTTTTGTTTGTTTAGGGTCACATCCAGCAGTGCTCAGGGTTACTCCTGGCTCTGGTTTACTCCTGCACTCAGGGTTACTCTGGCTCTGCCCTCAGATTCTGTGGGGGGATGGGGGACACAAAGGACCATACGCAGTGCCAGGATGGTGCCTGGATTGGGTGCACGCAAGGCAAGCGCCTCTCTCAGAAACCTTCACAATAGTCACCAAGATTCAGTCATTGTTTGAGTTTTATTGGTATAGTCTTAATTCAGTCTGTCTGGAATCATCTTGCCTGAAATAATTGACATTTATTCTCTCATTAGGTAGCTCTAAAGAATTATCAAAAATCACAGAAACTAAATATTCCTAGAGGTTTTTTCTTGTTTGTTTTGTCATTAGGAGGCTGGGGCGGGGTATGGTCACATCTGGCCATGCTCAGGTCTGACTCCTGGCTTTGAACTCAAGGATCACTACTGGCAGGCTTGGGGGGCTGGATGGGTTGCCAGAATCCAATGTCCACATGCAAGGTAGGCTCCTCAGACCACTACTGTGATTCAAGGTTCCTAGAGAATCCTGTCCTTTGCTTTATTCATTTATTTTTGCTTTTGGGGTCACACCCAGTGATGCACAGAGGTTACTCCTGGCTCTGCACTCAGGAATCACCCCTGGCAGTGCTCAGGGGACCATATGGGATGCTGGGAATCGAACCCGGGTTGGCCGCGTGCAAGGCAAACGCCCTACCTGCTGTGCTATTGCTCCAGCCCCATGTCCTTCGCTTT